AATGGAAAACATTGGACAAAAAATATTAAAGTCATGAGCGGGAACTCCAATGCTGGAATAGATTGTTTTTTGCTTCTTCTTTTGTTTCGAGTAGCCATTATTATTATTATACATTTAGATGGGTATATGATTTATCATCATGATCAAAGAGTGGGTATAGCGGTGAGTATATGGATGAAAAATATGAGTAGGAGGGAAAATATCAATGAAAATAATGATAATAACTCAACCTTTGGCTCTTATTTTTGGTTGAAATTGTTTATCGAGTAATAATATCAAGGGAAATCAAAGGTACAACCATACATTTTTTCACAATGATTTTTACCTCCCTCCAGGATAAATCAAATGTAATATTTTACCTCCGCCAACATCACCAGCGAAGTGTATCCAATGAATTGATGAAAAGTGGTGGAAAATTTCAATACCAATGATTACATGCAATTCTGGTGATAAAAAGTCCAATGAAATACCTGTTATCGTAATCAAATGGGAAGATATTATTACTTTTCAACTTTAGTATCTTCTTCAAGTGATAAGAATCCTATCTAATCATGATAACGAATCAGATAATATATTTGACTACTTGAATACTTTCCTTTGCTCCTTTAATGTGATGATATCTCTCATTTCCATGGGTGAGATGACCATTGAAAAGTTTCACTTAGAAAACCAAAGTTAAAGTGTTGAAATATAAGCTATCCGATTAATATTGTTATTGGAAATTAGCTTGATGTTACATGTTAGATAATAAGAGATAATGATCATGAGGATGAGCAAAAAAAGGTTGAACTTTTTAGCTCTCTGGAGATAAAGAATTATGGATTGGATAATGATGGTAATGATTCTCAATTTTTTCTTTTATTTCTATTATTCTAAACACTATCATGACATGAAGAGTCCACCTTCATACCATGTAGACATCAAATATCTTGGTTATATTGTGAGTGAAATATTATCATGAATTGCCATGAATCTCGGTTTTAGTGAATCATGAAGTTTCATTCCTCTCAGAGGATTTCAATTAATCTATTAGATACTTTATTGGAAATGATTGCAGAGATACAATTATATCCTCTTCTGAATATATCACAATTTGTCACAATTGTTATCAACATTTCCAGTTAATTGACAATATTATTGATCATCCATATATGATAAACAGTTATCGCAACGATTATATAAATTCAATTGGAGATAATTATCATCATACAATTGTGTATCTAATATTATGTAGGATAAAGATTTTCAGAGTTGGTAATGGTAAGAAAGTTTCGAGATATTTTCTGTCAATATTGGACAATTTACTTAACTGTACATTCTGAGAAGGGCAAACAAAAATGTCCATAAATATCATAATAAATATATATTCATGTTCATTTCATGATCATAGTTTAAATGTCCTCTTAATCTGTTATCGTTGAGAATTCATTTCTACCTTGGATCACCATGTATTGGTTGAAACATAAGATTCCAAACAAAATTCTGAGTCTCAAATTTTTTCCTTCACCAACTAATTTATCGCATCTCTCACTCACTCTCTCTCTCTGTCTCTCTTTCATCATAATGTAACAATAACCAAATATCTACTTTGTATCATGTTATAATACTTGGAATTTGCCATTGGAACTTTTCTGAGAAAAGTTCTGTTACCAGTTCACCATGTAAAGTGAGTTATTCAGACAAGATAAGATGATGATATGAATTTCTGATATTGTTTCTATCTGGAAAAGTTTCTATTTCTACAGGGTGATATTACATTTTATGTATCATTATCATTTCATATCAACTTCTATCTTTGAATTATGATGATGATCATAATCACTGACCTCAAATTAGATCCCAACGGTCAATCATTTACCTTTTACGTTCTCTTAGATTTTGAGTTTCCTCTTAGTTGGAATCAATTGAATTATAACCTTTTCGATTGGTATGATAAACAATTAACTGCTTTTCGAAAGTTATATTAAATCAATAAGATGATAAACTGTACCAAGAGACTATACAAGGGAAATGTAACTATTTTATTACATCATGATGATGATGATGCAAAGATGAGGATGAGGATGAGGAGGAAAAGATGAAAGAAAATATCATCTATTAGATTCATTCATCTGACGTCGTATATAATATACACCCTGTTATTTATTCTGAATATAATATCTGTCTGATTGAAATAATAATAATATTACATGTTATTAGAACGTTTTTACTATTTTCATCATTTCCAAGGAAATGTAACTATTTTATTACATCATGATGATGATGATGCAATGATGAGGATGAGGATGAGGAGGAAAAGATGAAAGAAAATATCATCTATTAGATTCATTCATCTGACGTCGTATATAATATACACCCTGTTATTTATTCTGAATATAATATCTGTCTGATTGAAATGATAACAATAATATTACATGTTATTGGTTAGAACGTTTTTTTTTTACTATTTTCATCATTTCCCGATTGTTTATCATTATATCAAAAGAGGTGAGGTGGGGCAATTGGGAGCGATACGGATGAGATATGTAAGTATAAATATGGAAACAAAAACAATATCATGTAATATGAACAGAGAATGAAAAATATTTTCATGTGAATAAACAATACATGTAAGAGGAAATGAAGAAGATGAAAGAAATAGTTTTTCTCTCAGAATTCTAGTGTAACTAATTCATATTATCATTTTATTATCATTTCTTAGCTTTTCTCTCATTCTTTTTATCCTCATAATTATTATCTTCCAATAGACAATACATAATAGTATATACGTTTTATCATCAACAAAGAGTAACATCTTCTCAAGTACTTTGGGCTTTGAGATTATCAATTCTTATCCATTAGCGAACTGTAATATTTTCAAACCCTCTGGTACCAATTCATTTATATTTGGAGTAAAATAAAGGCTGATTGATATTCAAGTTAATGGAAATGGTGAATAATGAGTAATATTTATATATAATGAACAAGTGATAGCCAATGGTCAAGGAATCAGCAAAATAGAATTGAAAATAATTGCACCTTGATGATTTATCATTTGAGGTTATGTGATGATGTTGATGATAAGAATCATTATCTTGGTATTAGTTGTATGTATTTATTGAGTTCCATTGAAGGTCATCAGGCTGAATCAATAGATTATCATGATCGGAACTTGAATCAGGATTTTAATTTCGTTGCTGATCTGTAATCAACTGAATTGAACCAGTTTCAGAACTTTATCTCTCTCTCTTTCATTTCTGTCCGAAAATCAGTCTGATCCATTGAGATTTTCTGATTCCATTAGTTATCAGTTCTCTTAATTGTAAACTAATGATGATTGATGAATCAGCAATTAAAGTTCACTAGATTTGTAATTAACTTAATTTCAGTTGTCTACTATTTTCCAGGAATCTGAGTCTGATTGTTTCATTTAAACCATTTGGAGCAAAATAATCAATTGTTAGTTAACTGTTTTAACTTACTCGTGGTTAATTTTTTGGCTCTTGTTTTTCATTTCAATTAATTAATCGTATATTTAATTCAGTTAATGAATCAATCTTTCTCAATTCAAGTGATTTTAATATGTCTGAGAGTTTTGTCAAAGGGAGTCCATTAAGAGAGATAACTAAAAGCTTCAATTAATCACTTTTTCAGTGTTAATTTTCACTGAATAATAATAATCATCAGAATCATGAATTGATTCAATTTGGTGAAAGAGATACAAAAAAAACATGTTACCCACATGAAGCCAGACTTACCTGTCTTATTCATCAGATTTACCTGCAAAAATTGAGGACAAGTACAATTGACAATCAGTTCAACTATTAACTTGATGTTTGGTATTAAGATCAAAGTATAAACCTAATTAATTTCAATTCTAGTCTCAGATTGAGGTTAATACTTGATTGAAGCCCAATAGACTTCAACTGTTAGCTCAATTAAAGTAAACAACAATATTCAAGTTGATTAAGATGTTGATTTAATTTAGTTTATTAATTGTCTTCAAATTATTGATCGAATTTGGGCAAATACGTGTATAAGAAGGTAAAAAATTCTAATCCTGATTAGATTCCAATGTTTCTTAAGATTGACGATGATTAAGTTAACTTGATAATCTTTTAAATAAGAATTTTATGTCTAATCGAATTTGAACTTTTTTTCTTCTTTTTCCTTCCAAAGTAATTAGACTTTCTAATTTTTTTAGAACTTTTTTGTCTCTTAGTTTCAGTTTAAGTTCTAATTTTCCTTGAGCTCTTGTTTGAAACATTTTAAACTTCGAACTTTTCGAAATTTTGAAGTCTTTTAATTAGGGTAATATTTGCATTCCTAATTGTTGGAGAAAAGGGCATGTATCAATAGGTAGAAAAAAGCATTGAAGAAAAGTTCTGATGTAAATTGTGTCTATGAACATTTTTCGTTTTCTCAATGAACATTTGTCTCCTTTGTTTCCATGGTAAACTAAAAGTCACTGATCTCGTTCAATTGATGATGATAATTTAATATAAAAGATAAAATATCAAAAAAGATTGGAATTGAATGAATCAAGAGTAAAGAAAGAACGAAAAATTCACCAGAATTTCTTTAATTCTGTTGACTCTGTTTCCAAGAATTTTTGTTCCATTGTCATGATATTTATAAAGTGATATTCATTGAACTGTTTACACCCAAGCTGTTGACAGATTTTCATTCAGCTTATGGACTCATTTCAAATGATATTTTAATAAACAACAATTTTTGATGAAAAACTTATTAATGTTATCACTTTTTTCAGGATGAAAAAGTGTTTTTCTTAACAGCATAAAGAACTGAGCAGTTTCTTTTTTCATAAACTTGAAATAAATGAACATTTAAAGTAACATTAGACAGAATGACAAGAAATTGGTAAAAAAATTCTTCTGTTGTGTGGTGACATCTGGTGGTTAGCATTTAAACTTTCGAGATGGGATATTGGTTTGAAGATTATTTTCTTATCTAATATTTGTTTCTCTTTTTCCTTTTCTCTGTTTCTCTTTCCCAATCAGCTGGCAATGAGATGCTAGATGTCGGTGGTAGCGAGAAAAAAACTGAACGAATCTGTGTTCCCGTTTTAATCGTAGTAAACAAAACTTATATCAAAATAACCGTTGCCCTTTCCGTGTTAACGATATTGGCACTTTTAGCTTGTGCCGTTATTGTGATCAAAATAAAGCGTAATAAACGTCGAGCTCAAACGGAAACCTCGGTAGCCACAAGTCTCAATGGTCCACCCAATTATCCAGGTCAAGGTCCCGATGGACAAAGATATCTTCGAGATCTGGGTAATCCACCGCCCATGGGATCAGCTGAGGCTGAATTTCAAAATGATTTTATTCAAGTATTTCCAATGCACCATTTGGAACCATGTCCAGAAAAAAATATGACCGCATTGATAATGCAATAGGATAAAATTGTCATCGTCAACATTTCTCTCTCTCTCTCTCTCTCTCATGGTTTATTGCCATTGTCATCATCGTCATATAATCTCATTATCACAATTTTATCTCAATTATTATTACAATTAAAGAAAAGATAAAATTGAAATAAAATAAAAAATTTATATCAATCAATTGAAATGGAAAGGGTTCAACTGAAAACTCAAACGTAAATGAATTTAATTCAGTTGTTTGTTTCTCTTCCCATTCTCCATTCTCAATCAATTGATTTGCTGATTGTTACGATTAACATGATTGGAAAACTGTTAATTTCCTGATTAGGTAAACAATTCAAATCAAGAAACAATTAAAATTCAGGATGTTATGTTTTTCCAATATCAAATAACATCAACACCATGAAGACGTTAAAAATAATTCCAATTGAAAAGAAAACGAATCTGAAACTATTTCAATCCAACTTTTTTTCCTCACTCACCTTGCCCTTTCTTGACCCTTAAGTCCATCTAATTGTAATCTATTTCATGAATGTAATTAACTAATTAACAGAAAATGAAAATGAAAATTGTTCTCTCCTTTTCTTTATGTTGTTGAATAATATTAATTCCAAATCAATTCTGCTGACCAATGAAAACGAAAAGATTAAACTGATTAACTGATTAACTATTGAAAAAAACCAAATGAAACAATTGATGATCAATTTAATTTTATTCTTGTCCAATTAAATTAATTCACTTTTGGCAAGATTTTTGAATGAAAAGTTGTTACAATTGGAAGAGAGTAAATTTAAAATTGTATAATCCTTGAAATGTGAATGAAAATGTTTGTTGTTGATTAAAAGCTTTTGCTAATTTAATTGTCGTCATTTCATGGTTGTTGATTAAGAGGTTTTAATTAATTCACAAGTAGTAAAAAAGAAAACAACAATTAAAAAAAGGTTACAAGATAAATTTAATTAAATCCAAGAATAAAACTGAACACGAGTTACTAAAAATAAGAAATTAACTTGATTCAAATTGCGAGACTTGCTTTTAATGGCCATTAACGTGATAGTTAAATTGTTACAATGAAAGTCTATCTAATTATTCATTTAAATCATTTGGATTAAATTGTGACAGTTATACCATTTATTATGCTGAGAAAACCATTAACCATAAAGCTAATTTAACTTACAAGTTGCTAGTTATTACATTTTAGCAGCTTCGATAAATTGAACACTTAATTGTAAATTTAATTGTTCTCGACGGTGAATTTATCGGGCTGGTTGCATCTATTCAATTCCAATCAATTTTCGATTAGTGATCGAATTTAGTAACATTAAAAGCATTTTCATCTCTTATTGAGCAACATTCAACTACAATGGAGCTTTTTCTAAGTTATTAGTAAGAATAAATTAGTGATATTCTTAGGGTAAAGGTGAATAGATATGGATAGTTGATTGATTAATCAATTGATAGTTTCATTCATGGACTATCAATAGTAATAATTTAGTTTCTTTGCTATTGTAATTTTGCGAAAAATTTTGGCAGCTTCTTCTAAAACCATAATATTTTGAAAACGAATTACACCAATGCTTGGAAAATAATAACGATTCACGTTTCTTGGTGCAAACATTGACGAAAACTTCGAAGAGCACCGAACAAATGTAAAAATCGTTTCATTCGATACGAACGTTACGCGCCTAAAGAAATAGAAGCGATGTCGTAGGGTCAATGGCTAAAAGTTATAAATCTTTTTAATTTTCTCTTTTTTCTTGTTCTACGTAATATAATTGTTAATTAGAGAGAGAGAGAGAGAGGAAAATGAAGAAACAATTAGTAATTGTATGGTCACTTGAATGGAATGAATGAAGTTTGCGACATGGGACTCTATATGAAACGAACACACATTTTAGAGTCAACTCTAAAATTGACCTTCGATGTTACTCGTTTTGCACTTACTGTAGTAGAAACTGTATAATCTTTCTTACTCTTAACCAGAATTTAAAACTTACCGATCCACCTCCCATCATCCTCTCTGCCATGTAAACAGCCTTATTACACCTTGGGCAAATCTCAGATCCGCCGAACTTAAGTTTAGCTGCAATCCCGTTTGCAATACTATTTATTGAATTGTTATTGTTCACCATTCTTGCCACTGATCCTTTTACATTTTCTGTAGAGGTTGTGATTGGGTGAGTAATGATGGTGGTAGCAGTGGTGTTGGTGGTAGTGGTGGTGGGGGTAACATTATTAGTTGTTGAATCATCTGAGGCCAAAGTGGAACCGTTAGGTGATAATGAAGTTTCACATTTATCAGATTCAAGTGAAATGGCCTCATCAGATGTTGGGCTGCAGGTTCCTGAAGAAACTGGTGTTGAATTAGAACTTGCTCCAAGAGATGAAGGTGGCTGGGGTGATGGGGTAGAGGAGACAGAGTTCACTGGAGATGGTGATGCTGATGATGAAATTGAAGATGAAGTTTTAACAACACCGTTTCTCCAATTGGTTTAACTGTTGGTGCATTTACAATCTTAGCTGATCCACCTTCAGTGTTCATAACACCAGCAACTAACCAAATTCATCAAGATTAGATAAAACTTCATCTCATGAGATGAACCATGTCCAGCCATCACAGACAACTTAAAATACAAAGACTTCTTCCATCTCTCATTTCGAACCTTCATCTTTTCACTCAAGTAATGACACTTGGTTTTTGCGCTGGTTGTACACCAAAAGACTTCTGAGATCGCAATTATGAGTTTTTGGGCTTGTCCGTGATTACAAATTTGAATTAACTATATATGACCGAGAAAAATCAGTATAAGAAAAAAGCTCGAGTCATTTAGTTTTGACACAAATTAATTCTAAAACCGAAGAAAAAATCGAGAAAATTAGATCCATGATAAGTCTATGAAAACGTCTCCTCTTCATTTTTTGGAAATTTTCTTTCACATTTCCAATAGACAAAAAAACACTAAAATCGAGGTTTTTTAAATCTTCTCTCAGGCTATAGATAGAATTACAGTGAACATGATTTATTATCAGATTTTTGAGGTGGTTTTGAAAAAGCATTTATTTCATCAAAATTGGAGCATTTGCCGAGAAGATATTAGATCGGGATAATCTTTGCGTCCATTTTCATTTTCCGTCACTTCGACACCAAAAGTCTCAGTCATTAATCATTAATTAATGACGAATATTAGTAATAGATTTTTTAATATTCCAGTTTTAATGAAATTTTGATCCAAAGTTCCCAAATTTTTCCCCACTGGTTAGTATTGGCTAAAGTTTTTCGAAAAATCACCGAATTTTCAATTTTATTTCAAACAAATTTTCAGTTGATTACGAATATGAGTAGAAAAAAAGTTCTAAATTTTCCCTTAGATGCAAACCAATTTTCAAAATCATATCGATTGTCACCCAGTATCACAATAAGGATTAACTGTAAACTTGTCATCATCATGGAAGAGGAAGACAAAAGATGAAATACATAGAACGCGAGAGAGAAAGAGAGAAAGAGAGAAAGAAAAGAAAGAAAAGAGAGAGAGAATGAGTGAGATGTTTAGTAGGAGGTGGAAGGTGAAAGAGAGATGATTCTAATACAAGAAGGAGTTACCCTGGTGAGAGAGAGTCAGGGGGATGAAAAGGATGATAATGATCCTTTGGAATAAAAGAACACAGAGAAAGATGAACATGAATTTTTATTCTAATTCTCTAGTTTATCTTCCCCTCTCTCTTTCTCCTTTTCTCTTTCTTTTTTTATCTTCCTTTTTTCTCATCTTTCTTCTTGCCTTTGTAACATTTCCTCTTCATCATCTTAAGATGATGATAAAAAAAAGTTATCTTTCATCTCTTATCATCTTCTCACTCACTGACTTTTAATCGTAGAAAACAAAACAACAAGATTTCACTCCCTTAGTTTTATCAACAAGTTCATAACTTAAAAGTTACCACAATAAGTAACAACAATCAACAATAATTACAATTGAAAATCATCACAATTTAAGTAACATCACAATCATCATCATCTTAATTGTTTCATTACAAACTAACTCATAGTGTTTGTGCCCATGCTGACAACTTGAAAACTGAATTAACTGTAATTTAATGTCACCCATTTGTTTATATTGACAAAAAAACAAACTTTTCTTGCTACTATTAATAATTACAATTTAATCCAGTTATTAATTATCGATAAAAACATTAAACCATGGAGAATCTTAATTCAACCTCTAATTGTCAATCATCATCATCATCATTAAAGACAATCAATGATATTGATTATTCAGGTGAAAATGATGTCCCATTGAATTTGTGTAAACCTAAAGATGAATCAAGAAAAAGGTAAGAAATTAAATTAATCTAAATCATTACAATCAATTGATTAGACAATATAAATATTATATTACTAATTGTTGGAGGGATATTATCATCATTATATGATTAATATAATAGCTTAATTGTTCAAGTTAATTGTGATTCTTTTGTTTTATGATTTCGACCTCGTTTCATTTAATTATCTTAATAATGATGATAATTTATTATGTTTTTTAATAATCTTCACTTAATTTAGTAACTTAATTTTAGCTACAATCAGATAGTAAATAAATTAATTCCCTATTAACTAACCTATGGTTGACATTAATTGCTAATTGTTTATAAGATATAATCTTTGTTTCAACAACAAAACGATTAACTGATTAACAATTAAGACATTAAATTCCTTGGGTAATTTAATGGTAATCAATGTTTTTCTGTCTCATTTCCTTGTGAATGATGATGATTATTAATTTGTTTCTAATTGTGATTCTATTGCCTGTGTAGGAGAGTTTAATTGTTAAGACAATGAAATTAATTATCAAAAGATAAAGTGTTTAATTAATACCAATGTAATAAACGAATAAAACAAAAAAAAGAATAAGAAAAAAATGATAACAATTAATCAGATTTCATTCATTATCATGTATTTACTGAAAATTCTGTGTGAATAAGATTAACTTTTCTTTTCTCTCTCTCTCTCTCTCTCTCTCTCTCTCTCTCTGAAATTTCAGAATTTTCTCAAGAACCTTGACAACAGGTAATAGAACATGATGATGATGATGATATTAAACCGACATCATCAGTAAAGAAAAAGGTAGAAGATGATAAGATGAAGATTAGAATGCAAAAAAGGGAAAAGAAAAATTTTTTGTTCTTTTTTCATTTGATAATCTAACTGTTGTTGAGATTTCGAATGCTGAGTTCAGGTGAATTGATGTTTATAATGATAAATGTGACACAAAAGTAAAAAAGACCGACACAATAGGTTATTCTCATAAGATGATGATGCTCAATATCTAATGATAGATGTGAAGATGAAGTAAAGGAAAACTAGAAGATGGAAAAAGTTGATAAGTTAAAGAAAGAAACTTTTTCGACCCTAGTTACCTGTGTTCGATTTAATAACAATCATCATGTAGAAGATAATAATTACTAAGATAGTGATAGAGAGAGTATAATGTGGGAGTTGAGTGGGTGGGGTAGAGAGGGAAACAAATTAACAGAAACCGCTAATTTCCTTATATCAAAATGATCATTCCGCTGATCAATATCTTCCTTTTGTTTTCCTCATCTCGAGCATCCTCTTCATGGAGAAGGGGGTTGAGGTTGAGATGATGAAGAAAAGATGATGCTGATGATGACTTGAGAGAGAGATATTAATTACTCTCTTAATTGTTATCATCTCTTGAGCAACTTTGTCTTATTACCGTCCTATTGTCTTAATATGTTTTTAAGTTTCTCTCTTTCCGAGTTAATCAACAAAAGAGACAAATCAATGTTTACTGATTAGTTGAATGATGATGATTCTACAACAATTAATGTTAATTATCCAATAATAATAATAATAATAGTAATTGTGACGAATCGGCAAAAAGTTTAATTATGATCAACAATCAAAATTATTAAGATTGAGAGGGAAAATCTTATAACAATTAAATCAAAGGTAAACCGTTAATTGTTATCGATTGAGTTAAGAACAAAAAAACTTCAAAATCATTTCGACTCCAAAGTCCCTCCACTTTAATTATAATTAGTTGATTGTTGTTGTCATCATTCATCTCTTAGTATTAGATAAAGTAAAATGATTATGTTAATTATTGATGATTATGATGATTTGGTCATGATAGACAAATAAATCATTATTTTTCATTTGATTTGTCTTTTACTTTTGTCTTAACTATTTGATGGTTAATTAGTCGGTGATCTTAATCAAAGTATCTACATACACTAATTACAACTAATCAATATTATCAGCACGATTATATCACAATAAGCATGCTAATTGTTTGATATTATCAATTTTAATCGTCATTATCTATTAGCTAGGATAAAGTCATTAAGCAACAATAGCGAAAATTATTCTTGATTGTTATTTCATTGGTCAACAATTAGTTAATCAGTTGTCAATGAAACAAGAAATTAAATCCAAACTGAATATTCCTATCTAATAATTAATATAATACAATAAAATCATTATTTAAGTCTCACAAAATAATGTTTTCTTGTAATTATGATTAATTATTCAATTGTGTTAATAGGATGATTGGGAATAAAAATAGAAACTAAATTATCAGGTTAATTGTTGTTGATTAAGATTTCAGAAAACAAGAACTTTTAAATGCTAACCAGAACGGTTTATTTTGGGTTGAATTTAATAACTTTTCTTGCTGATTGTGCTCATCATTCATGGTTTTTAAGAAGATGATTAAGATAGTTTTCTATGTAATTAGTATTCAGTATTAACCATTGACAAGATGATGGTGATGAAAATGATGATAAAAGGATGAGGATGATAAGTTGATTATCTGTTAGGATTTTTTTTTCCTTCAGATTTTGGGTTAAAATTGAAAACTTTTCTTCCTGATGGTTGAATTTTTTTTTATAACTAAACAGAAAAGTTAATTGCAATTTAAAAGTTAATTGTTTAAACACTAATGATGTAGAAAAAAGTTTAAAATCATCATCATCATCATCATTATCCTCTCATCTTTGGTGTATCTTTTTCGTATCTCTCAGTTAAATACAAACAACAGATTTTCATGGGAAATCATGAGGATCATCATGGTGATTAAAATGAAGACAATTATCTTCCTATCTTCTTACTCTTTCACTTATTTTCTTATAATTATTTTTTTTCTAGTTGATACACTGAAATCCTCTTACTTTCTCTTTCTCTCTGTCAATTTTGAAGATGATGAGGATCAGGATTAGGATTAGGATGATGACTAAGATGAAGATGATCTTAGCTCTGACTTTCTCCTAACTAATAATATCAAAAAAAAACAAACATTCAGTTGGATGTTATCCAGATTTGACTCATTTCCATCCTTAACTCATTTGTTTTTATCACTTGTTAACTTAAATAGATTCAACAATCATAATAACTTATTAGCAAAAATTATTACTGATAATTTATTATCAATTAGTTATTGATATCCAAAGCATAAATATAACCCCAAAATTATGTAAATATCAAAGTTACTAGACAAAGTATCAATCTGATTAATCAATTAATTGTGATACTTATAACTTTTCAAGTACAATTAAACTTGTTGATTAGTATGAAAACTTTCAATTAAAATTAACTATCAACCGATTACTTATTTGACTGGTGATTGATTTGATTGCTAACTTTAATTGTGATGGTAATCAAAAAACAAATTTGACATAAATAAATGTGTCTGTGTGTTTTGAAATTATATAAACACAATTAAATTAAATGCAATCAGAATGAGTCTTATTGTGGATAAGATAAATAAACAATTTAAGTTTGTAAATTAGCAAAAAAAAAATTCCGATTCCAAATTAATGTGTTTAACTGAATAACAATTAAACTATGAACTGATTTAACTGTTAAACCAGTTAAATTGTAAGCTGTTAATTGCTGAATCCCTAAATTTGGCCAACTGATCAATCAATGATCTAAAAATAATCGGTAACAATCAATAAGTTAATTCAACAACAAGCAACAGGAAATAACAACAATTTAACATGATGACAAACAATTAAGAGAAAGAAAGAAAAAAGTTCTTGTAAGTTTTGTGATGAATGTTCAGTTCCCCATGAAACTCATGCAACTCAGAATGATGAACCAAGAGATTGTCAATCAAAAGAAGAGAGAGAGAGAGAGAGAGAGAGATTCAAATTCAAGTGTGACAAAGATGCTGAGGCCTAGAAAACGCCCAATTCGTCAGTTCGTCGATTTTGTTTGTTCAACTAAAAATCGAAAAAAAAAATTCGTTTATCCTTCATTCGTCTTCCTTGTTTGTCTTCATGATGAAATTTGTTTTTCTCTTCTCTTATTATTGTCAACAAAAGTTGATAAAACTTGAGGTTTACTTTCATTACCTTAATTGTTACAATCAATTGATGAATCTATCAGATGAATCAGATAGTTGCCATCATCATGGAGATGGTTAATTGTGATCATCAATCTTAATGTGTAATAAGAATCAAGAAAACTACTGAACTATTAATAAGACATTAGATTCAATTCTGATAATTCAATGATATCTATTAATTAATATTAAGAAACTTTTTTTATTATTAATTGTTGCTGATGTTAATTGTTGTAACTATAACGATGATTATAAACATTGATTAATCATCAACATCTAAGAAGGTAATTATTATTATTATGATTATTTCTATGATCAATTAAACACAGAAAAAAAGTAATCATGGAAACCTCAATGTAAATATTTAGTTGGTAAATCAAATTAAATTAGATTCAGTTTAGCTTTTTTTATTGATTGTTACACTTGAAAATTGTTGTTGATTGTTGATTGTTGACTTGATAGTGATATTTAAACATAATTGTTAAGATTGAGACATTTGACAGAAAACATTGATTTACTAATTGCTCTGCAATCAAATCAATTGATCAATTCAATTAACAGTTAATCCTTCAAATTGCAAAAGTTAAACAACTTTCATTGATAATAATCATCAACAATTAACTCAATTTTAGATAATTATGATTAATATATCAAATAATCAACTAATCATGAGAATCAAATTAAAGTATTATTATTATAATAGCATAATTATCAATCCTAATAACAGTTGAGCTAATTAACTAATTTTTTGTTTCTAAAAATTTACTCAACTCGGTTTAAGATCACTATTAATTTTAATCATTCAGAATTCGAATCAAATTAAGCCAAAAACAATTAATTTTCTTGTTTATTATTACATTTTAACCAATTAGTGTGAAAACCATGAGATATTAATGATAATTGTGGTTAGAACTTTTCGAAAAGTTTCAAAAAGTTCAAATTCTTTCCAGAGTTTCTTAATTAATGGTGATTTCTAACTGAATCAAAAAGAGGAACATTTTCCCTACTAATTATGATTAATAAATTGTAGTTTTTTTAACTTAGATGAAAATTAATCAGCAAAGAAAAAAAAACTCGATTTAAAAGTTCGAGCGAAAAACTTTTTCGGTTCAAATTGAAGTTCGAACTTTTTTCTCTCTATCTTTCTCTTTTGTCTTCATATATTCTGTAATCTTGAATAATAAAAATCTCTTCAGGTTATTAGTTATCATCGTGATTAGTTGATTGATTGGTTACAATTAAGTTAATCATGATAATCAGAAAAAAGTCAATTAAGCCGACGTATTGTTTTCAAGTATTTGATTTTGTTTATTATTTGATTTCTCATTCATCATCATCATCATCATCATCCTGCTAATCACTTTATTTCATCTGATTTTAATCAGTCAATCCAAATGAATAAAAAATTATAATGTTACTATAATATTAATCACTTGAACAATTAACTAATAGTGATTGAACTTATGTTATTGAGTGTCGTTGTTTTTTTATTATTATGACAACAAAATTAAGACGAAAACTTTTTTTTCGTAATTACCTCAGCATTTTATTTGTACATCTAAATATATTTAACTTAGATTATTATCCATAGATTATTGTTAATAACAAAAAGAAAACGTCATGATTTGATTAATTGTTTCAAATGATAATTAATTAAGATTGTTAATTATGTAAGGAAAGGAAAAAAATTTCGCTTATCGAAATTTTCTCAAGGTTTTCTTACCTACTTGAAAATCTTATTATTTACTTCAACTCTTTTCTATTTCCCCATTGAACACAGTTATTATATTCATATTTTTCGATAGTTAATTGTCCATATGATCATGATTATCTAATTAATAACAGCTATTTGCCTCTCTCTCTCTCTCTCTCTAACTCTCTTTCTCTCATTTTCTTTCATTAACAATCATGTTTCGATCTTTTTTCATCGAAAAAAAGTCGTAATAAATATAAGTGACTAAGGATTATATTAACAATAATTATTGACTATTTCATGACTAAATCTTAATCAGGATAATTAATTAATTGTTGCGAATTGCAAGTTTTGCTTAATACAAACTTCTATTGAGCTGTCATCTGGTGAGCATTGGAATAGCTAGTTAGGAATCTTTTGAAAACGATAATCGACAATTTTGACTTTTCAATGGGCAAAGTTTGCAATAATTTTTGCTTTTTCGATCTTACCTGAACTTTGGTCGCAATCGAGAAAAATAGTCCAACAGTAGCATTTCTTATGGCCAACTTAATTTAACATGGAGATTAACTTTATTCAAAGCTTAAGATTTGCTCTTCTTGTTGAGAGTCAATAACGAGTCTATTGGTCTTTGTATTTAGTATTTAAATGAAGTCTCGTGAAGTCCATCGAGGTATCGAGGCCACTTAAACGTGATTAATTCTTGTTTTCCCTGAATAACAAAATTTAAAAAAAAAACGATACCTCAAATCGTCAATAGATATGAAAATATATTCTCAGGGAAGATTCAGTTCAGTTTTGAGATTGTTGTTTTCTTTTTTTCGCATCTTGATTGATATTTTTGTCATCCCTAATTCTTAGACAATTAATTGATTTTTGTATTCTTTTTATTGAAATTCTAGACCTTTGGAAGAGGATTTTCATCCATCATCGATATTCAGTCGTCCCAAGATCCTTGCCAATCGATCATCTAATCCAGTGACACCTTTGTTTTCACTTCGAGCAAATTTGGTTAATCCAATTGGTTCTGTTCATGTCAATCATCATCCTTATTTGTTATCATCCTCACAACAATCTCCATGTCCAACTGATAAAACGGGAATAAGTCCAATTTCAATCAAGTCCTTTAAGAAAAGACGAATAGAGGAAAATGTTAACCATGGAAAATCCTGTTTGGAAAGAAAAGAAATGACACCGGATGTAGAGGAAGAAGAAAATGAAAATGAAAATGAAAACGAATTAGTTGAAGAAGATGAAGAAGAATATGAAGAAAATGATGAAGAAGAGGAAGTTTATGATGAAGATGAAACCCTAGCCGAATATAATCGTCTTCATTATCATCGAATGTCCAACAACAGTTCACCAGAGTATCAGAATTTCCCCTATGGTGTTAATGGTCTTCATCGACTACACGAATACAATTCTGGTTCAACGACAACATCCTCATCTTCTCATGGAAATCCAAGTTATTCTGTTTCTTATTCTCATCATTCACCTTCTTCATCTGGTCCACCCTTTAATGGTTACGGTTCATCTTCACCTTCTCCCGTTGTAACCGGTGTAACCGATTTAAGGTCTTCTCAACCTTCACCTTCATCATCTCCTCTTTGTTCATCCTCATCTTCATCTTTCTCATCTGCATCATCTTCATCTCTTTCACCTTCACCCTCTCACCACATGATTACTGATAATTTACACAATTTAAAACCTCATCAGACCAACTTCCTAATCCAAAGTATAATCCAGCAAAATGGTGACACTTCCGTTGCCTTTCCCCTTTATCTTCCAAATCATCATCATCACTCTCATCATCTTCTTCATCACCAATCTCAATCGATATCATCTTCATGTGATCAAACAACGAGAAAACTAAGTAAGTAATAGTAATCAGATAAAGTAAATTATTAAATTCTCACCATTAACAGTTTTTCCAAGATTCATTTTCTCATCATATGTATATTGATAAACACAATCAACTGTTATCATCTCACTTTAGACTGTTGTTAATTAATTGTGATGATAGACAAATTATATAGATTCTAACAATTATTATTTTCTAGATGGTGAAACCAATTATTTCCAGTTATTCAGTTAACAAGAATATGATTAACTAAATGAGAAATGAACCATTCGAATACTTTTGGCTTTTAGCCATAGAAACAAAATTCTAGAGCCAATATTCAGAAGCTACGATGATAGAGAAAAGTGTATTTCATATTCACCATCACAAAAGCTCATCTTCACAATTTAATTAGACCGTAAACAAAATCCTCTCTATGTCATGTTATAAACTGTAATTGATATTAATCAACAGGCAACAAAATTAACAGAATCGATCATTTATCCTACGAGAGAATTTCATGTTTATCATTTGATATCATTGGTGATTGACATGAATTTGGAATTGTCCTTTTGTTTTTCCTGGCGAAAAATTAAGAAAAAAATTAATTGTTAATCTGTGTTTGTTTACTTTTGTTTTCGCAATTAGATAACAAGGATGGTTTACATGTAATTAAAAATTCTCAAGATGAATTACCTCGGGCTCACATTAAAAGACCAATGAACGCGTTCATGGTTTGGGCTAAAGAAGAACGGAAAAAGATCTCGAAATTATTTCCAAATATGCATAATTCAGCCATTTCAAAGCTTTTAGGTAAGAAGAAAATCCTTGATTACTCATTTAATTATCGTCAATTCTATCTGCAACAATTGAGAACAAACAATAATCAATTGAAGACTGATGATGGTTAATTGATTGTTGTTGTCAATCGGAAATGTAACTGTTCATTAGTCTTATTGCTAATTATTAATACTTATCTTAATTCCTTTTTCTATTCTTCTCCATCTCTCTCTTATCATCTATTAGGTGTCCGTTGGAAATCAATGCCATCTACTGAAAAGCAGCGTTATTTTGATGAACAATCTCGACTTAATAAACTTCACATGGAAAAGTATCCCGATTATCGTTACCGTCCAAGGCCTAAACGAACCTGCGTTTTTGAAGGTCGTAAAATGAAGATATCAGCACTTAAACAGTTGATCAAACAAAACAATGGAACCGTAGGTTATGTCTAAATCCAATCGATCGGGCCAATTGTCGAAATCGTTACGTCCAAAGGATTATCTCTCTTGCCAAAGCCTTAAAAGTCAAAAATCAGATAAATTAAATTCATAATCAATAGTCAAATCCCTTTTGAATGTGTTTTTTTTTCATCTTAACCACAAAACAATCACCAAAACATCAATTTAATTTCAATGTTATATTCAATCATGTATAGTTAAATCAACGATACATGTTTATGTAATACAATTCATGTTAATTTAACAAATGTCTTCTTTATCACAATATTGTATCATCATGTTTTTGAAACATTTTAAGATCAAATTACCAAATACAAAATGGTTACTTTAAATTATGGCAAATTCAAGTTTCAATTTTGTATCTAAAAGTAAATCAGTTGTTTAAATCATACATTATTATTACATGTATTAATCTCAGCAACAAGTAGGAACAAGTTCCAACAAATGGGTTTACATGATGATTAGAACATGATTACTTACAGAAATCAATACGAATCTTTTCAATTTTTTTTTTGCAAGAGCTTCTTATCAATCTTTCCATTATCATTAAGTTTAATCATCATCATGTTGATGATAATTATCATTTCAATTCTGGTTCAACAGAGGAGAAAAAAACTAATTCTTCAACTCATATCTCTCTATCACTTATGAAGCTCTTACAGAAACAATCGTGAAACTGTTGAAATCTTTTAAATAGATAACACCAAATGATGAGAGAATGATGATCAAACATTTAAGATAATTTAAAAGAAACAATTGATTTACAATTAAACATAAAAATTAATTCAAATCAACAGTAAACACAAAACATAACGGAAATAAGTATTTACCTTAACCGCCATTAAGATGCAGACAGAAAATCTTGTAAAATTGATAATCAGTCATATCCAAAGTTCAATGAAAGAGTCAAGATATACACACAAGATAAGAAGGTAATAACAATTAACATTTTCAATTCTCAACAGTTAACAATTTAATCTTGTCATTTAAGTTTGAAGGTAACTATTAACAATTGTGATTCTTTCAAGTAGTTCAATTAACTCAATTGTTTCAACCACTTTAATCTAATTTTCCGTTTTTTTTGCTCTTTCATTTGTCAATTTCTCTTTAACAGATTTCCGACATATTGGACTTTTTCTTTACACATTTTTCTCCACAGTGATTATCAATTGTTTTCTATTTCTATTCTTAATTAATTGTCATCTCATCTAATTGTCATCATCATGCCTGGAATTTGTCACCGTTGTGAGAAAACTGTTTACTTTAATGAGGAGCGAATGGCTATTGGTAAATCTTTCCATAAGACATGTTTCGTTTGTGGTGAGTTTTTTTCTTTTTTTTTTTTATTAAATTTTCTCTTTTAATTGTTTACTGATTAGTAGAATTTGTTTTCTTATATTTAATATTAATCGACTCTTGAAAGGATAAAGAGAATCTCTTAGCAACCATTTTGTTTTTCTTTTCTCATTTGTTCCCGGGTAAATGATTTCCCTCTATTCTTATGATGTTGTTTCCTTTTTTATCTAACTGACAGTTAATCTAATTTCTTTTAATTGTTAGATTTCCACTTATTAATTTATCTTAATTTCTCTCTAATCAAATATATCGGTGATTTTTAGGTTAACAATCTCAACAGATAGAATAGAAAATAGAGACAACCTGTTAGTCATTTTCTTCTGTTGGATAGAATTTTTTAATGTTCTATTCTCTTTGACGCCATTTTTGTTACTTTTCATTTTCTGTTCTATTTTGCACTTTTCATCATTTCTTTTTTTTTCTCTGATTCTCTCTTTGTTTTGCTTTTTCTCCCAATAATGGAAAAGAAATGATTAATTAGCGAAATTATGTAGCACAACTGTACTTCCATTGGTTAGTAATCGGAAATGATTCATTTTCCTTATACAAAAACTCTGAAAGAAAAGTTAGCTCATCATTTTCTGTCAGTTTCGCTAAAATAACATTGTTTTAATTTGAATCGCAATTATATTCTCATATTAATCAACTTTTTTTCCTCACAATTAAAGTCTCAAATATTCCCACTTTACTGCGATTTACCGTCTTCTCTTGTTGATTAGGTGATATTTTTTTTCCATCTTCATGTACTTACATTTATATTATTCTGATGTTAATTGTTCTTTGTGAGTGCAAATTGATTAGTTTCATCTATACTGTAATTAGATTTGATGATTGACAATATAAAATGATATCCAATCTAGTGAGTTCTACTCTCACACACACATTGATGTTTTTCCTTCAGAGTTGAATGACGATACAATTTCAAATTTCTTCACAACAATTCTTACCCTCTAATAATAGTAACCTTGATCGATTTACCTTGACAAAGAGAGAGAGAGAGAGAGATTCTGCTGATGAACATTCATTATTATTAATGTTCACAATGTTCTTTATTGTTTGTTGAAGAAAATCTCATCAAGATACAATTTCAAATTTCTTCACAACAATTCTTACCCTCTAATAATAGTAACCTTGATCGATTTACCTTGACAAAGAGAGAGAGAGAGAGAGAGAAAAGAAAATTCTGCTGATAAACATTCATTATTATTAATGTTCACAATGTTCTTTATTGTTTGTTGAAGAAAATCTCATCAGAATTTCTTTACCATTACAAACCCAAATTCTTGTCCCCATGTAGTAAAATAATATTTGTGTGTGAATCGCATCCTCTTCTTGAGGTGTTCCCTCTGTTAGCAATGTTTGATTTTCCAAAATCTATCATTATCTCAGCTGATTACATCATTTTATCCATCATCAGATAATGACGGAGATAAATTGAATGAGCAACAACAAGAATATGAACCACGATTTTTTCTATTAGTTGTAAACACATTTTAAATAATAGAAGAAAAATCAAATTCGTATAATCAAAATTTTTCATTCTTTTCTCTCCTACAAAAACCAAATACAGAACTTTTTTTTGATAAACAATGAAAATCTTAAAGGAAACTCCTTAATCAACCTATTCAGGACAAGTTTGGGTGTGTGTTTTAGTTAATTGTTTAAATCACAATTTCACTTTCCCTTTGGTTAAACTGTCTTGATGATTTAACCAAATGATGATGATAATGAATGAGAAACAAAGACGACGAAACGACAAAAACAATCAAGGACGTGTTGGCATAAAATAAGAAAATCATTTCAACTCATAACCAAATAAGGTCAAAACCTTTTTGATAAACTGATATGATAAAAAATGAAGACAATAACAACAATCAACAAACATGAATAACCAAATAAGGTCAAAACCTTTTTGATAAACTGATATGATAAAAAATGAAGACAATAACAACAATCAACAAACATGAGATATTAATTTGTAATATTATCAACACTTATGTTGATAATAAGGATTGTGCTTGATTGTTTACACGATCCTTTTTTTTCAACCGGTTATTATTTTCTTCAATATATTCAACTGTATAATAATTACAATTAACAGTGATTGTGATTATTAACCATCATCTTATTTAATAGAGAAAAAAAAATTTCCTCCTCATTGGGAACCGTATTTACGGTTGAAAATATTTAATTACCGTTATTTATTAACTATTACTACTACTGTTAAACTGACCGTTAATTTAATTCATACCGAGTTATTATTATTTTAGTGTTTGAGTTACAATTTACAACACCATTAATCAATTATTCAAAGGTAAAAGTGTCAAGGTTAATTTGACCTCAACCTTAGGTGTGTACTTAAATCATCAGAATTAACCATTAATTGTTTTAGATTGTTAACTTCTTGAAGGTTGAGATGAACGAAATTGATTCTGATTATTGTCTAGTTTTTTTTTGTAACCTCTTTTGATAATTTACTGATGATTGGGATGCAATCAACTGATCATTTTGTATTATAATTGTGATGATGATGTAAAGAGGAAAAGGTTTACCTCTTAAGTATTTCCGTTTTGTTTGCTATATTTGATTTCAGGTAGCTAATTGTTAACTTTATCGGTTGATTAATTTCAAGATATTTTCTGAACCTTTTTTTTCTCGTCAAATTTGATCAGCATCACCAAATGTAAACTCTAATCATTAACATCCTCATCTTTTCTACCTCATCACATCCTTCATCAATGAAGAGAAAAGATTTATCAATCGTTGATTGTTATTCTTTAGAGACAAATCATCTATGTTTTAAGCTGATTGATTGAAATTTCTTTTCTGTGAGAGTAAATAAGGGAAAAAAATATAACTTTCATCTTCTTCTTCTACTGAATTGATTTTCTATCTCAACTGTGAACAAACTGATAGAATTTATTAAAGTGGTCCCATCAATGAGGGATTTTTTATTTGTAGTAATAGAAGTACAATGAACTTGATACGTTATACGTTTTTCTCACACACAACTTTCCCGCTCATTGGCACGTACATGAAACTTTTAAAATCTTGTGTTAATTTAGTAGGAACTTGATTGAACCTTTTTAAAACTAACAACTTTTTTCCGGTTAAGTTTTTTCCCCCTTATAGTCTTACATGATTTCTAATGATAGTAATTACAAGTGTCTGGATATTATTGATTCTTACACTTACATTAAATTGTTCTGTCAATAACTTTACAATTAATTTCGATTGTTTCGTGTTTTCTCTCCCTCTCTCTCTCTCATATAGCAAACAAGGGTTGTGGCCGTCGACTTGATAGCGGTAACTTGACTGAACATAATGCTGATGTTTACTGTCGATCTTGTTATGGAAAATTATTTGGACCTAAAGGTTATGGTTATGGACTTGGTGCTGGTGTTATGAACACTGAAGGTGGATCAGCTAAGATTGTAAATGCACCAACAGTTAAACCAATTGGAGAAACGGTTGTTGTTAAAACTTCATCTTCAATTTCATCATCAGCATCACCATCTCCAGTGAACTCTGTCTCCTCTACCCCATCACCCCAGCCACCTTCATCTCTTGGAGCAAGTTCTAATTCAACACCAGTTTCTTCAGGAACCTGCAGCCCAACATCTGATGAGGCTATTTCACTTGAATCTGATAAATGTGAAACTTCATTATCACCTAACGGTTCCACTTTGGCCTCAGATGATTCAACAACTAATGTTACCCCACCACCACTACCAAACACCACTGCTACCATCATTACTACCCCAATCACATTTACTGTACTTCAAGGGCATAAGTGAAAAGTATAAGTGCAAAACGAGTAACATCGAAGGTAAATTTGAGGCTCCCAAAGAAAATGACGATAACCTGAACCCCGATGACTAGAAGCGCATAATTTTACTTATCATGAATTAAAGTTTCTTTTGCTTAATAGTAAACGGTAACTTAACTTTAAACTTTCATCCAAAAATGAGAGAAAAAAAAGAGAGGCTAAAGCTGATAAACAAGATTTAAAGAAAAGAGTGAGAGAGAAAGAATTTACTCAGGTAATCATGTAAATCAATACAAATCGCCGATTTGATTATTATTATTCAAGGTTAATCACTGACAAAGAGCATTTTCAATTATCATCATGAACAAACCACTTATCCCTCACCCTCTTCATCTCTCAATATTTCCAGCCTTTTATGATTTTATCACATACATATTACCATGTATTTCAAATGCAATTTTTTTCTCACAATCTCATTTATTTACCTTTTACAGTAGTAAATTTATTGAAATTATAAAGTTGATTTAACTAATCATTAGCACTTTTCATTGCACTTTCACTCACGTATGAATTGAAACACGATAATTTATTATCATAATTATGAAAAACTATTTCCAAATTAATCATCTAATCATCAGGAAATTAATCTGCTTAGATTCATTTGATGTCAATCAGCAATCAAATAGCTTAAACTTGTCATTTTGATCTTCATTTAATTTGTTTTTCATTAATCAAATTAATAATTTACTAATTTGATAATTTATTTAGGCCAATATAAGGTTTCTCTCTCTCTCTCTTCTTTCTTTCTCTCTCAGTCACTCATTAAGTCCACTAAGATTTAATTGGAAACTTAATTTCTTGACCAAGAACTGATTGCTTGTCAGGTCACTTTGAAGTAAAAAAAGTCTTGCTCACTTAAAAATCAAATAAGAGCGTTTGTTTTTTTTCTGACTGTCAAAAATGTATGTAAAAGCTAATCAACTAATCAAGGAAATCAAGTTAATTCCCATTTAAGGTTTAATTTTCTTCTTCTCCTCCTTACCTTGTTTAGCTTCTCTAATCCAATCTAGATTAGGCGGAAAGATCAATTGCAATTATCGATGCCACCATTGATTTTTCTTGACCATTTCTTTTGATAAGTTTGCTTCTGCTGCTGATAATGATAATTGCTGATGACAGGTACATTTAATGACCTTGTTTTATATGTAATATTGATTATTATCAATTGAAACAGTGTTTATACTGATCAACCAGAACGCGGACAAGACTTTTATAATAATTTATCCTTCAATTAAATGAAACCGTTTCTTAATTAATTGTCAGATATTAATTAATATCAACCAGACCAATAAAGATGAGACCACTTATTGGACACACGAGGTCGTTTAAGATTAATACTCTTGTTGATAATAGTAAATAGTTTTAATAGGGTATGAAGCCCATTTTTGTTTAACCCCAACAATTTGATTAGCTGTTAATCAGTAAATTGTTACAAAATTTACCCCAAATTTTATCAATTGCATTTTACTCCGTTCTTATATTATCTTTATCATCATCATCATCATCTCCTTTATTATCCCAATAGAATCTAAATTGTTGCTTAATTATTAATCTGTAAACTGTATTTGCCTTTAATTCTCTTTCTTATTCTTGATAATTTATTTTCTTGTTTTACCATTTTTCCTGCAATTAACTAATTGTGATCATTTTTTCTTCTTCTCATTCAGGCTTGGCATAAAACGAGTTGCTTTAATTGTAAGGAGTGTCACAAACGTCTGGAATCAACAACTCTTTGTGAAAAAGAACATGAAATTTACTGTAAAAGTAAGTAATTAATTGGCAATTTAGTAAATCATTTTGCCTAAAAGCACAAAATTAACATCCAACTATCATATTAATAAGAGTTAACCGATTGATCAAAGAAACAAGAAATTTATTTTTCATTCAGAAACCGATTTAGTCTCGGTTAAAATTTAGAATACTGATTTACTGTATAAGTTAATTTCTAGCTCATTAATTTGATGAAAATCTTTTCATATCTTTTTTGTTAATTGTTGTAAGTTAACTTTATGCTCCAGTTTAAGCATGATTTATATTATTATTAATTGTAATGAACAATTTTTCAGAGTCTTATAGTTTAATTTGAACTAAATTATTTATTGAGAACAATCAAAAACAATTGATGATTATGTGAATCAATTTCTATCTCATCAGTTAAGGGAGGAAAACTGTTACTACTTTTGTGGTATATGTTTCCGTTTACTCTTCCCTATCATGATCTAACCTAATTACACAAATTGAAATAACAACAATTTATCAAAATATCAGGAAGTTTAAATTTAGTTAGTGTTTCCTTTTTGTAGATTTAATCATAATTGTCACTTCTTAATTTGACCGATAACTTTTGATTAATATCTTTCAATTCTCTGGGGTGAAGATTAATGATCTTAATTTTGCTCTTCAGAAAATTTGTTGATTCTAATTGTTTTAATTTTATTTCCTTCTCTCTTTCTATTTTCCTTAGCTTGTTACCGTAAAAACTGGGGACCCAAAGGTTATGGATATGGAGTTACTGCCTTACAATCCTGCAAATGATTTTCTTAACAATCAACTAATTGCTCAGATTAACTCTACCTTTGGCTTGTTCTGGCTCGATGTTCAATAAGGATCATCCAAATTGATTCAATTCTTATCACTTATATTTTTATCAAATAACCCGTTTTCTTAGGACAAGGTGAACCTCAAATACAACAATTAACTTTTAATCGTTGATATTTTAATTTTATTAATTGTTTGCAAATTGCAAGACAATAACCATAGTATTGACCACAATTCAATTTTATCGCAAGTAAATTGAGAGTCAATCTCCACAATCAACCTTGGAATTGGATAATTATTAAATTATTTAATCTGATTGAATTTATTGATTATTATTATATTATTATTATTATTATACTTTTTTTTGTTTCTATCTCACTGATTAATTTCAGGTTCCTTAACTTTAATTGTGATTCCTTAATTATTACCATCAATTATGTAAACCTTGATTCCCAAATTTTTTTTTACTCACCATTCAATCACAATCAAATCTTGACCAATGTGTATTTTAAATTATCTTTTATTACTCTAATCAAATTTAACTAACCACAATCAACTAAATCTTTCACCATTTGGCCCCAAATTTACAGTATCTTTTAATTGTTTCAATCTAATAATATTGATGAACACAATTAAGCTTGATAACAATGGAAATATATAAATTTGTATACAATAAATTTTATATATTTCTAATCATTTATTGTATTCACAATTTAATCAACTCTCCCAATGGTAATTCAAATTAACTAATTTTATTACTTTCTTGTTTGAAACAATAAGATTACTAGTAATTGATTAAAGATAAATTAATCAACTAATTCTTATGAATTGTATTTACCTGATACATTTTAATTAATATAAAAACGCCTTCGAAAATAATTAACTAAACATTAAATTGTCCAATTAACTGCAGAAACCAGAGGTTAAACCTGAATTAAGCTCTTAATTGCTGATTAGTGTTACCTGAAACTTGAAGAGTTTTCAATTCAATTCATTTTGTGAAGTAATTAGTTAATCAATCGGATTACCAACAAACAATTAGTTAACCAACATGAATAGTGATTCCTCATTTCTGGTTCTCAATACTGATTACCTCAAGTCTAAATTTGGCATTTGCAAATTGATCATAAGTGTGAGTTGATTGGATATTAATAATCAACTGTGTCTAAATTGTTACAATTAACTTGATTTCTTTGTTTTTTTTACTTTCAGCTACTTGCATTGATTTCAATTATTCTGTTGTCACCAAGATCTCATTTCTTTTTCGTTACGAATCGTTATTTGTTTCTTTACGCAATTAACTGGATCCAATTTTACACAATCACAATTATGCTAATTTGTTGTCTATTTTCAGCCAATACTTCATCACTTTTGACCCAAATTAACTTTGTAAGTAAATCTCTTGAGTGACCACTTCAAATATTATGAGTGGTCAAGATTTAATTAACAACGTTTGGTATAAGTTGATTATGAGAGTTAATTGTTTCTTTGGACTTTGATTGTTATTAATAAATTAGGATTATGTTTATCATTTCATCTCAATGATCATGTATCTGGTTACTGGCCTGTGGTCAGTATCAAAATTGACCGACACTGACATGACAGCTTATAAAATTGCAGCAGTAAGTTGATTGTTTAGATATTGTGATCAGATTAATTAATTCAATTTCTTTTTCTGTATTTAATTGTGATTAGATATTCGCCTTTATCAATTCACTTGTTCATGCAGCTCATGGGTTTTTTTCATTCTCATCATACAAATCAGAGTAAATTGTAAACAATTAAATTTGTTAGGATTGGAAAATAAGCAAAGTGATTAAACTGATTCATTGAATGATCCGTAATTTAATCTAATTCAATTGTCTCAACGTGGCCGCGTGCACCCGGAGGACTTGAACTTGAATAGACCAGCGAACTGATGAACTGTTGATGCTCATACTTTTCTGCTATTTTTAGATCCAATAAATGACAAAGCAAATAAAATATTCGAAATTTTTGATGGAAATCACCAAGTCCACAATCGAAACTTGAAGTCGTTTTGTTGCTTTAGTGCTTATATGAATTTATACTTAGCCAATGTCGAAAAAAACGCTCTTCAATCTCTAATTATCGCAAGAGAACCATTTTGGTTCATATTAGCGCTTTATCTAGTGAAATCAATGAATAGAGAGTAAGTTCCAATCGACTGTTGGCCATATCGAGAGCGAAATTGTTTCCATACCAAGAGCGATCTCGCTCATTCCAAATTGGTTTAACTTTTTCTATTCCAAAGACAAAAATGAAAAAGTATTTACTGTTATTGAGATGAGATAAATCATTGATCTGATAATAGATTAGAGATGATTGAGACTAATCAATTTTACTCATTTAATTTTCAAACAATGTGATTAAAATTATCTATTTAATTAGTGATCAAGACCAAATTTGGTGAGCATTATTTCATTAAGCCATTTTCTATCACTTAAAGTTTAATGTTAGAGGTCTATGAGGGAGATATGAAAATACTTTAATTGTTACCAAATTCGGGCTTGATTAGATCACTAATCAGAAATTGATTCTTTTTTTTCGACCAGCTCAATAAATACGCCTTCGAGAACAATCTAATATATAAAATAAACACTCAATTGTCAATTTAATTGTAACAATCGAAGGCTTAGCTTGGATTCTAGCTAGACTACAATTTAGTCTCTGGATTTTTAATTTCTTTGATTCAGTTGTTGTGAATTTATTTTCGAAAGTTCTTTTGATCTTATTCAACTCATCGAATTCAATCAACATGAATAGTGAACAAAACTCTTCATTCTTAAGTCTCAACACTGATTACCTTAAATCTAAATTGTGTATTTCTAAAGTGATCATAATAGTAAGTTAATCTAATCAACTGTTATCGAATGTCTCTAAATTGTTACAATTAACTTGATTTCTTTTTTTTACTTTCAGATATTTGCATTGATTTCAATCAGTTTGTTGTCACCAAAATATCAATTGTTTTATGTTACAAATCAATATTTATTTCTTTACGCAATTAACTGGATCCAATTGTACACGATCACAATTATGCTAATTTGTTGTCTATTTTCAACCAATACTTCATCACTATTGGTCCAAACTAGCATTGTAAGTATTAGATGTCCAATCTTAATTTAATCAATTGTAACAATTTAAGTTTAACTGTGAGTTGAATAATCATTGAATTTATCTGATGATTCAGGAGTATGTTTATCATATTATATCAATGTTCATGTACCTGGCCATTAGTTCATGGTCGTTCTCATGGCTGAATTACAATGAAGATACAACTTATCTATTTGCAGCGGTAAGTTAATTGTTTAGGCAATTTAACCATTTTAATTGATATCATTTGGTTTCTCTGTCTTCTCGTTTAGATATTTGCATTACTAAACTCCTTCGTTCATGCAGCTCATGGTTATTTCTCAATTTTATTAAGGTGAATTGTGAACAATTAACTAAGTTTAAGAAGGCGAATCATCAAACTGATTGTATAAAATTGACGAAATAAATTTTTTATATCACTTCTATGTTATTTTGAAAAACATTGTCATCGGTTGAAATGTCAGTAATTAGTAAATTGTTGGATTTTTGGTTGATGGCGCAAATGTGGGTCTCAGGCACTTCAGGGATCACCTTCATTGATAGAGGAATACCATTTTGTTTAAAAAAGTAGTCGGTCTTAATGTCGTTACATTGGTCTCCTAATTGTGAAAAGATAAATGTGTAAAATTTCATTCAATTTCAATTATTAACTGACTATTGACTTACGGGTCAAGAATGAAACATCGACTTCTAAGAGAGTGTCACTTGATTCAGAGTTAGCGGAAGTGGTTCCCCATCCGGAGACGGTGAGTTTGGATAAACCAGATTCGCTCTTTGGTAAACAGACTGGAGAAATTTGTTGAGTGAATTTAACAGGCTTTGAGAGGGTCAAGATGGCGAAATCGTTGGAAAGATCCTTTCGATTGTAGTTAGGGTCAACCCAGATTTCTGAGACTGAGCTGATTTGAGAGTATTCAGAGAAAGCCTTGACTTTTCCAAGGAAAACATTGGAGACATCGAAAGGTGAACCATCATCGCTGACAACACAATGAGCGGCAGTGGCGATGTGTTGTTCATCGATCAAAGAACCACCACATTGAGCGAATGATCCAGCGTTTCGGCTGACGTACGATCTAAAAAAGTATGATTGAGATACGATTAGCGAAAAGAGAAAAGAATCTCATAAACAAAACTCACCGAATGTGAGCTAACCAAGGGTATTTGTGGGCTCGAACTTTACTTCCTTTGTAGATTCGACCAGCTGAACCTTCCATACTCACTCTGTCCATGAAAGACGAAGAGAGAAAGAGAAAAGTAAAATTACTTTTATGATAATTTTGCAGCCACGTCCGTCAAATATGTTCATCTTAATTTGATTGACAATTAGCATCATTCTCTCTGACTATTTGTTTTATTCTTATAATAATTGTTCAAATCATTCTTCTTATACTTCAATAGAAAATACGATTTGTGTAGTCATTGAAGATCAATCTCAAGCCTTCCCATTTTCGTCAAATCAAATCATTTATGACTCGATAACAATTAACTTTCACCCATTTAGACAACTGTTCACATTGTCTTTTCATTCGTCCTTATATGACTTATAACCACCATCTTGCTTTTAAACAATGAAATGATGATAATTATCATTGACATAAATGGGAATCAAAACGGCTAAACAACAAAACTTTAAAATCACAATTAAATAATGTTCTCGAGATCTACTGGAAATTTTTATTTTTTAATCATACAAGATGATTAACTTTTTTAATGCAATCTAATTAGAAACATAAATATTAATATTCGGAATAGATTTAATCCCTTAGTCCTTCCAGCAAGCGTTTGGAGCGATGCTCTTGATGGTGTCTTGGTAGTAAAGGGTTCGAGTGTAAAGACCAGCGGTATCGGCACTTTCACCACATTCAGTCCATGAACCAGAAACAACACCCATGAGGTGATATAAACCGTTACTCTTGTGCATGAGTGGTCCACCAGAATCGCCAGAACAAGCGTCACCCTTGGTTTGTTTGTTGATGGCACACATGTGGGTCTCAGGGATTGTTTGAAGTCCAACTTCTCCCTTCATTGATAGAGGAATATCATATTGTTTGAAGAAGAAATCGGTCTTAATGTCGACACATTGGTCATCTTAAAAGTGATTTAGAAAAGAAAATCGTGTAAAACTTTCATTCAGTTCAAAAATTATTAATCGTCTACTTACGGGTCAAGTAGGAAACATCGACTTCCAAGAGATCGTCACTTGAATCAGAGTTAGCGGAAGTGGTTCCCCATCCGGCGACGGTGAGATTGGATAAACCAGCTTCGCTCTTTGGTAAACAGACTGGAGAAATTTGTTGAGTGAATTTAACAGGCTTGGAAAGGGTCAAGATGGCGAAATCGTTGTCAAATCTTTTTTGATTGTATTCAGGGTCAACCCAGATTTCTGAGACGGAAATAGCGGCATTTTCTTCTGAGAAAGCCATAACTTTACCAAGGAAAACATCAATATTTGAAGGATCGGAAGTTGAACCATCATCGTCGACAACACAATGAGCGGCAGTGGCGATGTGTTGTTCATCGATCAAAGAACCACCACATTGAGCGTATCCTAAAGAGTCTCGGTTAGGGTATGATCTAAAAAAGTATGATTGAGATACGATTAGCGAAAAGAAAAAAGAATCTCATAAACAAAACTCACCGAATGTGAGCTAACCAAGGATATTTGTGGGCTCGAACTTTACTTCCTTTGTAGATTCGACCAGCTGAACCTTCCATACCACACTCTATCCATGAAAGACGAAGAGAGAAAGAGAAAAGCAAGGTTAGGTTCGAAGTAATGTCGTGGATAATCGAATAATGTTCACTTACCGCAAGCGAGTGAGAAGTTAACAGCGGCGACGAGGAAAACACAGGCTAAGAGAAAGACTCTCATGATTACGATAGAATTGAATTAATCAGAAGATAGAAACTTAATCTAATTAACGAATGACTCTGATTTCGCTAATGATCAACTTTTTATACTCGTTTTTCTTGCTTCCACGTTCAACAAGATGTTCATCTTAATTTGATTGACGATTGACATTTCAATCAACTTCTAGGACTTTTGTTTTCTTCAATCCTGATTTTAATTCATCTAAAGCTTTAAGAAATGATTAAGATAAATCAACTATGGATATTTTCAATCAATACCCCATCATTATTGATCCGAACAAGCTTTGTATTAATAAGTAAATCATTCATCTTAATCAATTGTGATAATTATAGTTAATAATGAGTTTGATATTCATTGAATTTATCTGATGATTTGAAGTAAGTTTATCATATTATTATATCAATGAGCACAATTATGTTTTCGCTAAACTAATTAGACAAAATAATTATCCAAATCGATTGACACTTTATTGATTGTGAAATGTTTCTTATTCTTGCAATTAGTAACAATCAAACAAGCAAATTGATTGAAATTCAATTGTTAACAAATTAACACTTATCCATCAAAAGGATGATTGTCCCCGATGATGATTTTAATCAACTTCAAACAGTTTCATCAATAAATTACGGTTAATTGTTATAAAAATACATCTATCATTTTCCTCAGGTGTAATAATTCAAATCATCAATGGATAACAATCGTCGTTCAATAAAAGTGACAATCATTCAGGCGATCAGAAACTGATCGAAACAATTAAGCAGATTGTTGGAAGACGTTAGTTACTATTAAATGTAAAATAATTGATTAACCTCAAACTCTAACGTATTTGAATGCTTACGTATTCAATTCCAACTGATACTAAATTTGGGTGGAAAAACAGAAACTTTTAATTATTATTAATATTTTCGAGCCTAATTAAGGTTATAAAGTTTTCATTTTCGTAACTAAATTTGTAAAAAAATTCACCAATAACTTTCTCCCGAAAATCATCAGAAACAAAATCAACAATAATTATCGCAGGTAAGTCTTGAAACATTCAGAAATTAATCAGATTAACAATTTGAATACAATTACAATTAGCAAATGGATAATGCTCACTGGTATTAATATCATGGTGATGATATTATCAACCTTTGATTTTGATTCAATTCTTGATTCAATGATAAAAGTATATGTTTGCATTGTTAATGAAAAAACAATTCACCGTTAATTAAACCAGCACAATTTATTATCATGAAATCAATTAATATTTTATGTTGTTTTTAAATTGTTATCAAATACAATTCGATCCATGACAATTGGCTCTCATTGAAATTCTTGATTATTGAATTGTTTTTTTTAATTGCTCAGCAAAATTTACACACCAAAATTTGCTAATTGTTAAGTTATGGCAATTAAGTAGCTAGTTAATAGATGAAAACTATTAATGAGGTTTGTGCAAACGTTAAATTATGACAAAGTTTCGTTGAATTTTTTCAACAATTCATATAATTAATTTCTATATCTATTAGTAGATTTGATTGGTGTCTATTAATGAATCAGAATTATTAATTGTTGCATAAAAAGTTGAGGTATGAATGGGAATAGAATTTTAAATCCGATAATTGAATAATATTGTTGATTTTGAATTCGCAATCTTATTAAAAAGATTGATCAAGTTGTTAAAAACTCCATACGAAAATGGTCCGATCGCTTAATCGTGTAGGTCATTTCGAGCGAATCATAGGTTCAGTGTTCATCATAATCTCATCGAAGATGACCTCCTAACATCCGGTTCGAACTTTTTTATTATTTTCCGGTCAAATAAACAAATTATTCTTCCATCTTTTCATTTAATTGGCCTTGGATGTCAAAAGATTTGAGGTCACATTAAGCTCACCATTTTGGACATTAGTTCTCTACGATCGAAGACCGTAGAATTAACCTCGAGATATCTTTTATTTTCGAACTCGAAAAATAGAACTTTGCTGTTTTGATATTCATCGATATTTTGATTTTATAGTTTATTTTATTTTTAACTTGATAAAAGTAAATAAAATGATTCAAACAATTTCTTAAGTTTGATTGTATCATAACTGGAACTTTAATCGGTTCTGAATACGTTTTGTTACATTACATTTGAATAGAGATTAATAATTACCGTAAATTTGTGTAAATTAGTTTATTTTGTTAAATTGTTATTTTCGATAAATTTTTATCATGAAATTTAAGTAAAAGAATATTTATAATTTATTATGAAGAATTGCCAACAATTAGAATTGATTGTTGTTGATCAATCGTCAGGGCATTTCAACTGAACAGGTAACCTTATTAAGAAGTGATCTGATTACCTTATGAAAATTAGTGGCGATTCTTAAATTAAATGACATAAATGCTGTGAAAATTAATTCATAGATTGTTAATTTCTCCATGATTAACTAATTGCACAAATATAATGTTCACTTCACTTTAATTATCAAAAAGAGACTTTTTTTCAATGAATCCGGTGAAATTGAACAATCCGATAATTTCGATAGCAAAGAAAAACAAAATTAACTTGTTGATTTGATTACAATATCCTTAATTAAGATAAATTAATGTTCAAAATTATGATGATCACTTTTAAAACATTAAATTGAATTTAACTTTGTTTTTTAATGTTAAACAGAAGTGAAAAAGTTAAAATTGAGTTAAACAAGATTGAAATGAAACTGTTCAATGATTGATTCGTAATGATTAGTTCAACAATTTATTAGGTGGAGATGATTATTATCATGATGATGATGATAATTATGATGCTAAAAGAAAGAGTGGAAAAGTTAAAGTGCGAGTTGATTTAATTAATTTAAAGCCTACAATGTCCTCGAATTGATTGTTGAACGGATTGTTCAACTGAACTGATTGATTATGAAATGAAATGAATTATAATAAAAAGTGTATCCTTGCTAATTGAATTAATTGTTACTCAATGCTGATAACAACTTTTTTCACTGATTCTCAATATCATCATTCATAATTAGAATCACAATCAAAATGAAATCTATTTTTATTTTTCTATTTGTATCTTGGTCTCTCTCTCTCTCTCTCTTCCTATGGAAGGTTAAATTATCCATTGGCTTATTTTAGTTCATAAATGATTTACAATCAACACTTTGATTTGAAATTAATTTATGGATAACAATGTTTGACCTGAAAATAAATAGTAACAATCACGATTTGCAATCATAATTGTAACAGTTAATTAACTGCTCACCTTATTAACAGAATGATACAAGAACTGAACAGACATTGAGAAGAGTATATAGTTTTCCAATTAAACAGTATCTATTAGATAATTCACAATTACCTAATAAAGACTAATTAATTCAATTAATAAATTCCTTCTCAATTGTGATCCAATTTTTAATTGAAAAGAACTGAAAGTTCACAAAGTTTATACTTACCGCTCATAAAAATTCTCCTCTTTTTCTGAACAACAGAGGGCAGCAGATCTATCGCCGCGTCGAACAGCTAACCGACTGGAGAACCATATTGGCTCATCTATTTCTCTCCGTCTCTTTGTTTTCTCTTTCTTTTTTTCCATTCTGACCATTAAGCCGATAGACTGAGTTAGTTGAATAGAAGAATAAAATTCTCAGCTAACTTTCCATTGGCTCTAATTTTCGGCACCAGAATTGTTAATTGTTGTTTGTTGTTTAATTACTTTTTTTTTCTTAATTCAGTTAACTAAACCTTTGGACTAATTTTTATTTCTCTAATAAATTGTGTAACAATGGATTCACTTGGTGACCATTATAAGGTTTTATCATCTTTACTGAATAATGTAACATTGGTTGATTCAATTGCGAAAAGTAAAATACTTATTGTTGGTAGTGGTGGAATTGGTGTTGAGATTATAAAGAATGTTGTTCTTTTGGGTTTCACCCAGTTAACTTTAATTGATTTAGATACAATTGAGATTTCAAATCTTAACCGACAATTTCTTTTCAATAAGAATCATGTTGGTAAATCTAAATCTTTGGTTGCTGCCGGTGTTTCTAAAGCCAATTTTGCCTTCCATTCAAATTTAAACATCACTGCTCTTCATAATTCAATTATGTCTCCTGAATATGATGTTGACTTTTTCAAAAGCTTTAAGGTGGTGGTCAATGCACTGGACAATAGAGCAGCTAGAAGTCATGTTAACAGGATGTGTTTAGCAGCTAATGTACCTCTTATCGAATCAGGTTCAGAAGGTTACATGGGTCAGGTAACATTAATTAAACGTGATGTCAGCGCTTGTTACGAGTGTGATGGACCAAGACAAGAGCAGAAAACTTTTGCCTCTTGTACTATTCGTAATACACCTTCCCTTCCTATCCACTGTATTGTCTGGGGAAAACATTTATTCGCTCAACTATTTGGTGAAGAAGATGCTGACAATGATGTTAGTCCTGACATGAATGATCCTGAATTAGGTATGACAAGTAATAGTAATTCAAGTAAGTTTCCTATTTCTTTTCATTGTTGTTTCACCTTTTGTTATCTCTCTATGAGCTTTCCATTTAATTTTCTTTTCTCTCTTACTTCTCTCTCATTTCTATTTGTAGATGAATCAACTACCGAGAAAAAACCTTCAACTCGAGAATGGGCAACATCCAACAACTATGATTCTAAATTATTATTTGACAAGCTATTTAAAGTTGACATAGAATATCTACTTAAAATGAGTAAACTCTGGGAGAATCGGCAGTTTAACTACCACAAATGGTGATGTTCCAGTTAATGGTGAAAGTTTAAAAGATCAAAAAATTTGGTCACTTACAGAGTGTTACGAGAAATTTGACAAAAGTATTTCAATATTAAAGAAAAGGTTAAGTTCTGAGGGATACCTAGTCTGGGATAAAGATGACGATGAAGCATTAGACTTTGTAACCAGTGTGGCTAACCTTAGATCTCATTGTTTTGGTATTGAAAGAAAATCACGTTTCGATGTAAAATCAATGGCTGGAAATATTATTCCCGCTATATCATCAACTAATTCAATTGTTGGTGGATTAATTACCTTACAACTTGTTCACCTTATTCGTAAAATGGATCAAGTAAATGACCCAAGTGACCAAAAAGAAATCGACCAAAAATGTAAAGAAGCTTGTAAATGTATTTATCTTCGCAAAGTAGGACTCAATGCTCGGAATCTTATCTCAGCCTATGAACTATTTGAACCTAATCCAAATTGTTTGGTTTGTAACACCGGTCGAATACCTGAGATTGAATTGACCCTTGATCTGAATGAAACAACAATGAATGATTTCTTGGAACAGATAATTATCAAAGTGTTTAACTTTGTCTGTCCTGATGTTCAAATTGAAGGTCAACCAACGATCATTTGGAGCGCTGAAGATGCAGATGATGAAGATAAAGCCGAATCTAAAAGGAAACCCCTGAACAAATATGCCCAAGTTCACCATAAACAAAGACTTCGTGTATACGATTTGTTACAAAATCATTCAATTATAATTAACCTTTTAGATGGTAAAATTGATAAAGCAGAAAACGGTGAACGTTTTTACAAAATGAAAATAATTAACGAAGGAAAAACAAATAATGGTACCATAGAAAAGGAAGATGATGATAAAAATGAAGAAATGATTACAGACAATGGAGCAGAAAATGGTAACTCAGCAGTTGAATTAATTTGTGACAATGGAAACGACGTCGATGATGATGAGGGTGATATTTGTATCGTGGATCCAAGTCCAAATGAGAAACGTAAATTAGATGTTGAGACTGATGATATAATTGAAGTACCTGGTGCTAAGAAAAAATTGAAAGTTTAAATACTCATTGGTCACCCCAATCGAAGCTTCAATTGTCCACTATTCATTAATTACAAACAAAACAAAAACATTTCTCCAATTCCTTTTGGCACTTGGTATATAAACACCTCGATTCATGTACATGAACTTTGCATTTCTCACTCCAAGCAAATTAGATTCTCGTTGCTCATCATTTTTTTTCCTTGTGATGAAAATTTGTCTGAAAAAATGAAAGAAAAAGCAAAAATTGCATAACAATTAAGTTTCTAAGTGTAACAATTACCAGGCAAAGTTCCCAATTATCATTTTCTCCTCTCTATCTCTCTTCCTATTTCAAACCAAACATTTACTCTCATCTCATTACAACCATTCACAATCAATTAATTACCTCTCAGGCAAATTTGTAATTCCAATATTTTTGCTCTAATTCATTTGAAACTTTGTAATTCTCTCTCTCTTTCTCTCTCTGTTAAAATACAAATTCACCTACAAACTCAATGTAATACAAAATTTATATTACACATTCTCTGTCAAAAAAAGGCAATTTTTTCGCAAATAAATTGTTTAATCTGTTTCGATAATCAACCAAATCTCACCTTAATTATCATCATCATCAATAAGCGGATCAGTCGGTGGTGGCGGTGGATTCACAATCGGCAATTGAATAGCTGGACTACTCGACGGAGCTGTTAATCTAGTCATCGGAAGTTTGTTCATTAATTGTTTACTCATCCCGATCCAGAATGTGAACATGACACACACAAAACCAGCCTTAATTAACTCATCACCCAATCCCTTTAAATCAGTTACTCCACTTGAATTGGGCTTTTAACTAAGGTCATAATCACGATACCAAAATAAACGACGAACATGATTAACATGAATAACCTGAAGTTATAAACGCGTTTCATTAATTGACGATTTTCAAGAGTAATTCCCATCGTATTCAACATGGACATTGTAGCTAATATACCAGCGAACACTTTATCAACAATTGTATCAGTTGACATCATCACGAAGAAAACAATTATCAGAATTAAAAAAATTTCCACAAGAATTAAGTTAATCTTCAACCAAGTGATCGGTCCCATGATTTCCAAATACAATTAGACTAATTGTTATTCTAATCGTGAAAACCAACAAATAATATTCTTTTCCTCAAAGAATAATAATCAAAAGGATTATTTAGCTTTGGATAATTTAATTGTATCAATTGTCTTGAAGATCAAGCAAACAATCAATTCGAAATCATTGATCATCGATCTAAATCAATTTTCCATTTTTTTTCTATTCTAATACTTAGACTTTTTGCTCTTCCATCAATTTTGACTAATTAATTATTTCCATCTATTTGAGAATTTCAGATTGCACAATTTTCTCCTCTTAATTGTGGTTAAATTTAATTCGATTCAATTTAATTTGAGTTAGAATTTTTTTTCTGTACAAAGAACATGTAAATTTATCAACAGTCCCTTGGATTTTTTGATTTGGGAATGAATTTGTTTTTGTGTTGATGAAAATTTGGTTGTTTCTTTTGTTTTGTTAATTCTAATTAATTGATTGGTGATCAGTAAATTATTGTCAATTAAAATGGCTGAATATTTGGCCTCAATTTTTGGAACAGAAAAAGACAAGTGAGTATTACGATTGATATTTGATCTACAAGATGTTTTCTTTGTGGTTATGATTATGGTTTTTACTTAGTTTCCATTTCTTTTGGTAGCCATTAGCGGCAAATGAGTTTTTTAAATGGTTTCAATCACATTTTTGTCGACAATTAACTGTCATTTGTGAGTATTGGCTTGATTTTTATGATTCTTTGTTTTTCTTTTGTCTTTGTTTCTCTTCTAGAGTCAATTGTAGCTTCTTTTTTAAAATCGGTGCTTGTCGACATGGGAATCGCTGTTCTCGTATCCATAATAAGCCAACATTCAGTCAAACAATTTTACTACAAAATTTGTATCAAAATCCTAGAAATGCTGCTCATTCCTTGGAAGGTAATTCTACTGGAAAGCCCACCATGACTGAAGAGGAAGATCAGAAACATTTTGATGACTTTTTTGAAGATGTTTTTGTTGAATTGGAAGATAAATATGGTGAGATTGAAGAAATGAATATCTGTGACAATCTAGGTGATCATTTAGTTGGAAATGTATATGTTAAGGTAAAGATGGTCCATATCTTGTTCTCCATTTCCTATTTAAGTTAATTTTTCTCTAATCTTGGTTATTTTTTTTTCTTCTATTCTATTTTTATCAGTTTCGACGAGAAGAAGATGCTGATAAAGCTGTCAGAGATTTAAATAATCGCTGGTTTGCTGGACGACCAATTTATGCCGAATTGTCTCCAGTCACTGATTTTCGAGAAGCATGTTGTCGGCAATATGAAATGGGGTAAATTTCAATACCACATGGTTCAATTTAAGAATCAATTTAATCATCATGTTATTTACATTATTATCTTTCTTAATCTTAGTGAATGTACTCGTAGTGGCTTTTGTAATTTTATGCATTTGAAGCCAATTTCTCGTGATCTTAGACGCCAATTATTTGGTAGAAGACGAGGAACCGCAAGAAGTTACAGGTAAGCGAAAATTAACTTGACCATTTTGTTAATTTTTCTATTTCTCATTCTAATCTTTTTGTTTGTTTATTTTTTGTTGTTCAGATCACGATCAAGATCAGGTAGCCGTGAGCGAGGAAGAGGAGGTCGAGATCGAGGAAGATCTAGAAGCCGAGATAGTGGTTCCAGAAAACGTGAACGTAAATCATCACACAGTCGTGAAAGAATTAGATCTCGAAGTCGCGATCGTAATAAGTCCAAAGAAAGAGAGAGAAGATCAAGAAGCCGTAACCGATCTAAAAGTCGAGAACGTCGTGAAAGAAGCCGTGATAGAGATCGAAAACATCGTTAATTTATCCAACTAATTGCACAGGTTCTCGAGCCATAATCACGCCAATCACGATTGAAAACAAAAACCACCAAACCACCAACACGCCAACAAAAATTCATTGTCACCAAAATTCAATTAGGCACCAAAGCGAAACCATCAATAAATCAATTCTCATCCAATCCTAGCATCCATCATATTTTATTAAATCTAAATCTTTTTTTGTGATCAACTTTTTGCTCTACTAAAAACAAAAATCATTACCAATCAATGGAAAAACAAAACAAAATAAACTTGACATCATCAGATGTAATTAATAAATTGTATCAACAATTGATCTACCAAACAAAAAGACCAACAATTAGAATTGTAATTCAATTGAAAACGTAAAGTAAATCACCAAATGAAGATTATAAATTTGATGGCGAAAATTAAATGGTACAATGATTAGTTTCTTTTCTCATTGATGAAACTTTAATAGTCGACAGAATAATTAATTATGAGTTCTGATCAATGCTAGAATTGTAAACATATGGAAATAGGAAGAGAAAAAAAAATGAGATAGTAATAAATAAATTTCGATAAAAGTGATGATAGAAAAAAAAATGAAGAATCAGAAGGAAAAACAATCAGAGATGAGAGTGTCACTAATTGTCGTCTTGATGGATTAATAATATACATTGAATTGATTTAGTCCTTTTTTTCTCGTTAATTTTTCTTCTTCTTCTCCTATTTTCATCAAGTGTTGTGATGATCAATTAAACCACTCGAATAGGGTAAACCAGAATTAGATGTTGTTAAGCCTTTATTTTGATCTATTTTGTTTCGATTGCATTTAACCATGTAGATAAAATAAGTAATGGCTTCTTTTTCATCGATGGGAATTGTTTTAAAATGATTAAGAAGAGTATCTGCCAATGATGATTTATTGATTCCAGGTCGTGTTTGAACTCGATAGTGTCGTTTGTATCTTCTCAAGGTATTCATTTGAAGGGTTGAAAGGTCCACTTGAGGAAGATCTTCATTAGATGGATTATTATTTGATGATAAATCATTTCTGCCAACACCACTTCCAGTATTACTTGATCCTATTCCACTGGCAATACCACCACCACCACCACCACCACCAACACCAACACCAACACCAGAAACACAGAACCAACCACCACCAATACCACTACCACTAGCAAATGAAGCTGAACCATTGGCAGGACCAGAAACGTTTGTTTGATTGATTAAATTGCCTCTGTTGTCCACGAATGAGGAATAACCATCATTTGAATTGGTTCCATTCTCATCTTCACAAGAATCTTTTCTTCTTCTCCTTACACAGCTACGAATACTTTGAATCATATTCTTATGATGGTCACAAATATAAACATGGCGAGCAGAATTGTCTATACTTAAACGTAATTTCTTTTGTTGAACTGTTCTCTGTATTCGTTTAGAATATGAAGCATTACCAGCAACTCGATTACACCGAGAACCATCTTCAGTTAAACAACATAATTGGTGACTGTTTGTAGATGAAAGATTAAAGGAAGATGAAAAAGCAGAACCGGGACTAGCGAAAGAGGCCAATTTACTGTCCCTTGAATCGTCCGTTTTACTGTGTGGATCATACATACTTGGTGAGTTCTCTTTCTATTTTTTCTCTCTCTCTCTCGAACGGGGCAAAACAATTAAAAAGAAACCAAAGTTTAAATTAGATCACCGATAAGTTAATGAAAAATTCAGGGTCGAAAATAGAGAAACAAATGATTCCAATTAAGTGTAAATTAATTGAATTTAACAATCACAATACAACAAAAAAAAGAGAAAAAAGTTGAAAGAGAAAAAACCAAACCAATAAAGTGAATATTTTGCTCTTTCAGATGATTAACTTTTTATAAAGGGAAAATAAAATAACCTCCACTTAGGATTAGTTGAGATTAAAGATGAGATGATCAGATGTAAATGGTTATTGTAAAAATTAATCATTCACAAAATAAAATCAATTAGAAAACAATTAATTCATTGTTCTTAACCCGAGTTACCATGAATGAGAAAAAAATATTAACCAACCAACAGCTGCTTCGCAACAACAGTGACATCTATTGACCGAAAATAAGACTAATTCATTTTCTTTAATTTTTTTTCGATAAAAATCTTTTTAATTATTATTATTACAATTATTATTGTTCGACAATTAAAGTAATTGTTTACTTGTTGAGGTTTGATAAAAATTTTTCATCTCAATTTAAGAATATTGGGCAAACAATTAACAAGAATAACGAAGTAATCAGTTGGCTTTGAAGATGAGAACAAAGTTAATCAGGTTAACATGATAAATAATCTCGATAATTTAGTTACAATTAAGTTAATTTTGTTTTGTTTCTTCAGTTTCTCAGGTGAATATTTGTTCACACAATTTAATACAACCCATTGAATCCACTTTTCGTCCATTGTTACGATTCATACTTCGACCAAATCTATTTTTGCACAATAGTAATTATGGTCATAAGTTATTAGTTTGATTGTTAGATTTTCAATCGAGAAGGGAGAATTAAATTGTTAATTGTTAATTGCTTACCTTGGTCTTCCAACAATTGCCAGATACTTTTCCAATTCGGAGAGAACACCAATCAAATTATCTCCTTTTGCTTCGGCGACTGTTGAATTTAGATCATTCTGAATAATATATTCGATATCTTGAAATCTTCTTTCACCAAAAACACTACAAATTGTAACAATTAGAACGATAATCAAATGGATATAATTGAACATGATTAACACAATTTAAAGAGATTTAGATATCTAGATGTTAAATGTTATCAGTAAAGGTCTCGGAAGTTAATTGTTAATGTTTAAGTCTCTTCTCATCTTATTTATATCATTTCTTTGATTGTTATTTGTTTACGATTCAATTAACTGATCGATTCTGATCAATGGTTATCATTTAATTCATCAATTATCAAAATTGTACTTTTAGACAATTATGAAAAAAAAACTCGTGAGTTTGAACATTTGATTAACATTGACATTGACGATTTAGTTTTCAGTTGATTCAATTAACCGGAATATAATTAACAACTTTAATTTTCATTGTTAAATCTCACGTTTTTTGTAAATCAATGTCAATGTTAATCATAAAGTAAACCAAGCAAACAATTAACAATGTCCATTGACAATGAAAAACAAAATTCAATTGCGTTGGACATTCAAGTAAATTATTATAATCATCGTATCACAATCAATCATTATTATAATTGTTCATCCACCAAATTATATTAAATTCAGTTTGAAATAAAACTTAAAATAGACAAAAAATGATTGAAATGTCTGATTTGTTGATTAAAAGATTGACTGATTAACGATTTTAACAAATAATCAACTTGAATAATTAGTTAATTGGACATCAATCATAAAACAAATTCATTTGAAATAATCTTTAGAAGGAAATAAAATTTAACCGTTGGATTTAATTGTAATTTAGAAATGGACAATTGGTAACAATTGATTCGTTGATTGTTATTCCAATTTTTTGTACCTTTAATATTTTACTCGCAAATTTGAACAATTAACTGATCGTAGTCTTATATTGTCATTAAATTTGAAATTAATATTGGATAAAATGTATTATTATCATTCCCAATTGAAATTGTCTCGGAAGGAAAAAGATACCAATAGTAGTAACAATTAGTTGATTGTGATCCAAGTGTTTCACTTTTTATCGTCGACAATTGCTTTGATCATCTCTTGTTGATTAATTAATTTCTCTCTTGGTTTACCTAAATTTGAACCTAAACTTTTTTCCAATTCATCGATTCGTTGCCAATCACTAAAGGTAACAACTTTTACTCCGTTTGATTTAAGATGGGGAATTATTTCATTCGCTCCTGGTTTTTCAGTTAATTGTGATTCATTTGATTTTAAATCATTTAAAATATGTTCACCAATCTCAAAGCTCGAACTCATAGTACCTAGAATCACTCCCGTTGCTCCAGTAGCGGCCCAACCACTACAGTAAAGACCAAAATCGAAACCGGTAACTTTGCCGTTCGTATTACTTATTACTCCCGTTTTCTCATCCAAAGGTATACTTTCATCAATGGAAATAGCCCGATAACCGATACTTCGCAAAAATAGGCCACAATTTATGATCTCTCGTTCATCGGTTAAAACGGCTTTTACATCGTCTCCGGATGGTTTCAATTCGTTAACACCAAAATTAACAGACGAAACTTGGCCTGACTTATTACCGATAATTTCAAGAGGTGATCGACAAAACATGAGGACACATCGCTTCGAATTGTTCGTTAATTGTTTATCATTAGCTAAAGACGCCATTAATTCAGTTAATCGTTTCCTTGGACGAGGAAGTTTTTCCTAAAAGGGAGATAGAGAGAGAGAGAGCAAACAATCAGTTATTACAAATGTCGAATCGATTTGATCTTCTAATTACAATAATTTCTGGTGTAATGTTTTAAAGTCCTCAGAGAAAACAACAGTATCACAATTAGGTAATTTAGTTAATTCTCTTAATTCTTTGATGGTAAAAGACACTTGAAGTGGTCCTCGTCTTCCAACAAGATAGACTCTTTTTACTTTACTTTCCCTCAGGGCAGCTAATGCATGACTTGTAATATCAGTATTCTGGAGAGGAAAAAAACATTTCGATTAATTGATTATTTCTTAACGAGAAACTCAATTTAAACCTTTAAATTTTCATCAACGGGTGAGAGTAAAATTCTCGCACAATCTAGAGCGACATTTCCATGGCCTATTATGACAACATCTTCAGTCTGTAAGAAAGGATTTAGGTCAGAATCCTGGGGAATACCATTGTACCATCCAACGAATCGTCTTGCAGGTAATACATTAATCAATTGCTCTCCTTTAATATTTAATTTACGATCTTCAGTTGCTCCATAACAAAGGACAATTGCATTGTATGATTTAAGTAATTGTTGTAAAGTCACATCTTGACCAATGTTTATATTACCATAGAATGAAACTCTACTCTGAAGAGCAGTATTGGTAAAAGAATTGATTACATTCTAGATAGAAAAAAAAAGAAAATTAATCCAATGAATGAAAATCAATCAGAAATTTAATTTTTCCATCAAAATGAATCACCTTTACTGATTGATGATCTGGAGCTACTCCAAATCTTATTAGTCCAAATGGAACTGGATACTTTTCATAAATGTCTATTTCGATTCTACTATCCTTGAAGAAAAAGAATAGAACAAAACAAAACAATCTAATTAGTTGATTAGTTAAAAAAAAAGAAGATAAATTTTTCCAATCAGTAGGAAAATCTTAACTAACCTTTAGTAAAGCTTGAGCTGTATAAAACCCCGCTGGTCCTGATCCAATGATACCAACTTTAATTGTCTCAATGAAACGTTTACTAATCAATGTGGTTGTGATTGGAACATAATTAAATAGAGCTGATTTAACTGGTAAAAGTAGATTAATCATCTAATAACGATTTAAATTTGATTGTAAACAAAAACAAAACAAGGAGAAAACAATAACAACAAATAAGGAATCTGAAAATAAGAAGAAGAAAAAATCAATTATCAATTATTAAGATAAATTCAACAACAATTAATCTTCAATCATGTTAATTTCTAAATAGAAATGGAAATTCAATCAATTAAATCATTTCAAATCTTAATTTATACAAAAAATAGACAATTGATTGAAAATGTTTACCAAACTAAAGATGTAAACAAATATAATATTTACCTTTTTCTTAGTTACTTGGCAATCAACTGATTCTTATCTTGAAAATGAAAAGACCATCATGTTAATTGTAGTACGATCAAGCTGATTTATTGGAAACCAATTAAATCACAAGTTGATTAAAATTGTTAAAATTGATAAATATAAACAATTGAATTTAAATTAATTGAATCATGTGTTTGGTTTGAAATAAAAGGTTACCAATAAATTTGAATAACCGCCTTTGGGTAAACCATTGGCTCCCTCTGGTAGTCTCATTGAATTGATTAACAAATTGTTCAACTTAATTGTTAGATACATTACAAAAATCATTTGAGCTACATATTGATTGTAGCCATTGATTGGGTCGAATCGATCAATATAATATCTGATTAACTGTGTTCACTCAAATGTATAATTGAGATGAATTAGATGAATAATTGATGTTTGTTTTCATTTGATTGGCAGAATTTTGAGTTAATTGTTGATGTGATTTTAGGTCGAATCGGTAGGTAATTAAGGCCACAATTTTTTCTCCTTGTTAATTAGGGATAAAGTTTTTTCACCAATTCTTTTAAAGTCGTTAAGTTGTTTCTCCAATGGTAAAAGAATATAAATCTTAAAATTATTTGATTCACAAGCGTAACCTTTGTAACCAGAAAATTTAACATAACAATCAAGATGATTGTTAATTATTGATGAGTGAGATAATTTTTGTCTATCTAATGAGAGTTCCATTAGTTTAAGTAAATCGCGTACTTTAATTGAATCAAGTGAGCCAAGAAGGGTAAACATATTCCTGTCCGAACGGCAGATGACCAAGTTAATTATATTCTCGTCAAGGTGTAAAGGTATTCGCTTTTCGGTGACAATTTTCTTGAAAATTTCTTGATCTTTACGAGATTCTCGCAATGGTCCGATAATTGATTCTTTTAATTGTTGGGTTGATGGAGATTCACCACAAAGAAATACAATAATCATCTTCGGTGCGACCATAAATGCAACCAAACGAACAGGATTATTGGGACAATTTTCTGGTAAGTAAATTGTTGCCTCTCGAGATGAGCCACTAGAATCATTTAGATTAAATGAGTTAACCAAATTAATGATTAAAAGAGCATCTCGAGTTGGAGCAATTTTGGTCCACCAATGTTTTGTAGCGGAAACAATTCGTCGACGAGCAATTAAACAGCAATATTGACTCGAGGCCAAACGGGCAGCGGTGTCCACAAGAGGTTCCATGAAAGATGTGGCCCATGATTCGGTAAGGATGAATTCAAATTTCTGTAAACATAATTGAACACTATGACCAGAATAAAGTTGATCAAGAATATAATCAATAGCAGGAAAAGATGATCTCAAACTGGATTTAAGACTTTCCGTATTGGTTTCAATTAATTTTGATAGTCCACAGGTTAAGATGATTGTGTCAAAGATAAAATCAAGAAGTCGATCCATGGTTGATGAATTGATATCTCGAAAAGAAGTGGCCTGGTCAACCGTAGTAACCAGAATAAGTACAATTGATCCTCGATAAATTTTCCAATGGATTGAACTATCGGCAGTTAGAGTAGACCTTAGGTTGGCATCATTGAGTCGACTGAAAAGATTGACGCTATTAAGTGAGGCCATTTTAACGAAAGGTATTCCTTCCGATGAGATTGAACTCTTCTGTCGACAGAATAAGGGTATACCACCAGAAGCCGAAACACCAATTAAATTGATCGACATGATGATTGATTAGAAAATAAATTAATGGGTAAAAAAGGCACACAAACAAAAGGAGAGAGAGAGAGAGAGACAAATACTCTCAAGAAAAATACTTGTACTTAATGGCACATAGACAATTGAACAATTGGATAATTTGATGAAAAAAGTATAACAATAAAAGTAAATCAGGCAAATGAAAGACAATCAATTGTCATCAATTAATAAGCAAATAATCAGCTGTTAATCTCCAGCTGATAAATTGACATTCAACTGAAGGAGAGCAAGAGAGAACAAAAAAGTTCAGTGAAACATTACAACAGATGAGAAAATTTCTAACAAATTAGTTAGAAATACACAGTAATAAACATAGTGAATTAAAAGTAAAACAATTGATGACAATTAAAAGAACAAAAATCAAAGATGAAGATGTAAAAACAGAATTTCAAGATTTCCAATGGTAAAAGAATCCAATCAATCCGAATCCAAATGGTGTGAGAACAAAACAAAATTCTCTTAACAGGTAATTCACTTTTCTCTTTTTAATTGTTACACTTATTTTTCTTTTTCCTTTCAATTCAAATCTCTTCAAAGTCAATTTAATTAAACAAAATTCTCCATCTTCATCTAAAAATTCAAATCATCATATCGATTAAAAGTAAATAAGAAAAAAAGAAAAGAGAAAAATAAACAGACCGAACGACCTCTGGTGTTTCAAATTCTTTCTTTTCTCTTGTTGCCTATGGATCGGCTTTACGATTGAACAACCAGAACCAGAATTTTGTCTCTTTCTTTCTGGTCAAGTTACTGTTATTTTCTCTCAATTTCTCTCTCGCCCTCATCAGGTGTATAATTGAATCTCTCTCTCTAACCATCTCTTGTGTCCATCATCTTCGTAGATTAAAACCTAATCAACTTGATCGTATTTACAATTTGCCTGTTCACTTTTGTTTTGTTTTCTTCTTTTATTCTCTGTGTGTGTGTTTTGTTTTATTATTATTCTATTTTTTTTGACTTCTTTTTAATCTCTAATTTGTATTAATTATTACTGTTGATTGTCTTTTATCTTCTTCTCTTTTAGGTTATACAAATAGACACATTGATAACTATCGATGAGAAAAATTAGTAATATGATTATGACCAATGATGAGAGGGAAGTTTGTCGATCGCTTGTCTGTGATTCTAATGGAATCATTATCGCCGAGATGGTCTATCGGTGTATGATCTGTGCATACATTTCAGATTCTATTGGAGATGCTCAGCGACATTACCAAGTTCGACATATGGATACTGATGTTATCCAATCTCCATCTTCTACCACCTTAACACCTTCTTCAACCAATACAACAACAAATCCATCATCTCATCATCTTCACCATCACTCGAAACCCGAACCTTTAGATTCTCTTGATGACGAAGAAGAAGATGATTCAGAAGAAATGGAACCCACTGGATCAACGTCTCCTTCCAACGCCCGTGGTGGTTTTGTTACTTGTGCAGTTTGTCATATAACCAAATTTTATGCCTCAGTACAACGGCGCTATGGTCAATTTACCTGTATGGGATGTGCGAAATTTTTTGGTAGATTTTTGATTAAACCTCGAAAATATTGTTGCCCTAATCTTGGTAAGTTCTCATAATCTTTTCTCTTTCCTTTTTTTTTCTTTACTCTCTCAATCTCCCTATCTCTTCATCTTTTTCTAATCCATCTTTAACCTTCGCCATAAGAGCTTCTTCTTTCTATTTCTCTCTCTTTTTAAATCCTTCGCAGTTCCTTCTCCCTCCTCCTTCACCAGAAAGTCCATTTTTATACTAGTATTACAGTTTTTACTTCGACCATTATATCGATCGATTTGTTCGACCTCATCTTTCTTTCTCTTTTACCGTTCCCCCAAATTTTACTTTCTCTCTCTCTTTCTTTCTCCACTCTCCCATTTTCTCTTCTCTAATAATGTTCTCTTTCTCTCTCTTTAATTTTCCCTATTTCTCTTCTTCTTGTTCTTGTTCTTGGTTTTATTTTTTCTATTTATAGGTAATTGTCCTCTTGATGCGACGCCTCGATGTAAGGCCTGCCTCCTTCAAGCCTGTATCGATACTTACCAGATTGACGAGAAAAGGATGAAAATAGTAAATCTCAATCGACCAGTTCGTAAGCAACTAGTAACCCGTCAGCCAAACTCATCAACTAACAAATCAAATGAATTAAACTCATCAAATCAATTATCATCTCTTCCAATGTCAAATATAAGCACCAATAGTAGCATAACACTTAATTCACCGGTCAATAATGGTAATTCAGGACTTATCGATCCAACTAAAGGCAGTATATTAGGTCAACAATTAACTTCATCACCCGCATCATCATCTTCATCATCAACAGCAGCAGCAGCAACAGCCTCATCAAAAACTTCTCGCACTACAACATCAACACCAAACACCGCAGTTTTGGCTCTTCTCCGATCAACCGGCAAAAAGAACTGGGGCTGCCGTAAATGTGCTGGTTGTCTAGTCGAAGATTGTGGCAAGTGCAATTACTGTCTGGATAAACCAAAATTCGGCGGCGCCAATACCTTAAAGAAAAAATGTATCCAAAGAAAGTGTCTTCTTCAAGAGCAACAGAAATTGGAGCAAGCACAAAATAGCTTGAGAAATGCTCTTAAGTGAATCTCGCAATATGACATCTCAAACGATCTTCTCTCTCTCTCTCCCTTTCTCTTTCTCTCTTTCTCTCTTTCTTTCTTTTTCTCTCTTATTCTAAAACATTTTATGTGCGTCTCCTTCGGTCTCCCGGTGATTAGAACCGGGAACGTGAACCATTTTATTTTCATCTCAAGACCAACAAGAAAACCAACACTCACACATAAGCAACATTTTCTACACTCTGAACATGACATAACTTAACTTCCTTCCTCTTTTCCTTATCTCATTTACCTCATCCTTTGACATCATCCTCATCATCCATAGACCATATAATCTCTCTTCATCTTTCGCCATCATTATGGTTTAAAAGTCTCGATTGGTATTGACCTCTACTCACTCTCTCTCTCTCTCCTCTCTCTATGATCTGTCTGCCTCTTGCTTTTGCATTCTTACCATCAAATTTTCTCAAAATTTAACCTACAAAAGTCTCATCCTGATCGTTCTCATCATCCGCATCCTCCATCTTTTTTCCCCATTATTTCTCTTCAAATCGAGTGTGAAGAAGAAAAAAAAACACTTAATTTATATTATTTAGCAAACGAAAAACAAAAACCCGAAAATATCTCAGTGTACTTTTGCTTTAACACTTTTTCATAGTCAATCAACTTAAATTAAAAACCTCTAGTCAATTTTGTTTCTTTTTGCTCTTACAAGATACATTTTTCTCAATCTAATTGTTTACTTTAATCAACACAATTCATCTCAACCAACACAATTGATGTTCTAAGCGATTATCCTGCTCATCTCTTTTTAAATGGATATTTTCTTGGCTTTCAAATGTTGTTTACAATTTAGAAGCCGAAGATGTTTAAAAACGTACCTAATTTAAACTTACAATCAACTAACCAAAATAATCTCACTAATCAACCATAAACAAAGGTGATTGATATTGATCTTAATGGGAAAGCAAATTAAGAACGTTAGAGTTGTTATTAGTTAATTCAAAGTCCATAGTTAATAGTAAACTATGGACTCTGAACGATGATCAATTAGATAGAAACATAATATTATCTAACAGTTGATGAGCACCAACCAAGTAATTTACACAATTATATAAATTGTTTACATTGAAAAATATATAATTTGAATTCCAAGGATAGACAAATTATTTTTAATTCACTTTCAATTTAGGAAACCTGAGTGTGTATGTGTTGATGATTGTAAATGGAGATAAATTTTTCCAATTAACTTGTAAAAATATAAAATGATTTTCTCGCGATAGGAAATTTGGATTATCGTTTAAATTTGTATAAATCCATTAAATGTAATCAACAATTATCTCTAATTTGGATATCGTTCAATAAGCATTCCGTGACCCTGAAGAAGATAGAAAAGAATTGGGAAAATTAGTTTTCAGAATATAAATGAATAATTGTAATTGTAACTTACCAATCCACCGGCTGCACAAGCGGCAAGGACTCCGTATTTACCTCCTTCTTTGATTAATCGATTTGCGGTCATTGTTGCTAAACGAACGCCGGTAGCACCGAATGGATGACCGATGGACAAAGAGCCTCCCCAATTGTTGAGTTTATCCATTGGAAGAGCACCGACCTTTTCAGATCGACCTAAATAGTTTTTGGCGAAAAAGTCACTGTCTAAGGCCTTTAGATTGGCTAAAACTTGACCAGCGAAAGCTTCGTGAAGCTCAAAAACATCAATATCTTGAGTGAAAGTCCAGATTTATCCAAAACTTTGGGTATAGAGTAAGCAGGCCTGATGAGCGGAGCGAAATTGAAAAAAATTAGTTAATTAGAAGGTCACTCGCTGTTTATAGAGATAGAGAGTAGAAACAATTAAGGTAGATAATTACCCGAGAAGAAGTTGGTCTTTAGGATCTTGAGATGTGTAAACTGCTTGTCTCAGATAAGCTTTTGGCTTGAGTCCTAATTGTTTAGCTTTAGCCTCGGTCATGATTAGACAAGCAGAAGCTCCGTCGGTCTGTAAATAAATTAGAACCGGAAGAAGCAGATTAATTTAACAGTGTAAGAGAGAGAGAGAGAGAGAGAGAGAGAGAGAGAGAGAGAGAGAGAGAGAGAAGAAAAGATTGATTGATTGGGATGACTAACCAAAAACGAGGAATTAGCAGCAGTAACAGTTCCATGAGGCTTAACGAACGCAGGTCGCAATTTGGCCATATCTTTTACGCTTGATACTCTAATACCATTGTCTTTTTCAACTCGTCCTTTGGCCACGTTAATTGGTACAACATCATCTAGATAACCAGCCTTTTGAGCTTTATCAGCTGACGAATGAGATCGGAATGCAAATTCATCTTGTTCTTGTCTTGAAACTTGGAATGCAGCAGCTAAACGATCACCAGAATGACCCATAACTTCATTAGTGGTAAATTCGGCAATAGCAGGAAGCTAATTGTGAATAAGAGAAAGATAATTAGTCATTTGTGTTGGTAAAGATGAAGAATTTTCAAAGATCAGAGTTAATGTCTATTCCTTACTTCGGGTGCCAAGTATTTCAGCTTAAATTTGGATAAAAGTGAAAAGTATTGTGAAGTTTTCTTGACTTTACTAGCGGCCAACATGAGTTGTCTCATCTCTCGACTATGTCGGATCGGAACATCAGTCAAATATTCAACACCACCAGCAATAGCGACATCGGCAATACCACTGTTAATATAACCCATAGCTAAACAAATTGAGAAAAAAAAATTGAAAACTTGATTGGTAAACAAAACACTTATCCTTTTGAAAAAGTAATCAACCTGTGGTTATAGCTTGATTAGCAGAAATACAAGCTTGAGTAACGGTATGTGCAGGTATATTCATGGGTAGACCAGCGGTCAAAACAACTTCTCGAGCAATGTTACATGTCTTAGGTTCAGCGATAACGGTACCACAAACAATGTATTCAATGTCTTCCTTATTGACTCCAGTTTTTCTAATCAAAGATCTATAAATGAATAAGTATAGATAAAGAAAATCAAAATCAGCACATTAAGAAATTCAAACCAAATTCAAATAAGAGGAAAAGCAAAGAATAGAAATGCCAAAATGGAGATCGCCAATGAGGACAATGGAAAAACGAAAGGAAAACATCAAAAAGAGAATCTGAAACTCACAGAACTGCGTGTTTTTGTAGCTCATAGGCCATCATGTTCTTATAATCGGTAAATGAGACGGCAAATGGCGTTCGAACACCATCAATAAGAACAATATCACTTCCTGGTTTTGTCGTTGAAGCACAACGATTTTGCTGCAAGTTGACATTTGCACCATTTAAATTGGCACAAGAGGAAACAGTTAACCTGAATGGACCAACAGGAATAACAGATCGGGATAAAGTGAATCTCAACATAATGTCCAGAGAAAACTAAACAAATTCTGACAAACGGAACAATTAACTGAGTAAATTGGAAATAAATTGTTTTTCTATTTAGAACAGACAATAAAACTATAGAATGTTAAATGAATAGTAAATTAAATAAGAATCAATTTAATCAGCAACCTTTAGACTTGAAAGAAAACCAGATAATCACTTTGACAACAAGAAAAACAAACAACCTCTTTTCCAAATTTTGCTCGACAAATAGCCAAGTTGTTTTCTTTTTTCTCTCACCTGTTGGATTGGATTAAATTTAATTCCAATTGATTTGTTCAGTTAATCGTATTTTTTTAATTTCTGTTTATTTATTTTTCATTGTTTTCTATTAATTGTTGTTACCATTCTATTGGAATTCAAGTGGGATTCTGTCAATGTTTTCCCTTTGTGTAGGTTTGTTCATTGTCTTTGTTTGATTGTTACTCTTTTTTGTTTGTCTACTGATTTTCACATCTAAATATTGTCTGAGTAATTAAATCTAATTGCTTCCTACTTAATGGTACGTATTTGTTTTCTTTTGATTATTGTTATTCATCGTAATTACAATTAGTGTTGATATTTTGATCCAGTTTTTGTTTAGGTCTATTGGCGTTTATGTTTATGGTTGTAGAAATGATTGGAGATTTTTTTTTTCGTTACAATTTTAATTGTTTTCGATTTAATGAATTTGATGTTTAATTGTGATAATTTTGAATTATATTAACAATATCGAAGGCATAATATGAGAGTATAAGAAAATAGAGAGACATTATGATTGTTAGGAAGAACCAAGTTTTCCTTTGTTGTGTTGCAAGTGAATCAATTCTTTCAGTTAATTTGCTCATCTGTTGATCCAATTGTTTATTACAATTAGAAGAGATTTTAATTCCTCCATTGATTATTCCCTTTTCTGATTTGATTAATTTACGTTTGTACATTTTATCATTTCCATTATCTTGATAATCTTGATCATCATCACCATCATCACCTTGATCTTCATCTAAAAGTGGTAACAATTTATGGGAATAAATTTCATCTTTACGTTTAATCCAAAGATGATAAAAATCTTCAACTGTTAACCAAGTTTGATTTACTGGTAATCCAAGGATTAAGAATTTATCCTTAATCATTTCATCCCCTGATGGTTGATTAAATTTAATGGTCACACTAATTGTTCTCTTTGGTAAAACAATTCCAAGACTTGGACTAACAGTATATCTCGATGGACTCGTTGATTGGATCTTAAAGGCAACTGGACTTTCCAATGGATTGGACATTACAAGTGTCGCTACATAAGCGCGATCACAATAATCATATCGGAACATCATATTCTTAGATGGATTAACAACCAAACAATTGGCCGATCTTTTAATTGTCGATTGATCTTGTTCTTGTTCTTCTTTCAGATCTTCGTCTTCCAATGAATCCCAGAAATCGGGACTTGGGTTAACATAATCTTTAGTTTCCAGTTCTTTTGTCGCTTCTTCGAGGGCATCGGAAAATTCTGGTAAAATACGATCAATGTCTTGTAGCGAATAACCAAATTCGGTAATCACTTGAGAAACTGGCTGTGAACCTGGAGGAATCGCTCTGAAGTTACGTTTACAATTACCGCCCAGATAATCAGGGACTGAATTTCTGTCAATATAATTGAAAACCTCATCACCATTGGCAAATTTAATCAGGCCAAACCAGGAAGCGGGAAGGAATGAGAGAGCTACTCTTCTGAATGCATTCAATGCCCAGGGAACGTTAACAACAAGAATATATTTAACACCGACTGGAAAATAACTCGAACCAGAATTAATGAGAAATTTAAGATAATCCCAGTCGAGATTACGATAACCAGCACCAGTGACATCAAATACTACACCGATTCCATTGCCTCCCGTCATTATATCCGCTTTATTGAGAACATGGATTAAAAACTTTTTCGAATGATCATCGAGCTCGGGAATCTTTCGATGCATTTTAACCCGAATATAAACTGTGAGAAAACCATCACGATCACATTCATAGATGAAAAGAGCACCAATCTTATAAAATTCTATTGGAAAATGGTAATCACGAAATTCACGAATCTTTATACTTTTCCTCCATCTCATGGTCTCAATAATCATCTTGAGCGCTTCACTTTCATTACGATTTCGAGCTAAGAAAAACCTCTTAACGTACCAATCATCAGTTTCCAATTTCTGGTAATCCTCCTCGTAATAGAGATCTATGGATAAAGATAATTGAAAATGGAACAATCAATCAGAGCGAAATTGAAATTAGATGGAAAGTTAATTTTCTAATTAAATGTCTATTTGTATGGGGAAGATTTTTTTTCGAAAGAGGTCAACTTATTATTGGGTCAATCTATCAAATGACTTTTCCTCCTAAAAGTTTGTTTACTTCGTATTGGTCATTTAAAGCAAAGAAAATGGAATCAAATTGTTGACCAATCACTTACCTTGATTGTCAAGATATTCTTGTCTAAAAGATTCCCGGAGACGTTTAACATTTTGAGCACTTCGATCAGATCGACTCATTTCCAACGAGATAATTATGGAACAATTTAACACAAGGAAAAAGAAAACAAATCAACCAGAGAGAAACAAAGTAACGATTGAGATGAACGGAACAAAATTCTCATTCGATTCTGAGCCGAAATTTGATTATTATGATGATGGAGAAAGAGAGGAAAAAAAATATCGTCAGAATGTGAATGTTAGTCTACTGGTGAAGGAAATAAAATCGCATTAATCAAGAAATAGAAAAACAAGAAGTTGTACAAGTTAATTATTGGTGTTGAAAAATGGGGAAAAAGTACCAACAATTTAAGATTTAGAGAGAAAAGTAAATTAACACAAGGAAGACAAAAGAAAACGTCAAAAATATAAAATGATTTGTCTTCTTAATTTACAATTTTCGTTTCTTTCTCAACGTTCATTGAGTTTACTGTTGTGATGATGATGAAGATTAGGATGATGATGATGATGACGTTGATTCAGACCGTTTTTGAGAGTTGACAGCTACTTAAACAGTATATTAGATGATTAAGATTTGGATGAATAAACAATTGATTGCATTGGACCGCAGCTAACGAATTGGGAGAAACTGTTTCCCAATCCATGGTTAAATCTTTAATTTAATCTATTCATTTAGAGGGAACAATTAATAATAACTATGGAATTTGAGGAAAAACAATTAATGAAAATCAAGGTAACAAATTCAATCAAGTCTCTCAACCTTTAGACTTGAAAAGTTGTTCAACAACTAAGAGAATGAGAATCAACATTTTCTGCTCGATAAATAGACTTTTCTCTTTTTTTTTCTTGTTTCTTTTTTTTCTTACGGTTACAATTTGGTTAGAATCTTTTTCTTTATGAGTTAAATTACAGTTTAAATTTGAAAAATAATAATTTCGCTAATTTGTTTACTTCTATTTACTTAATTATCCTATGTATCTCTCTCTTCGGGCCTTTCGTTTTTCAGGCGTTTGCATCATCGCACTAATAAGCGCTCCAGCTACTACTGGGGCTGAAGATCCTACTCGATAACTTTGTAACCATCCACTTGTGGCGATCGCTGGATTTTTACGCCATTTATAGATTCCCATAGCGACAACTCCTAATCCCATAATAATACCTGAAAATTGAAAAAAATAGAGGAAACAAAAGTCAATCAAAATGAAACAATAATTGTAAAAACCGTAAAGGTGAAAGTCAAAATGGTTTACTAACCAATTCCAATTGCTGGATATTCTGAAGCACTATCCATCATCGTCCTCCGTGTCCGTCGAGCTTCACCGACAATCTCATGAGTAGTATTAACAGATACAGGTTCCATTATTAAAATAAATCACAATTAAATCAATCAAAATGAAAAACAATCAAAATGATTAACCTTTTCAACTAAAATGTTGCATCAGAAAAAAAGATAAACAACAAAACGTGAACCCTATCGGTCTAAACCCTAAGTAGTAAAACCTAACTGCCGATTTATGAATAACCTTCAACCAAGTAACGAGCACTATGAACATCACAATTTGAAGTTTCAGTTTTTACCAACAGATAGCGCACATGGAACAATAAGTTAATTGAAATTTTAATTGTTAACAATTAATAAAATATAAAGGTAATGATGGTAAATATAATGATCAACATATAGTAGTTTATACAGAGAGGAAAATTTTGAATATTAATTTAAATTGTGCTGACCTTTAGTTATATGCCTTTCATCACCCATCCTATTGACCTGATGGTAAAATATTATAATAGTAACAATTTAAATGTCGATGATAATAATCAGTTGATTATTGGGATTAGCACGACTTTTTGCTTTGGAAATCTATTGATTTCCTAAATTACAGGAAATTACTTTGCTATTCATTAACTACAATTGAACAGAACAATTCAAATTGCATGAAGAAAAAAAAACTATTCCAACAATCAAAGTCCCAAATCATTTTGATTGTTTGTTGGCCCTTTAATCAGTTTTCCTGGTGTTGATCAATACACAGATGCAATCAACTAATTTAGTGTTTTCATGTTACAATCAACCAAAAATTGTTACTCTTTCCTTAGTAACCTTCAACCTCACCTACAACAATAATCATCTCTATTTACACCAACACCAATTTAGCTAATCATTATTAAATAATAACAACAATTTAAGTCTTTACACCAATTCTCAATTGAAATCATCAAAATTAATTGTTGTATTACCAACAACAATTAGCTAAATCAACACAGTTACTATTTCAATACCAACTTGTTAATTCATTATATGATTAACTGGTTTACAATTGTAATAATATTTGATTAACCAATTGCCTAATACTTTTTTTGTTCACTTTGATTAGTTAATTGTATTGTTCAATTTAATGCTAATCAGTGGATAAGAAAAATAATTTCTATATTCTGATTAGAAATTAATTTCTAAATCATTATTATTTCTCAATCAATCATCATGATTAACAGTTCCTGGTTTAATTGTTGCTTTTAAATTCATTGATCAGATTGAATATAATTCATCGAGCAATTTGTTAATTGTAAACTTTTTGCTTCAACATAAATACTAATCATCTTAGATTATAATTATCACTGACCTACCCGATTGTCTGGTTCAATAGTTGGACTTAATCAAAATTCCTCAGGCTAATTAACTAACCAATCAAGGTCAAATTAATCATTGAGCTTATTTGATGGATTAACAATTTATTTCCAATTGCTAATCTGCTACTTGATTATTAATACACAATCAAGAAAAAACTATCAACCTCAAATTAACCATTGATTAAGATTATTAGTTGATTATCATGTTTAAAGATTTTCCTTTGGAAATTAGTTGATTAAACTTTTTTGAACATCAATCTGATTAAATGGTGACAATTTGATTAACAATTAACTAATTGTTAACTTTTTTTTTCTCAAGAAACTTTCGCTTTAATCACCTGCACATGATACTAACTTATAACTAAATTGTAAACAATCAACTAATCATAATTAAATCTTCCCACAGTTTAGCATTTATCTTTACCATCACAATTATATTTACTATGATAATGATTAACTAAATTGTTAGCATTGACCTTTTCCTCTTGTAACAATTAACATTGAAATACAAGGTTGAAATTGGGACACAATGATGATTAAGGTGATGATAGATAATCACTAGACTTTAATTAACAATTGATAAATACAACAACAATTAAGTTAATTCAATGGGAATAAAATAATCTTCAATTTCCCTTGGTAATTTGAAACAATCAAATTTGATTGTTTCAATCACTTTCTGAATTAAATACTAACCCAGAGTAACATTGAACTCAAATGGGTAAGAAAAAAAAATTAGTTAATTGTATTGTTTTAATTGATGATTGTTTGGATTACAAAATACACACAAAAAAATAATCCAATCAATCAAATGAAACAATTAAATCATTTCTGGTTTAATAGTTAAACTTTTGCCTTAACTTTTTAATTGATTAAATTTTTTATTCACTTAATTTGTTGATTGATTAAGTTAATTTAAATAATGTGATTCTAACAAATGTCAATTGAAAACCATAAATGGAAATTTAATTTTCCTAATTAAGTAAACAATTTAAATCTCTAACCAGTTTCTTGATTAATTTGATAATTAAATGAAATTTAATCAATAATCAGATCATTAAATTGATAAATTGACAAATTTATCAAATGAAAAGTTAACCATACAAGTAATAGATAGACAATTGAGATTCCTATTAACCTGAAAAGTTACAATTAGAAATCACAATCAATTAAATTGATTGCAATTTAAATAAGAGAAACAAAAATCTGCTCTATGTAAATAGCAAACAATTAACTTTAATCACCAGGAATCAAATTAATTTTCCGTTTTCACCATAAGCAAAAAGTATCTGGTTTTCAACTGGTTACCTGTTTACCTGAGGTTGATTAATTTGATTAAATAATATTATCCAGACAATTATTACCTTCCTTGATGAGAGGATGAAGATGAAGATGATGAGGATGATGATGGTGATGATGATGAGCAAAAAACAGCAAAAAAACAGGTAAGAAGATGAAAAGTCATCTTAAATTGTAATATTATCGATGAATTTTTGTTAAATCAGGAAAAAGATTCTGGCCTCAAGGTTAAGGTTAAGGGACTTTAAACAGGAATCAATTTTTAACAGTCAACTTGATCCCGATTCCTTCATCATCATTATCAATATCATCCTCATCCTCATCTCCAACATGATCAACATCATCATTATCAATATTATATCATCGTTATCATAACATGTAATCTCAACCCATTCAAAAGTCCGGTTTACTAGCCACAAATGAAAAGTATCTTAGTTCAAATGAAGATCATTTAATTTTCACGAAAAATGATCACCAACAATTTACTGATCATAACCACTAATTAAATGGTTAATAGCTTCAAATAGTTTACTAATCATCTGAAATTGTTGGAATATCTTTTCAGTACCAACTTAATATACAGTCTAAGGTGGTAAGGAAGTAATTAGATTAATATCTGAATCAGATTAATTTTTTTCTTCTTCTTCTTCTTTGCCACTGATTAAGTATTTCGTTGATTGTTTGACCAAAATTTTCTGCTACTTTTCATTGATAACCATGGGTATCACTTAATTGTCACCAGGATCAGTGATTTTTTCCCAATCAATTCAACCATGGGTGACAATTTAACCTTTGTATCAATTCAAGATTCATCAAACTTTTCCTGCAAATTTAAATTATCAAGATACGATTCTCACAATAATCATAATTTTGATGGTAAACAATCAAAATTGATCAAAATTAAATGACATTGATTACTGATTGAAAGTGTTCCCAATCTTAAATCACTGATTTCTTGATTATCTCACGTTTAAATTGTTCCGATCATCTCAGTGAACAATTATCATTATAAAACTATAAGTTCATTGGCTTTGAATTTTAATCATAATCAAAATGAAACAATAAAAATGTTGATCACAAACAATCAAATTGTAAGGAAAGTAAAATAAAATTGCCAATCAAAACAGCTAACCAATTAACTAATGGAAACGATTGAAAGTCTCAGCAATTAACATACGAATAACAATCACAGTGTAAATTTAACAACAATTACATTAATAATAATTGATTATCAGAAACAATCTAAAGTTATTAACATCTTATTTGATGTCAAAACAATTATCTTTCAACTGATTAGTTAATTGTGATTACATTTCTTAAGTACAAGATGAAAATAATATTGATTAATAAGTTACAACTATCAGGTTACCTTTTCAGTACATTTGAAACTTAATTGTAATTGAATTAGTGATAATTATGCAATTATTATGATTAAACTTGAAATTATCTGTGGTCAATGATCATGATAATTAATATTTAATCATAATCAAGCTTCAAGCTATTTCCAGGTTATTGGCATAACCAAAATTCAACATCAGGTTCAACAGGTAAAAAAAACTTATCATCAACTTGTTGGGTTGACTTTGAATCTTTATCTTCATCCTCATCCTCATCCTCATCCTAATCTTCATCATCCTCATCTTGATCCTCTCCTTAATCTTGATAATATACTAATCTTCATCTAGATCTTGAAATTGAACTGAATTTTCATCTTGATTGGTACAAATTCAATCAAATTGAGTTAATTTTTTCATCTCTTTTCAATTCTGATTGTTAACTGTTAACTTACAGGTTCACCTTAATTGTTAATCATTAATGATTTTTGATCATCTCACTGATTGTTACTCAGTCTAATCTCGTAGGTAAAAATATATTAATCAATCATTAATATTATAGTTAATTGGTTGATTCATTGATTAACAATCAATTTTAACTATTAATTGTTACGATTAATTTTTACTCTCTCCCTCTTTCTTTATAATAACAATTTAGTAATGATAATAATTGCTGATAGTTTAATGTCAATTATTAATCACAATTCACCATTAAATCATTAGTTAATTGTAAGAGCAAAAAAGAAAACAATTTGATATCAAAAAGTTGATGAAAATAAAGTGAAAAAAAAGTTAAATTGATTCTAAATGATTAACTAAATAATGGTAACAATTAAGAGAAATTGGAGAAAAAAAAATTATTGATTGTGAATGATAAAAATTGATTAAAAGAATGCCGGAAATCAAGAGTAAATCTAATTGTAACAATTGAAAATTATTACAATTAGATTGAAAATTGAGAGTAAAAAATAAACTTGAACAATTAAAAAAGGTTCAAATGATACATGAGAAAATTTTTCATTCTCATTTGATTTAATTGTTGCTCAATGAATAACAATCAAAAGTAATTGTAATAATAACCCAATGATTGTAAAGTAAACCCAAATATTAACATAATCATATAAAGGTAAATTGTCAACAATTAAAGTTATTCAAAGAATCCCATTAACTGGGTAACCATTTAGACTTTTAAATTGTCAACGATTGTAAATCACTAGAAATTGACTAAACCTGAATGAAAGACCATTGGAGTGAATTGATGACAACAATTAGAGTAAATTGTTGGAAAGAAAAAGTAATAAAAAGGTGAACAATTAAGTTGATTGTTAAGCCATTGAATCCATCAAATAGATGACAAAAAGATTACAAAGATTCCCAGAGAAAGAAAAGTAAATCGAATAACAAAAAAAAAGAAGAAGAGAAAAATATTATTCGAAAAGTAAGAAAAAGAAAAGAGAGAGAGAGAGAGAGAGAGAGAGAAGATGATGAAGATAAAATTTCGATGAGGATTAAGAAGATAATCTGAACAATAAGAACAACCGAAAGAAATTCTAATATTGATTTGTAACGAAATTTGAATAACAAAAATATTCTAATTTTCTGTTGAGGTGAAAAGGTAAACGTAGCGAAAGAAGAAGATGAAGTAATAGACAGAGAAAAATATTCTCTCTCTCTCTCTCTTGATGATGAAGATGAAGATGGAGAAGAAGATGATGAAGATGAAAATGGTTCCATTTTAGAAAAGATCAGGTTTTGGGACCTCCTTGAGTGAGAAGAATTAAGGTAAACCCGTTTAACGAGTTTTCTTATTATCGGCTGTTCATTTTGTTCTTAGTTAACATTCAGCGAACTTCTTTTCAACTTGTTTTCCATCGGTAAGAAAAATATTCTTTCTAATTTTCTCCAACAATTAAACTAACAACAATCACTTCATCACTAATTAATATTCGTATTCTTATTAACAATTGTCACTTGTCATTTATCAATCGAATTTTAATTTTATTCTTTTCTCTTTTTCTCTTTACAGTTTCATTTATTTTTCTCTCTTTGTTTCTCAAATTTTTCTTCTTCTTCTCCTATGGGAAAATCTTCTCCATTGTTTATCTCTCATATGGATAATAAAATGTGTCTCACCAGTGGATAAAAGTTAATCTTCCATTAATTGTACAATTAATTTAATCTTCTATTGGAAATTGATTAACTCAATTTTCCTCTCTTTCGCCTGGATTGTGTTTCTTTTTGTTTTTAATTCTCTGTGATTTAGATTTAGCTTTTTTTTTCCTCAAACTCTTGTTTCCATCTTTGTGTCTTTCCCATTGGTGTTAATCTTTGGATAATCTTTTGTTTTTACTTTAATTCTTAATCTATTAATCAACTGGATTGATTATAAAGTGATCATCTAATTTGTGTGCGTTTTTATACATAATATATATATAAATACAATTCCCACCAATTAATTTAAATATACACAATAAGACAATCTCACAAATCAACACAATGTCTTGTTCAGCTGTTTCCTTATCCATTGCCACCATAATTAGCGTGATTGCTGTCGCTTGTCTTGCCATAGCTTTTAGTACCGATAATTGGTATGAAATCAGGATTAATCGTAATTTAACCAAGGAAAGATTAACAGAATTGAATCAATTAACTGACGAATTTGAAACGGATTTAAGATATTTCAGCCGAGATGAAGGACTATTCAGAGTTTGTTTCCTCAATAAGAAACCCAAAGGATGTAAGTAATCATCATTTTCTGTTTCATTTCCACTAATCATGATTCTCTCTCTCTCTCTCTCTCATATCATGTTGATTGTTCTATTCTCTCTTACTATTCCTGAGTCAAAGAAATGGAAAAAGAAAATTTCAAATGACAATAAGTTCTTCTTATGGATTATAACCTCTACCTCTGAATTTCTTTGTAAACACTAATCTTAAGATTACACATTTTCTTCTTGTTATTATTTTTCCTTCTTTTTTTAAGAAAAATCTGAGTCTCCATCTTTTTTTTTCTTTCTCTCTCTCCATCATCATCATCATCATCTTTTTTTCTTCTTTTTCTCTCTGAGTTTGGCCTACCTGTACAATTTAACTTCTACTTCTCTCTTACCAACAACAAACCGGCTTCTTCCAACTTGTTACATCTTCAACATTTATCTCTTTCTTTTTCTCTTTCTTTCTCTTCCTTTCTTTCAATTTTATTCTTTTTTCTTACCTATTCATCATCATCATCATCATTTTCACCTTCATCATCATCAACAGAATCAACTTATTCTATTTTCTTCTTCTTCTCTCTATCAACAATATTCTATTCTTTTCTTGGTTCCTTTCATTTCTATCATTGTGTTTCCTTCTTAGTCTTTGTTTACCTTTTCGTCTTCATCTCCCTTACATTCAATCTCTCGCATCAAATATAAATAAACACCTTAAGATTTTTTTCCATAAAATAAATGGTGTTTATTACAATCAACAATCTCTCCATCATTCTCATCACCATCATCATCATCATCATTGTTTCATAATTTTGCTTCTTTTTTTGTTTTTATCGCTTTCACTTTGCAACGAACAAGCAAAAAAAAGATTCACTCAATTTTCAATTCTTTTTCTGTTTCATCTTTTTTTCTTCTCTCCTTCCTTGTCCCTTAAATCATCATCTTAAGTTTAATTAGTAAGGTAAAAACTTGATTGCTAATTACATTCTTGATTAGTGTTATTTAATGATTCGTCATTTATAATTAGACTTAATTAGATGACATTTTTTACCTTCTCTCCCCTCATTCATTTAACGCGCCAATTTTACCTTAGCCTTGAACAGTAAACAAAAAGGGTTACCAAAGTTACTGTTGAAAAAACAGATTAACGTTTTTTTAACTTTCCTTTTGTTTAATTACATTTTGTTAATTGTCCAGTTTTTTTTTGTTTCGTCGTTAATTCTATGATTATCTGATTGTCAATTCTTTTAATTGTTGCTGTTGTTACCACTGTTTGTATGTAAACCGATAAATACAATCTACCTGTTAGAGGTTTTCTTTTTCACCAAAAAGAGATTAGTGTTGGTCAGTTAATCCGTTCACTTCATGTATCTATGAGCTTTGAGATTTTACTGTTGTTGGTTTGATTTTCTTGATAATTATTATCATTCCCGCTGGTAAATATGTATTGCTTTGGTCGATGAAACTTTTATTATCCTGTTTTAATCGTTTGAAATGGTTTTAGGCAATTTGGCTTCTCTGTTGTTGCAAATTTGTTATTGTTATATTATCCTGATGGAATTGGATAAGCTCATTTCGAGAGTTGATCTGATGACCACGGAATCCGTGAATTATAGCTTTCCTATTGATATTGGAAAGTTGCTGATTATTTTATCGTTGGAGTGCTAATATTATACAACCAGTTAGCTACAAACAAAAGGGAAAAAGATGATGTTTTCATTGGAGATCATGGTGATGATGGTGAACGTTTTTGTTTCTTGACATGTCGTGAATAATTTATCACTCTCACGGTGTATAATAAGAAATGAAATTGATGTCGTCTCAACTATTACCACCAAATCTATTCACTCAATCAATCAAGCAGTCAAATTAACTAATATATACACACACATATACATGTATTTGGTCAATTGTTTGGACTTTGACAAAAGGATGAAATTTGAAAGACATTGGAGTAAATGTAAAAATGTTCATCGTTGCAGTAATGGTTTTCCTTTTAAAATTTGACAATCGTTCAGATCTTCTTGATAACGATTGAAGAGTAGGAAAGGTGAAAGCCTGAGCATGATAAGATTATAATGAATGGAGATTGTTAATGAAACAACATGAACAACTATTGGACTATCTCTTAATGGAATCACAATTGAAAGATTTTCACCTTAATTGTTGTGATCAAATGGCTCTTTCTTTCACCACCATCACCACATCAATTCACCTTATTATCTTATAATTATGATGTACCTGTTGCTTTAATTTGTTTACTTGACTACTTTCCATGTCTTGTTACCTTGTTCAATACAAATACTTAAATTGTTAACCAATTTACGCTGTTGAAACTTGACCAACAATCCAAAATTAAGAGGAAGGTTAAAAATCGAGTCAAGTTTATATTCTGATTGGACTGACATTATTGTTGCGAGATCACAACAATCACCATCATCTTTAATGATGATAATTTAAACGTTACAATCAAATAGGAAATAATTGGAAAGAATCAAATGTTGACCTTTTATGACCATATAATATTTATAACAATTCCAATTCTCTGGTAAAGAATCACCACAACAATGGAAATTGAGTTAAATCATCATCATTATAATTAACATCTTATATATATAAATGTCTCCTGAAAAGATTCAGGAAATAACGGTCACCATTAAGGATCCATTCACTTGAATGATGTCCCAACCTTTTAATTGTTGATTATCCTAATGGATTCTTACCTGAATCGCCTCAAGATGATCTTAATTATTTCCACCAACTTGTGAATTGTTTGAGTGTGAAAACAACAACAACAACAACGTCAACACATGATGAACTTGATAATTGGTTATCAATCAATTTCTTAAATCAATCAAACATTTCCAACAATCAAATTTTGCTTTCTCTTGATCTCTTTCTCCTTGACCCAACAAAAATTAACTCCATTCACAATAATAGGCCTTTAATCATTACAATCAGATAATTTAAATATTATTAATACTTTTCTGCCAATTCAGATTAGCATACTTACTAATTGATTAATCAATAGTCAACAAATTATTATTGATTAATCAATTCTCATCTACTTAGTAATTATTTCTTATTCTTAAACAAGGTTAAACATTGATTTTAATCATGATTTGATTGTTATCATTTGATTGTAACCTTGTTGTTGTTTATCCTTAGTTATTTCCGATTAGTATCATAACAATTTAATAATTTAAGTAAGAAATCAACAATTAGATTTAATAACAAAATTTCAGACTTCACCCAAAGGTCCATGAGTTTTTTTAGTTACTAATTGTAATTGTTGAAGGTTAACTATTAGTAGAATTGATAATTTAATAACTTTGCTATTATGGTACAATTACATTTAGTTAATTAATTAATTGTTTCGAAGTTGAAAACATCAAAGTCGTGAGTTTAACTCTCAAGATGTTTACTTTTTTTAATTTCTCATTAATTGTTCATTGCAGAAAATTAATTGAACAAAACTCATTAAGATTTTGCTGATTAGAAACATAATTAATTTCTTAATTCCCATAAGAATCGTAATGTTAGCTCTAATAATTGTGATAAATTGGGTTGATTAAGTTAATTATCTGATCAATGTTTCATTTGAGTGTTAAATTCAACATTGAATTGTTCATCATCATCAAGATTAGCTGAGAAATCAGATTCATGTATTTAATTGTTAACGGAACACAATTAAATTGTCGACCTAAACTCATTTCAAACAGATTGATGAACAATTTGACAATCAACAAATAGTAATAAGTTGTTAACAAATTGTAACAATAATCGCTAATTGTTACAACTATTGGCAAGAAAACAAGTGAATTAACTGTTATTCAAATTTCAAACTTTGTTGAAAATCAATGATTAGTTAATTAAATGAATAAACTTAATCATAACCATTTTAGGTTGAATGATAAACACAATTAACTATTCAAATCAACAATTAACTTAATCAAGTCAATTTTGATTTACTAATTAAACACGAAATTATATCAACCTTGACACTCACTCTTGGTATGGTTAATACGATGATGATTAACATTTATAATTAATAACATTTATTAATTGTAACTACTGACAAATAAGTAGGTTTTAATTGTTAATCTTTTCCCCATTAAAAAAACTTCATCTTTATTGAGTTTTAAATTCAATTGTTACAAATCAAATCTTAAATAGATCACTTGGAACAAAGTTCTTTATTTTCTGGTTAATTAGCATTCATGAATCAACAATTAACTAAACAGTATTAGCTAATAATTGAACAATTAATCAATTCTACAATCAAACCTGATTAACATTCAAATGATGAAAATTAGTAAGTCAAATAACACATAAGAAAGTATATGAATTGAGCTTTTAATTTTGATGGTGAACAACAACAAATTAACTGGTCTATTTTTAAACAGTTACCTAAATTGTTGATCACAATTAGTTGATTATGATTGACTACACAAAACTGTTACATTAACGATGATGCAAATTGATGACGATGACCTTAACATGGATGAATATGAATCTCAATCTAAATGGTTATTGGTGGTGGGCTTAATTTCATTTCCTTATAAATCAGGTTTCTTTTTTCACTGATTGTTACCTGATTGTAGTTTACAGTTTGAAGATAATGATGATGATGATGATGATATTATGTAAGAAAAGAAAGAAGAAAAGAAAGAGGAAACAAATGATAATGATGATGAGACCTGAAGATTTTGTTTTTACCTTTGAAAGATCAACACTTATGTATAATTACTGGTTTGGTAACATTTTTAGTTACCTGAACGTGATTAGTTTTAGTTAGACAGTTAAATAGACAGAGATGATGATGATAATGATGATGATGATGATTAAGGTGATGAAAATATAGCCTAAGGCCTTAATTCCTGGCGGTTCCTGGTTCATTCAATGTCTTTTTTTGCTTCTTTTTACCTGAGAGTTTAATCTCATTGGTAATCATTTGTTAATTGTTTCCAATATACAATAATTAACTTGTTCGTTACTTATGAATTACTTTGGTGAATGTTTAATTTCATCTGATTATTTAATCTGGTTGTTTGGTTTAGGCTTTAATTTGATTTAATTTGATTTAATTTTCAAGGTTTGCTGGTTACACTTTCTGTGAAAATCTTTGATTGTTAATGATTAAATTACTGTTATAATTTGCTTGTTTTCAGGGTTTGGTTTAATTGTTGGCCAAGGCTCATAGTAATTAGATAGATTGTTGTTATTGATTTCCCTTGAAATTTAATGCGATCAATTTGTTATAATAATCAGTTTTTAATCATTTAGGTTTATTAATCTAATATTAAATAATAACATAATAGAAACACCAACAATTTAAATTGTCATTGATATTGACGTTATAATCTAACAATTAATTTGATTTGTTTGTTACTCTCATAATTTGATTGATTATAATCATGTTAAAAGGTAAACACAATTTAATCACAGTTGAACTTTTAAATTTTTCAACTGATTGTTTCAAAAATTATTTATCAATTTAACAATTGTATCAACAAATCAGCTTGATTTTTTGTTAATCAACATAACAATTTATTTATAATTAATGTCATTTGTATACAAGTTTGACCTGAAAACTAAACTGTTAATTCATAATTAACTAACTATAATCATTGATTTAATTTTACCCTTACCCATAGTTTGATTGTTGATTGAAAAAAAAAATTATATAAATAATGATCAAGTTTAATCATTGGTAACCGATGATCACAATTAAAGTTAATCACAAATCATTAATTGTGACCCAAATCAGGCTTACAAATTACCGAGTTGATTAATGGCTTTTGTCCATTTTCATCAACTTAAATGATCATCATCAAAATGATTATAATCATTTTAATTGTGATCATCTTGATCATTAAATTGTTAGTGATACAATCAGGATAATTATCATGATTAACAACGACAAGGTAACCCCAAAATCAATGATATTGAAAATTAACATGTTTCAATGTGCTAATCATTTATGATTAACCCAAATACAATCAATCATTTGAACCAATTAATAGTTAACTAACAACAATCAAAAATTAATAACAATGATAAGCTTATCAAATCCAATCTCAATGTTAATCCATTGAAACTCAATTCGGATACATTTCAACTTTAATTTAATTACAATCATCAAACTCTATTAATAAACTTATAATAACAATCGCAACAATTAACAATAATGATATTAATAAGTTCTTGACCATTTAAAAAGTTTTTCAAACCAATTTAATCTTAATTTAATCTTCAACCTACTAATCCATTAGGATAAATTGAAATAAGAAAAAAAAAGTTTCTAACTTCAATCAAGTTAATTTTGTTTCAACTGTTAATCACAATTAATTTACACACACACAACAATTAAAAGTATCCAAATTTAAAAAAAACAATCAGATTTAAAATGAAATCATTGAGCAATCATGTAAGCTAATACTTGATTATCAATGATATCAAATGATTGAAGCAAACTCGCAATCAACTAATCCAATCAGAAGAAAGTTGATTATCATGAAAACAAGAATAACAATTAACATCTCGATCGCATTAATTAATTGTTGTAACTTGAATACATCAAAAATTTGGCAGAAAATCAGCAAATTTACTCCCGGAGGACGAGTGACAAGGTTAATGAGGAACCAAAGGAAGAAGATGATTAACTTTGATTGGGATTAAGATGAGATGAAGATGAAGATGAAGATGAAGATGAAGATGAAGATGGATGAAGATGATCACCTAATTGTTTTGCATGAAAAAAAAACGCTGGAAATTGGGTCTAACATGTCGGATCTTCTGGTTACCTTGATTTTTCCTGTTTCACTGAAAAATATATAAATTTAGATCTAAATTTAGGTTTTCCCTTGATTATGATACTCATACATTACAATTTAAAACTATAATTGACCATTTGAATGAATTATTTATTACCGTTACTTGACCGTTAGAATGACCCATGAACCTTAACTCAACCTCTAACTGATTTTTTTCATTGATTCAGTTTCATATCATGATAATAATTCATTGACCATGAAACTGGGTCACTTGATGATTAGTATGATTTTTTTGTAGATTTGTAAACATATCATTAATTGTGATGATTTAATATTTCATGATCGTCATCATCTAATAATCAATTGATTTGTTATGGTTAATTGTTGGAATCAGTTGAAAATTGCCTTAAGTTCAAGTTTTGTAATTAACCTTCCAATAATTGTTATCGATATTTAATTGTTGTTTGTTTATCTAATTGTTGTCAATTGATTCAGTTGATTACGTTTTTCTTTTACTTTCAAATTATCTTAATATCATTAACTTTGAATTCTTGATTATATTTAACATCGTTTAAATTGTTGAGTGAAGGCAAAAAAGTTTCCAATCAATTGATTGATTTGTTTTTTAATGATAAATTAAATTTCAATTCATTAAATTTAATTTGTATTGATCGCAATTGGAAAAAAAATATATTTGAATATCCTGATCATTATTTTGATTGTTGTGAATATATTTAGCATTGAGACGATAACAATTTACTAATCACTATTAGTTGCAATTGATGAGGATGATTTAAATTGTATTTTTAAAGTAATCACAATCGTGCAATGATTACAGTATTTTCCTGTTGATTTGATTACCAATGATATCATTTTTTAATCATCAATTGTTAATTATAGTGATTATGGTTTATATTTATAACTGAAAATATAACCAATCCTTAATTATTGATTATTATTATCGTACAATCAAATCAATGATCAAGTGTAACAATTGTCTCATCAAAGGGATTTAGTTTCTCAAAGGATTAAATCAGATCTTTAAATTATCATCGTTGATTGTTGAGTCTCATTTCAATTGTGTGTGTGAGTCTTTGTAACAACAATCAACGACACAATCAACCAAACCCTTAATCTGATTAACTGATCTGATGATGATGATCAACGTTGATTGTTGTTCATCATTAACTTGATTCGTTGCCATGACCGTTAGATATTGATGTGAATTCGGGTGAACCAGTTTACCTGGAAAAAGTAAAGGAGGTAAAGAGGATAATCAAAAGATGATGATGAAGATTATCAGGTTGACTATTGAGATGATAATGATGATGTAGATGATGATGAAGATGATGATGAAGATGATGAGGATGATGATTAGATGATGATAGCTGAAAGGATTTTCTCGTAATTCGTTTGTAAAGTTCAACAGTAACTTTTTGGTGAATCAAAAATTGGGCAGAAAAAAAATACTAATCATTTGATATCGAGAAATTAATTATTGTCATTAATTGTTACCTCGCAATTCAGGGTAATGGTTAACTAATCATAATTTTCTTAATTGTGATCAGTAAAATGATTACTTGTTTCAAATTCAATCAATGAATTTCAGTCAGCATGAGATTTTATTTCATTTCGTTTCTTAATTTCTTGTATTTTTTTTTCTTGATTTGTTTAATCATTTCTGATTAACCCTCGACAATTTAATACGATTATTTTGATTGCTTCTAATCGTGACAATCATTTAAATCATTGTTGTTGATTGTTGACAGTTTATCGGCTATTTGAATTATACAATTTAAATTGATTTCAAATTGTTGGTTGAAAAAATAATCATCAAATTGATTGAATTTTGATAAAAAAATTTCCTGTAAACTTTTTGCTTAATTGTTAACAATCTCGGGTTGAATCAATTACAATTAACTTTGATTTCTATCAAATGTGTAAACTATTGGCACAAATTGACAGTTAATTAGTGTAATAACAACATAAATTGTTGGTAACTCCTGTTGTTACAATCAAAATCAGTTAACAATCAATTTTTAAATCAGTTTCAAAAAAAGTCTATTATGAATACAATTAATATTAATCATTTTGATTATTGAAATGGTTTTAATTGTTTGATTGACTATTAGTTAATTCAACTTCACCAGTCAACCATTGAAAATATAAATCATGAAAAGATACAATAATTAAAGACATACATGATTAATTAGTTTCAACTGATTAAAGTTACTTATTGACTATTTAAGGATCCATTTGTCTGGCCAACAATTAACTTAATTGTTTCATATTAAACATGTATTACTAATGTTGATTAGGATTTAATTGTTATACCGGAAAATTAACTCAATGGTTGTTAATTTAAATTTCATCGTTGACCTTGTTGACCTTAATTTAATTGTTTGGTGTTGACAAAATTAAAATCGTGATTAATTCATTTTAATTGTTGACTATTAGTCTTTGTATTGTTGTATCTAAATAGTTGAATACGATTGAACAACAATTTAAAACTTAATGATGATTGTATATATAAATGAGTTAATTGTTTGAAAACATGATTTGGATACTTGAATTATGATTTATGAGTTTTTAATTGTTGAAACAATTTTCACGTTGATTGTCAATTTGTTGATTGTTGTTGACCAAAAATTGACAATTAAGATGTTCCTTAAATTTGTTGATTGTTTTTTTTCTCATTGTGATTAATTGTTAAGTTAAGATGTTAAATTGTTCTGAATTGAATTTGTCTCTTTTTACTCAATTAAAGGTCAATTGTTTCAAGTTTAGTTTTTTTCCCAAAACTAATCACAACAATCAATGAATTGATTTGATTGATTAACAAGCCAAATGAAGTGAAACAATTAAAATTAAACTGGTTTCCTCACCTAATTTAAATAGTAATCAGGTATTGAATTGTTAATCAATTGTAACCTTGAAAATCATATTACCAGAAACAAACAAACTGTCAATTAATTGTTATTATTAAATTAGTAGCTTGAGTCTGAGACAATTAACCAAATTGTTTGAATAAGTTAGTTGATTGTCATCATCAACAACAAAAAATAGTAATTCCTGATTAATTGATCAACACAATCAGAATTTAAACCAAGAAAGATACAAAAAAAGAGAGAGGGAGAGAATCCAAATAATCATCTGAACCGAAAATCATTGTCTAACAATTAACTAATTGTCGTTTATTTTTCCTTAATTTGTTCACAGTGGAAACATATTTATCTCCAACTCAAACTCAATGTGTCAACGTAGATTATCATATACCTGAAGATGAAGAATCACAAAAATTTTCTGATCAAAGATGGGAAAGATTACGTAAGTACAACAATTAAGAATCGATGGTCAATTGAGTGACCATTAACCCATGGCTACCATTAAATTATCATCATAAGAGTAAATATTTAACAAACACTATTATTAAATCTCAAGCAACAATCAACAACCCCATGAATTTAAAGGGCATTGACCAAAAGGATATAAAAAAAACACCAGAAGCCAAAGAGTATAAAAGGATTTTGGTGCAAAGAGATTGTGATTGATGATAAGAACAAGAATCATCCTCATCTTTAGATGATGATGATTGTCATCTTCATGATGAGTTCGATAGAGTGTGACTAGTTATGAAAGAGAAGAGAGAGAGAGAGAGAGAGAAGAGAGAGAATGAGAGGGAGAAAGTAAGTGAGTAGAAAAAAAAGTTCTAAGGTAAAAAAAGTGATACAGAAAAAAAGATGAAGATGAAAAGATGATATTTCTATTCATCATCTTCATCAACTTCCTTATAGAAACTTTCAAATTAATCTAAAGAAAATGTCTCTCTTTTAATTGTATATATTAAGCTCTTCCTCTTCCTTTCTCACTTACATTTTCAATGGATGATGATGATTGTTGATTATCATGATGATTACAATTTAAATGAGTGGACTGACTCTTAACGATTAACCGGATTAATCCATTAAAGAATTGTTAACGATCCTTATGTATCGTTAATTTCGTTGGGTTTTGGATATTCACTTGTTCATCACGCCATAAAGATTAAGCTCTTAATGTCTTTTTAGAACATTTTTAATTAACAGTTAGAGAGAGAAAGAGAAATTAAATGTTATTAAGACAATAATAATAAAGAGTAGAAATTAATTACCAACAATCATGACAGTTTTTCAACAGGTAAACGAAGTAAAAATAAAGCCAGAAAAACACAGGTAACGATTAAGATGAAAAGTATTTTTATCTCATCATGATAACATAGCAATTGGTGTAATATATTAACTTTAATTGTTCCCGTTTTCTAATAGTGTCTCTAATTTTGATTTTCCGTTAATTGTTGTCAACATGCAAATTACAATACTAGTATTCAATACTAATCACCTTGATTATAATCATCTCCTCAATCATTGGTGTCATTTGCTGATAAATCCTTAAATTGTCAAATTATCTCACTGATTGTTTGTTGATGCTTTTTTCTTACTATTAACTGATTTTAATTTACTTCCATCCAGTCACACTTAGTTGATTAGAATTTACTTTAGTCGCAATTAAACTAGTAAAAGGTGGTTAAGTTGTTGAATTTAATGATGACAATCAAAAGTTATTTTGATGTTTCGCTGTAATTACAATGTTTAGTCTTTTTGTCTAATTGACTTTTTTTTGCTCTCTAATTTTAATTCGCTGGTTGATTTTATTAATTAATTTTCTCAGATCTTGCTCGATCCGTGGTCGCTTTATATGTCGTCGCCTTTTTCTTGTTGACTCTCTCATTCTTCACCGGGATCGCAGGATGTTGGAAACGATCTCACGCCAATCTCATCGCCACTGGTATTATGCAGCTTTTGGCAGGTAATTAACTTAATCATTTACACCAAGTTCCTTGTATCTATTATCTCACCTGCAAGAACAATTTAAAATCAATCTGCCAATATTTTCTCGTCTCATTAAAATCTTCATCTTTGTCCAATTCACATTTCGATAGCTTTATTTGACGCTGGTGCCATGGGTCTCTGGCATGGAGTCCAATTTTACGATCAACACAAATTGAAAGACGAACTGTCTTATAACGGATGGCCAACTGTAAGTGTCCATCCAAAAATCCGCGACAATTGATGTGGACAAAACAAATTCTGAACCGACAGAATTTACCTCAAATCAATTGTGTCAATTTTTTTTCCTCTCTATTAATCTTAATCCTTTTCTATTTCAACAGATTCTCAAACAACATGGTGTCAGTGATTTTTACTATGGTTGGTCTTATATTCTTGCCTGGCTCGGAATTGGTCAGTGTTTAATTGCTTCCTTCATGTTCCTCGGGTCAGCTCGGTGTATCCGAAGTGAAAAACGAGCCGAACACGCTAAAAACATGCAATACCTGATGCCAGTTTATCCAGATAAACGTAATCCCTATGGATATGCTTACGCTTACCCAGGGCCTTATTCGTATCATGGATCATCATATGGAATCACTCCCTATTCCACTCCATATTAGAATGTCCTTTCAACAGAAAACGAAAACCCCCTGAACATAAATCCAAATCAACTCGATAGAAAAAGTTTACTATTTAATCATGACCTAATCATCCATCTAAAACATCATCAGTTAAATCAATTCTTTGGGACATCAAATTATGAGAGAAAAAAACAACGAAAATTGAACAATTAAGTTCTCTTCGATTTCGGTTACTTTAAACTCTTCGTCCAAATTGACCGTTCGAGCCATTGACCATTCTAAACATTAACCAATGCGAACTGAGAAAATTCAATCGCAATCTAAACACTCATTTCTTAATTATTATTCTTATTTACTATCATGATTAATATTATTTTAATTACTCTATTTCATTATTATTATCATTATTTTCACTTGAGTATCACCAACAAATGATAATAATAACAATCAACTAATTATAATGATCTTTGCCTTTCTCTATCTCTCTTTTTTTTAATATTTGTACGTCCAAATGTTTGATACAATTAAAGATCACACAATTGACCAATTAAATTAATAATTAATTTGATTATTTATTGACTATTATTGGAAAGAAATGATCAACTATGGATTTATTGTTCCACCATGAATTAAATTAAAACCTATTAATACAATCAAATCGACAATCGGGCCATGAGAATACAGAATAATCTTTGTTAATTACTACAATTCAATTTTCTTCTTAATCATTATGATTAATATAGAAATTAAATTGTATTTACAAGATCACAATTACCACCAATGTTAATTGTGAGTTATAAGTGTTCAACAATTGAAAGATTTTTTCTTTAGCTAAACAATTTAATTTCTATATATAATTGGATTTAATAACGAAAAATGTGACAATCAACTAATGTTAAATATCAATAGAGTAAAAGTATTCACAATTTAAGCTCAATTAAGGATTTAATTAAGTTTTTCATCTTTAATTGTTTCGTTTTTGCAGAGACAATTAAAGTTTATCAGATGTTAACAAGATGATTCCAAATGATTAATATTTAGTATCTACGGTGGCGGTGTCGTCGATTGGAGCGGATTTACCTTGATTTTTGGTTCCAAATAAAAGGTCAATTTCTTTCTTGAATTTTGGATGTGACAAGGAGTAAACAAAAGGGTCCACTGTGGCCGCAATTTTGGCCGTTAGAGCGGGAATGATTGACCAGCCGGGATAGAGTAGGTGACCATGTCCAGTGGCTCCGGTTAAAGCGATAGCAGCATAAGGTGTCCAAGAGACGAGCCAAAGTGAGATTAGGACAGCGGCAGTTTTGGCGATTTTAATTTCCTCTTTTTGACTTGTTTTCGATTTGTCTTTACCGGATGTACCACCGGTCGTATCTTCAATTTTTCTTAGTGACTTTTCAGAGGCACCAACAGCCTTATAAATACCGTAATAAGAGCAGATAATTATGGTCACCGGTATACACCAAGCGGCTACAAAGTAACACCAAACAAAGACACGGATTGATGTGTCATTGGACAGGTAATCTACCGTACATGAGGTCAGAAAACCTTCATAGGTGTAACGATTAAAGATCTGAAGTAAGGGCAGGGTGGCAAAGAAAGCCGCATAAGCCCAGATGAAAAGAACGGCTAAAGTTGATGTTAAGGTTGTTAATCGCCTTGGATTAAGAGGATTAGAGATCACATTGTACCGGTCAATCGATGCAATGGCGACCGAGAAAATGGCCGCACAACCTGTTAATCCACCAAGGAAACCATAAATCTCGCAACCTGGAAGTAAACCAAAAACTCTAACTGTTAATTGTAATTCAATTTCAATGAGAATTAATTTTTCCTTCAAAATCTTATTCAGGTTTCACATCTAAACTACATTATTATTATTACATCATTATCCTCTTGTTAAGTGGCTTAATCATTAAGAAGTTGGTGTTAAATCATTACGATTTAGAAATAATATAAGCCTATTATGAGATGATTTATCTTTGGTTTAGAGTAAAGTTAATTACAATCAGTTGATTGACAGGTTAAAGTATCTTACCTAAGGAACCGAGAGCTGGTCCACATTTGACTGAATTATAAATGAACACTGGAGTCTTGAAGATCATGAAGAAATCAGCAATCGCCAAATTAAATAGTAACAAATTGGACGGACTTCGCAGTTTCTTGTTTCTGGACAGAAAATAATGAAAGGAGAAACAAATTGGATGACTAATTGTTGAGAATTGATTCTGAAATTTGATTGAATTGAATTGAATTGAAATTGAATATATACTTAAGATAAAGGACAATGACCAGTCCATTGCCTCCGCAGCCAAAGACAAATATTAAAAAGTAAAGGATGGCAAGAAGTAGATTAGTACAGGAAGAAGGTGGTTCAAATTGTGACCAATGGTCAGGAATATATTCCAATAGGTCAGTAGTTAATAGGTCACTCCAAATGGCTCCTTTATCGTGGTCACAATAGTAAACCGATTTAATCGATGGAGCAAGTCGATCGGAAGCCGTTAATCGTGTTGTCGTTGATGCTGATAATGTTGATGAAGATGAAGCAAGTCCACTAATTGCTGATGAGGATAAAATTTTACTCTCTCGAGTTCCCATGATTTTTGAGCAACAATTAAACAGAAACAAAATTAACGGTAAAAGTTTAACAAAATTGACTGGAAAACTTTCACAAAAACATACACATTAAGTATATGAATTGATCAGAACCAAGACAATTTAATTAATATTGCAAATCAATTGCTACAATTTCAATTGTTAAACACCCTTGATCTTGATAATATGGATGGTAACAATTAACCAGTAAACCTTTTACCTTAACTAACAATCAAAGTTGTAATGATGATCAAGATGATCACAATGACTGATTTATAATGATTGTTACTCACACTTTGATTGTTTTAATATCACTTTTGAAAATGTAATTTCATCAATAGATGATGATGATGATGATGATAATTGTTTAGTAAATAGTAACAGTTAACAATTTAATTCTGCAAGAAAATGAAACAATATGAGCAAGGAAACCTTTACAATGTGATCAAGATAAACACTAAATTAATCTGGTTGAACCACCAAGAAACCATAACAATTAAAATGAAAACTAAAACAACAAGATTTAAATTGAAGCCTGAAGAAAACCTTGATTTGATTAACTAAATCTAAATCTTAATCCAACTAGAAAATTGAGTTTACTAATAATATATTGAACTAATATTTGTCAATATAATAATCCATTAAATCAACTTTTGGTAACAATTTGGTAATTTCAATCGGATTAACCTGAATGGAAACTTTTTCAAAAACTTTTGTCAAGTTAACCAACTAATATGAATACGATTTAGTTAATTATTGAACATTGATTATCATTCACTTTTCCTTTTGTCTTGATTGATTTAGTTTAATTTCAAGGACCTAATGAAGACCAAGGTCTTCATAGATATTAATTTAATCATGTTTTAATCTGTTGTTAACACTGTTTCATTGATTAATTTAATTTTCTATCTCTTTAATCATCATCATCAGTGTTGTATTTGTATTGATATTGAATCAGAAACTTTCATCACATTTATATCATCATTTTAATCATCTTAATCACGTTATTTCACTTTTATCATCATTATTATATTGATTGATTTAATATCTCAGAGTTTTCATTTGATTGAATGGTTTCAAATTATTATTGATTTACTTCATTTCTTCAACAATTAAAAGGGTAAGAAAACAACACAAAAGTCTTTAAATCAAACAGAATCAATCACTAATTATCCTTAATCGATCAACCAAATCACTATCAGCAAACTTGTTAACAGTCAACAATTAGACTCATATAACTTTTTCAACTCTTAATTTGTTAACAATTAACTGTCAACATAAATTATCAATTCGTAGTAATTAAAGATATTAGGTTTTCTAGTTTCATATTGACACTTTCATTCATCAAAAGGTTGAAACAAATCTATTGACTTTTCAGTCAATTAATGAGAAAATGAAACTCACCCAGAGACGAAACAATTAAAATCAAATCAAAAGTTAATTTAATTAATTTTTCTGATTCTAAATCTTATTGATCGATCAGAGCGCCAACCGGTGTTCGAGATTCAAACTAACCTTTGATAGTAATTTTTGTTTTCTACTTTGAAATTGTGATTTGAATCAAATTGTAAACAATTAGTTGATTATCTGCAATTGAATAAGTTTAATTAAACTGTTTGTTTTATGAAGGTTTTTGAATTTACTATGCAATTGAATTTGGACATATCTTTTATTACACAATCTATTTAGTAGTAGGTTGATTTTTTTTGTTTGCTTCTGATTTGCTTACACAAGTTTACTTATTGATTACAATTTAATTTACAATGATTAAGTAATAATTATTTGTAATTATCTTATTTTACTTTTTGTTGGGTTGATTATCTTTGAATAAGTGTCATTAAATCAGCTCCTTTTGATATTTTGATAGTAGTTATAGTTGTAGTAGGAATTAAGGATTAAATTGGTTTCCAAAAAAAAATTGATTAACCGCTTGTGCGAAAAATATTTAGACACTTGAATGAGGTTTGATTTTGAAATTAATTGACTCTTCCAGTTAATTGTTATTATGATACGATCTCATTTAGATGTGTCTTTATTGAACTTATTCTCCTTTCGTATTGCTCACTTTCTTCGTCCATTTCTTTTTGAACTTTCGTTAGATTCTGGAAACAAAAAGCAAGATGAATGAAGGAAAATTAGTGATAGAAGAAAAAAAAACGTGATTAATGAGGAAAATTTGATAATTAACCTCACTAAGAGCATCGAAAACGTGTAGATAATTAACAGATGATTAACTTACTGCGATCTTTTTTGACAGTTTGTCGACTGCATTGGTTTTCTCGCGAATCGTCAGTTTCAATTGTCCAATTCTTCCGTTTAATGATTCTCTTTCTTTTTGGGACTCTGTTAAAATTAGAAGAAGAGAAATTAATTAGTATCAATTGAGTTTAAGTGTTAAAAGAATGAGAAAAGTTAAATTGCAATGGACAATTAAATTGTGGATTAAAGGTCAAGGTAGTTAATGAGAAATATGAAATTCAGTTATACCAAGTGCATATTTTTCATATGCAGTTGTTATCGCTTCAATTCCAGGCCATTTGAAGCCGACGGAAGATGTATCATTGTGATACGAAGCTTCTGAATATTTTGATTCATGGCGATCCTGGTCAGTGATTTGTAAATTGGTAGATTTGTGTTTATTATTTAATCGCGATGAAGAGGGAGGGAGAAGATCATCTTTCATTTTATCTTCATGATTGTTGATTTTCAAGGATTTATTTAATAAAATCTCTTTATTATCAAGAGATTTTAATAAACCTTGTTTCGAGTTGGTTTTTGATTGCTTTGATTGTTTACGATCTAAGGTAACATTTAAAGTTCGCCTTTGATTGTGCCATGAATTGTTAACTGCTAACGGAACAGAATTACACTCATGGGAAGGTGGTGAAGAGAAAGAGGAACTTCCGGTGGTAAATGTCGGTGTTTTAGAGTTTAAATTGGTGTTATAATTGTTCAGGTAACCGTTTTTATTATAACGATCGTAATTATTGTAAACTCTTGGTTGTGAGGTTAAATATTGGAACCATTTATCGAGCGCTTCCTTGGTTAAATTGTTGGTTATCTTTCCATAGGATAGATTAATTGATCGACGTCGATCTCTCTCTTCAAGAACACCTTCCCAGATCTGTTCACGTTTCTTAATTTCATCGGCATTCAATTCATGTTTAAGGCCAAGTAAATTCATATAATTAAATTTATCTTCTAATTTGTCTTCACATTTGAATAAACTATTGGGTAAAATATCAGTTGGTTGTATGAAAACATTTTCCGAATCAAAAAATTCAGCCTTTGGCATCTTATACATTGAGACCAATGGATAAGTATCACTTTTAGATTTGAATCGACGACGGGAAACATACTTCTCAAAAAGGATCTCATTCCTGCGTTGCAAGGTTATTAGTCCCAAGGAATTGAGAAAGTCCACTTTTTCCGGTCTATCGTCAAGTTTAGCGGGTGGCCCAGTGGTGATCATATACTTGCATCGGTACCGCGCTTTTTTCATCTCGTTTTCCTCTTCATCTGAAGTTTCCTCTTCACTGTAGATGAGTTCATCTTCATCTTCACTTGTTTCAACTGATCCTCGAGATGCTGCTCTTTCAGCTCGCTCTTTCCTTTTTACTTTTAGCTTCATTTCCATAAGATCTAATTTTGAGATTACCTTCTCAATATTTTCAGCGTTTTTCTGAGGAGAATGATCTTTATGACCTTGCGCTAGTTGAGGTTGAGGCGGTTGATGTAATTTTAATGGTTGACGACATTGAGGTTCAACTTCATTGGTTAACTTTTTCGATGGTGATGTGTTGTTATTGTTATTGAAATTTATTTGACGAAGTGGAGGTGGCGATGGTTGTTGTTGTTGTTGTTGCGATACTTGTGACGAGGATGAAGATGACTGAGGTGTAGGTCTTGATTTTAAAAGATGAACTTGAAGATCTTGCGATGAGTTGATGAAAAATGGCGACGAATGATTACTGGGAATGAAAGTTTCGGGCTGATGTTCAACTGCCGCTGATGGTTTAAAGGAATAGTCTCCTGGTATATCACTAAACCTTTGCTTTTTCGAACTACTAAAATCGATTGGGACTTCGAATGCAACATTTCTTTTAACATTATCGGGAAACATTCTACTATTGTGAGCATTGGAATTTACATGATGATGTCTTGAATCATCTCGTTCATTAATCTGAGGTCTCCAAAGATGATTATTAACATTAGATGAGGATGTAGTTGTCACTGGACTATTTGTAAATGTGATTGTTGTTTGTGATGAAGAAGGACCAAATTGTTGACAAGTAAGTTGAGATGGATGTTCTCGTTTTAGATCAACCAAGATAGCGCTGGTGGTGCTTTTCTTGTGGCCTTGATGAACACCAGTTGTGTTTGAAGTTAAATTCATGGGCCTTGGACCAGGATTGCCCATAGTTATCGATCCATTAGGTTGATGTTTTTTATTAGAATTAGAATTTGTATTCATTTCCCTGGTAGACATTCCTGGTAATGTATTACCATTATTTGGATAATCTCGACCCGAGATCCATGTTCACTGTTGGTCGAGTGCATTTTGTAATTTGTTGGACCGGAAGATGAGATCGGAGGATGTTGATGAGGATGATGATGATTGGAATTAGATCCATGACCAAGTAAACGTTGTGTCTCCTCATTAAGTACTCTTTCCTGGTGTGTTGCTAAAAGTTCAGAGTAACGGGAGCTCATCTGATAGGAAGGCACATTAGAGTTCGTTGAAGTGTGTCCAGGTGATAGATCGGAATGACTTAATGGTTGAACATTTGAGGTTTGGTGTAAATTATTTGACGAGGATCGGATGAGACCATATCTTTCAAGGTAAAGTGGATCATCAATTCTGTGAGAAAAAAAGATAGAACCGGAAAAATGGACATTAAAATAACTGGAAACTTAAAATTGGAAAAGTAAACAAACATTTCCAACTTACCTGTACGGTTGTGTTGGAGGAGGAGGTAGAGGATGTGAAGACAAATTGTGATGTGAAGATTGAGATGATTGTGGCATAGGTGCTGATGGATTTGCATGAGATGAACCAATAAATGGATGGTATGGATAACCCGCTGCAACTGCCGCTGATCTTAACCTTTCACTATATGGTAATATATGATTTCCAATATTAGAGGAAGTGGCGGCGGATGGTGTTGTAGATGACCCTGAATTTGCCGAAGAGGGTCCAGAGGAAGATTGTTGTTGTTGTTGTCCACTATTGAGAAGACCATCTTCAAGACTAGACGATGAATTGGCTGGTAATGAACCTCGGTAAGGTTGAAAACCGGAATCATTATGATTACCGATAGAATTGATTGGATTAGCAGCCGATGGATGAATCAATTGATTTGAATTAACTCCTAATGGGAAACAAGAATAAGGAGAGAAGAACAAAAGATTTCGATTAATCATTTCTATTCGATGAAAACAATAAAAGATGCGAAATATTCCAAATAAGAAAACGGAGAAGTAGAAACACTAAAATCAATTGTTATATTGCTTTTTCTACCAAAACAAAGAGAAAAAAGATAATTGAATCAAAATTGCCGATAATTGGGAGATTTGATTAATTGTTTTCAAGTTGAAACAAACAATCTAAAAGTAAATATCAGGTAGAGAGTAACAATTGAAAGTTGAAAAATCGCAAATGATCATAAACATGGAAGATTAAAAAAGGATGAAGATGATAAAAAGAAGGTATTGGAATCGGATGAGTCGCATTGAGAAGGCAGAAGCTAAATTGAATTATGATAGAAGATCGATACTTGAGCAACAAATTTCGTGTCTTCGAAATTGAACCGAGTCGAATCAACATTAACTCAGTTTGGGTTCAATTATGTTTTTCTTTGGTTTTTCCTATGTGAGGATATTCAGAGATAAATACAGAGGATGAGAGAGAGAGGGAGGGAGGGAGAAGTTTGTTGTTATTACTTCGCTTTAATTTTCTCTCTCTTTCGATCTTCACCAAATAGCTTGTGTCAAAAGTCTCTTCGTCTAGTTACTTCTTCCTCTATGACTCTCTCTCTCTCTCTCTCTCTCTCTCTCTCATTCACATAACTCAGCTGACGCTTTAAAGGTCCATAGTTATCTTTCTCCTTTCCTCATCATCATCTTCATCTCTCTCTCTCTTTCTCTTCCGTTCTATGTTTTTTGCTTTGCCCTTTTCCCTCTTCCTATTTAACCAGACATTTCCCAGGATTATTTCTCTATTAGTTGTTCTTCTCCATCTCCAATAGAATGTCTTATCTTTCTTTTCTTCACTAACATCATCATCTTACTCTCCGGTCTTAACCTTCCTCCCTCTTTCTCTCTTCCTCTGTCTGTTTGTCTCAATTTCTTCTCTTGACTTCTTTCTTCAGGTGAGAACGGGACGAGGTAGAGCGAGAGAGAAGAAGACGAAAGAGAAAAACAGAGAAGGAGAAGGAGAAAAAGAAAGAGGGTGAGAAGGGGACTAAGAGGGGATAGTATTTAACAGTCAATGTAAAAATTTTTCCGGTTAAGCCAACAACAGATTTAAACATCCATTTTATATTAGCTCTCTCAAAACTTCTCGAGTCTCTTTCTATTTATCTTCTCTTTTTCAATGTCTCTCTCTCTCTCTTTCTAATGCTCACTTGATATCTGGTCTCCATCATAAACAAAATTACATATAAACATATTACGGTGTAACTTGCATAGTCAAGACTTCAAGGACAAAATAAAAACAATTGAGACTCACAGCTCACTGACGACCTCCAAACGGATAAAAAAAGCTAATATTTTAGGTACATGAATTTAATCTGGTTGGATACATGATAATGTTTTGTATTATTGTGTAGCAATAATTGACGGAATCACTTTCTTGATTCTTGAGCAACAACTGAACAAAGAAATTAGGAAAAGCGAGAGAGAGAAAGAGAAAAGAAAAGAAACTCAAATTAAATTTGATAAACATAAAAGCAAAGTTATCAATTGTTAAGGTAGATAGACACACACACACACACATACAGGATGATGAGAAAAAAAAGAGAAATTAACAAGCAATAATCCATATAGAAATTAAATCAACTTGGCGCGATTAAATTGTAGTAAAAAAAAAATCATCTAGAGAAATATAATTAGCAAGCAAGTTTAATCAATCCGGTTCGAAACTTGAATCGGCCTAAATACTATATACAACTTAAACTCTCCACTATTCAGCTACTAGAAAGAGAAAGAAGAGAGCGAGAGAGAGAGAGAGAGATATTCTTACAAAAAAATGACCTTGACTCTAAATTAATGTACGAGAAATGTGAAGGAGAGAGAGTAAAATAAAAGAGAAGGGAAAGAGAACATCGGTGAGAAGAAATAAGAAGAACAGAAGAAGTAAAGTCAAAATCAAAGAAGGAAAAATAAGAAAATATAAGAAAAAACTTTCATCCATTTTAAATATAAGACAGAGAGAGAAGAGAAAAAGGCGAAGGCAGCTGAGAAGCGGGTTAACACATTGGTAGAGCCGAAAGTGTTCAAACTAAACTAACTAAACCTTTTTATCCACTAACATAATGAGAGGGATTAATTTTGAGATTAGAATTGAATCAACATGAATTAGTGGGCTAATGTTAGGGATAGAAAATTGTTTTAATGATATGTAATGACGATGACAATTCCTACCCCGATGAGATTTGTTGTAAGTTGTTGAACTATTGGAGGAGTTGTTGTTGTTATATCCATTTGTTGATTGAGAAGTAAAAATATTTGGTGACAAAGAAGAGGATGAAGATGATGTTGATGTTGTGGTTGTTGTTGATGGTGATGATTGTAGAAGTGGTGAATTCGTTGGCGGTGGTACTTGTGAAGAAAGTGGATGAACAGTCATTCCAGTGGAGAAATTTTTCTCTAAGATAAACTTTTTCATTGAATAAAATGGAGTAAACTTTGTAGATAGAATTCACAATAGAACAAAAAATTCATTAAAAGTGAGAAGAAATTAGAAAAGAACAAAAAAAATGTCAATCCAAACAAGAAAAACACTCACACATACAGACACAAAAACACCAATAAACTAAATGAACCACAAGAAGAAAATCTATAGACTTAATTAGAAAGACACATTAATCACAACAAGAACTAAATTAATTAAAATTTATTCTTTTCGTATAAATGTTGACATGTGATGGTCAACAATTAAGAATATTAACTAATTAAGGCACAAGAAGAAATTAAAGAAAAAAAGAAAAAACTAAAACGAGAAAAAAGAAACACAAACTGAATGAGAATAGAAAATAAGTGAGAATATAAAAAGAGAGAAGAACAAGAATGAAAAGAGTAAGAGAGAAAAGAAGAAAATAGTGAGTCTTTCTTTTCTCTTTCTCTTTAATCTGGTTACGTTAATCTCTTCTCTCTCTCTCTTTGTTACCTTTCTGGTTTCTTTTTTTGGTTTAAACATTTAACTTTAACTAGTTAATCTTTTTAATCACCATTGACTTAATGATGGTCAGTTGATTGGATGACCAATAATCATTTCAAACGATTTACCTTCTAAATCATCTTGGAGTTTCAACTTTACTCTATTAAATTGTTTGACGATCAATCAGATAATCTGGTTAATTTGGTTAATGTTAAATCGTTTTCATTGAGGTTATTTGATTGTTTGCAGGGAGAATATCGAGATAAAGATTAATTGGTTGGCAAATTCGGATTACAAGATTGAAGATTTTCGTTGATTCACTTTGAGTAATTACCCGAAAATTGATTAACTATTTAGAATTTACAATTTTTTTTCCACTCAATTGATGATGATGATGATGATGGTTGATTCCGAATATGATTCTATCCCGAGGAAAAGGATAAAATTAATCAACAGCGGAACCAGATTAACGATAATAATTTTTATTTACGAAGCTCTCTATTGACATCCTATTGACATGTGAATGTTGTTACAGTTTAAATAGTAAATTCTGTTTCGAACCATTTGAACATAATTAATAACAGTCAAGGAGCTTTTCTTTTTTCTTTTAACAAGGAGAAAAGAAAAAGAACAAAACAAACATGAGAAACATGAGCTACCTAAAAAGATAAAGATAAAGAAGAAAAAAGAAATTAAATTTCCATAATTGTAACTGGAGGAATCATTTACTTCTTGGGCTCCTCTTTTCCTGATTTTCTAAATTTAGTGAAATAAAGAATGAGAGCACCGGTTACACTAAGGGTGAGAATGGAACAGTTCCGACGCCCAGTGTTGGTGAAAGAATTAAAATATTTGGACATCCCAGTGAATTGGGCTTCATCAACGTGTTCACCATGTCCGGCCATGTTCAATTATCTATAAAATTAGAGAAAAATAATCAAAATGATCAATATAAACAATCAAAATGAGAAAATATCTCAACAAATTACACAAATTACACAAATGAATCAATTATGAATCAATAGATCAAGTATACACATTTTGAATGGATGCAAACAAAGATACTTACTGGTAATTAGCAAATTAGACACAGATGAAAGGTCAATTGATTCAAGTAAATTACACAATTAAGAGCAAATTTAATCACAATTAGACTTGAATGTTTGTCCTTTTCAAGATTTTTTTTCTTGTTTTCCAAAGTCAGGGAACGTTAACTAATAACGTCTAGTAAATTCTTCGTAATTTGGAGTCGAAACAAAGATAATTAACTTATAAAAAAATTACAATTAAATGGAAATTGAGTATTTTTCGAAAAAAAATGTCTGAATTACAACTAAAATCAAATTCTATGTTAAATTACTCGAAGAGATTTCATTTAATGAGTTTGTTTGACTTTGATTTTTACAATTGTTACAAGAAGATGAAAGTTTTTTTTTACAAATTGTTAAGATTAATTGTCTTGACTGATTACCAATTAAAACCCTCTTCATCTGTTTCAGGCTTATTGTATAAATCATATAAGGCTCGTAAATGTCTAAGAAATTCCGTTAAATTGTAACCATATTTTCCCGATAACGGAATCACTGGTAATGGTAATTCACCTTGTTTAGTTTCCTTTGAGATATAATTTCTTAATGAATTTAGATTTTCTTGCCATTCATCTGAATCGTATTTAGATGCAATTATACAATTGGGTCTTTTAGATAATCCAGGTCTAAATTGTTCTAATTCATATCTTAAAGCTTCTAATTGTTTCCATGGTTCGGATAAACTAACATCGATTACGTAAAATAAGCAGACACATTTTTCAACATGTTTAAGGAAATCAAGACCAAGACCTTTATCTTGATGAGCCCCTTCAACTAATCCAGGTAAATCAGCGACTGCAATTTGCTCATAATCCGAATAATCAATAACACCAATGTGAGGGACTAAAGTTGTAAACGGATAATCAGCAACCTTTGGTGTGGCTCTTGAAATTGCCCGAAGTAAAGTTGATTTACCAACATTTGGAAATCCAATTAAACCTGCATGGGCAAAACACCTCATCTCAAGAATTAATTGTCGCGTCTCTCCTTTACCACCATATTCAGCTACCCTGGGATGACGATTTTCATTTGTTAGATAGAAATGATTCCCTTTTCCACCGGCACCTCCACGAGCAGCGATAAACATTTCACCATCTTTAATCAATTCGATTAACATTTTCCCACTTTGCTCTTTAACCTGTGTATTGATAGGAACCTCAACGAGAACATGTTTTCCACAGGCTCCTGTCATATCTTTATTCATTCCTCTTTCCCCATGATTTCCTCGATAAACTGAAATTAAATGTGATAAAGATTTGATTCTTCTATCAGCTCTTAATATAACATGGCCGCCATTTCCTCCATCTCCACCATCGGGTCCTGCCATGTCGTTACACCAAAGATGTAGAAATGATATCTCACCATCTCCGCCATTACCACCAACAAAATTGACACTTTTAATATCAAGAAAGGTATGACTCTGAAAAGAAAAAGTTGTTAATCAAATGAAATATTTACTATAAGAAACAATTTGTTGATATAAATTAATAAATGATTTTGATTACCTTTAAATGATATGATCGATTCTTATGAGGTTTTAATGCTTTTGCATATGATAAGGATCCAGTTGGATAGACAGGGTTACCTTCATCATCTTCAAAGGTAGATAATCGTCCACTTTCATAACCTTTAATTGAATCAGAATCAGAATGACAATTTAATTTATCTTCTTTATCACGATAAAAAGCAGCCAAACGAATCCATTTTTCCGAATCACTGGCAACTCTTTTCTTACAAAATCTTAACGATTGTAACAAAATTCTAGACACTTTTGGATAGAAATTACTACTAATTAATGGAGAAATCATTTCCTCATTGATGAATAAATGAATTAAATTGCCAGTTGAGAGAAAAACAAAATCAAACAAAGACAATTAAGTTAATCAACCAAAGTAACAAAATCAAAACAGTCCAAACATATGAGTAAAAATGTTGATCAAGAAAAAGAAACAAAAAAAAGGCGGTTAATTCAAATCGCGAAAAGAAAATTGAATTAATCAAATTGTTGATTATGTTGATTCGGAGAAATTGGAAAAGACAATTAAATTAATTAATCACCTAAAGAATAAAGTGAAAACTAATTGTTGTCAAATTTGTTTATCGTTTTTGTTTTTACTTTGATTCAATTGATTTTCAATGAGATTTACAAAGTTTAATTTGTTTTTCTTAATTATTACAATCAAAGACCAATTAATTAAAATTAATTGTAATGATTAATAGGAAAATTGTTTTCTTAGTTTAAAAAATGGCAGAGATTAAGAAATGCTTTGTTGTCTTGAGATTAATCAGATTGTTACAATTTAATGAAAGGTTTTATTTTGAGATCAATCATTTGAAATGATAATTCAAAGTGATTAATGTTAATTGTTTGATTTTAAATTATCAAAATTAAGGTCCCAATATTAAAAGGATATATAAAAAAGTAATTAGATTATAAATAAATCTAAATCGTGAGAGGGAAATGATCAAGATGAATTATTAGTTAATTTCTTGAGATGAGAAAAGTAATTCAAATTAAACATTTGAGTACATTTACTAATCTCAAAATGATTAAGAATTAAAGAGAGAGAGACTTTAATTAATTGTTTACCCAAGAGAAAATGATTATAAGGATTGACGAAAAGATAGAAATCATCAGTCGACAATTAAGGAGAAATCAATTTGATTTCGATTAATGAACTAATCGATCTATGGATCAAATTGTTACAATTAGTGGCGAAACTATCAATATACAAGAAACTTTGAGGTAATTGAATTGATTGTATTAATTTGGACAGATGATAATAATAAGTTGAATGAATTATATGAGACGTTGATTAGTTTGAAGAAATTAATTGCTAGAGATTAATATATAATTAGTAAAAAAATTGATGATGAAAGAGAGAGAGAGATGAAAAAATGATTCTCAATAATTAAAGCCAATTGTTGAACGAGAATCATTGAAAGTTAATTGTTATTTAGATTTTTTCTTTCGATTTGAATTTGATTTCTCTTGGACAGCGGCCTCAATGTAACCACATTTAACGAGTAAATCGCGAGCGACATTGTTTATGTGCTTGAATCGATCGGCTCCAAGATTCACTCCGCCGTACCAACGACTTACCACAACGAGGACATTTTTAACATCCAAAATTTGAAGAAGATGAAGTAAACGGGCACCGGCGGCAGTTTCACCGTCATCATCAAAATCCTGAATGAAAGTGTGATGAGATGATCCACCGCCACTGCCACCCCCGCCTCCGGCTATACGATAAGCGACAATATTATGAGTTGCATTGTCTATTTTCTTGTTCGCCTTCAAAGTGACCAAAGCTGATTGAACTTGGACAATACAATCAACCGGACAGATATGAGCTTGGAAAACACTTCGACGATCAACAATTGGCTCTCCATGGACAAATTTAATATCATTAGCGACTCCATTGTGATCTTTATGATGATGATAATGATGATAATCAAACTCCTCGTATTTATATTCAGCATTTTCATCATTTTCATCTCCACCGCCTCCTCCATCACCTCCTTCATCAATATCTTCATTCAGTTTACCTGAGAGAGACAAAAGAAAAGAAAAGAAAATCAAAAACTTTCAATAATCAATTCTAATTCCATCACACAATTAACATTGTTTTCTTATTCTCATCAGTAATTAAATAGTGATTGATTTAATTACTTAGAGAAACTTGATTATGATTGATGGAAATTGTTAGTGTGAAAGGTAAGAAGTTTGTTTCATGGTTAAAATCTTCATCGACATGATTGCTAAGATTCTGGTTCCAGACGATAATTTATCACTGAACCATAGAGAGATGATGATGATGATGATGTTAATGATGATGAAACAAGAAGATGAGAAAGTTAGAGAGAGAGAGAGAGAATTAGATTTCTAACAAATTAACCAAAGACGAAGACAATTTGGTTGGATGAGTTGAGTTACCATAACTTTAGATTGAACCATTTCTAGGTAACTAAAAACAACCAGTAAACAAATAAATTGCTCATCAAATTCAAGGTAAACAATTAGATTTAATCATCATCATCAAATGATTAAAATAGTAAAATCCCTTTGAGCCTTGATTGTAATGTTTTCTCATTCACAGTTAGTTTGTCCCATTTGGATTATGTAAATCAAACTAATCCTATGAGAAAAACAATTGATCATATTGATCATTAAACAAATGATTCTGTGAAAATTTCAAGGTTACAATCAAACAGAAATTATAAAATTAAGTAAACAATTACATCTAAACTGCAATTAAGTAGCAACAATTAAAGCAAAATCCATCAAATTTTGTTGAAATTGTTTCTTAATCAAACAAATAAATTTACTTTTTGTTGGTAATGAAAGACACACAATCAAATTTCAACGAAAATGAAACAATTAAATTTACCTGAACAGTGTTGATATTTATTACCATGTAAAGAAGGTGTTAATTGTTCATCACAATTGTTATCAGGGGTGATTGAATTTCCACCGGTTGTTTCATTAGTTGAACCGTTAATTGAATCAACGTTTTCATCTTTATCAAAATATTCACGAGCTTTTTCAATCCACATATACAATATGGATTCACCTTGATTGTCCAAGTAAATTGTATTTAATTCACCAACTAATCTACTTTTGAGATTACGTGACATCCATGGAGCACTTAGAGTATAATAAGGTGGACCATTAAGAGGATAATCAAGAGAAAATCTAATATCAAGTTTAATTGTTTTCTCATTTTCCTCGGGATGAGTTAGAGTAACGGAGAAACCATGACTTTCCTCCTCTTCCAGCATCAGATCATCTCCATAAATGGCTGAAAGAGCTTCAATCTCATATTTACGAAGTGTTTCATTATCCATGATTAACTAATTAGATTGAAGAAATTAAATACACGAACAAACAATTAACACAGTGATTACCTGGGATTAGATTAAAAGTTGAACACAAAGATGAAGTGAAAACAAAAACAAAAGCAACACGTGAATGAAGGGGTTGATATGAAAAAAGAAAAGAGAAAATTTTCAATTTCTTTTGTTTTTCTTTTTTTTTGATGGCGAGTAAGTCAGAGGTTGAGAAAACAATCAAATTAAGCAAACAATCAACAAATCTAATGATCTTAATGATGTTGATGAGTCAGGCGAGAAGAGAGAGAAAATCAAATGGGATGATTCAAATGAGAGAGAGTCAAAGGATGTTAACAGAAAATAAGAACACTGGAAATATTATAAGATGAAAAGAGTTGGAGGAAAAATGGAGAAAAAAAAAGTCAAAGAAATGATGAAATATTGAGAAGAACGGATGAGAATATGATGACCGAAAGATGACCAATTGTTGGGAAAGAAAAAGAAACAAATATAACCAAAGGCCTGAGATGTTTCTAGTTGAACACTTGAGATGCAATTGAAGATGAAACGATGTAAACATAGAGAATTGAGTCTGTGTGTGAGGGAGAAGAGAGAGAGAGAAGATAATTCTACCTGAAAAAGAAGATGAAGATCATGTTCATTTTGTGAACTTTGTCTTTCTTTCTGGGAGAGAGAAGAAAAAAAAAGGATTCTCTTTGTAGAACAAGAGAAAAAAAGATCAACACTCAACAAGATTGAATTGAATTTCCAAGAATTGGGATTCCCCAAATTGCCCCTTTTTCTCTTCATCACCTCTACCCTTTATCTTCCTTTCTACTCCCTCTCTTGTTAGTTCCATCTTCTTTCCTCTGTCATCTTCATCTTCTCATCTTCTCATCCTCTTTCTTTTCTTTCTTTTTCGCTTCTTCCCTGAAAATCGCTCCATCAACCAGCCCTCGGTTCATCTTAATGGCCCAAAGAGAAAAAATCATTTTCGTCTTCATCTCTCTCTCTCTCTCTCTCTCTCTCTTGTTGTTGTTGTTCAATCGATTATGTATTAAATCATGAGGAGAAAAAGTTCTTGTGATCTTTAGCCTGAAAAAATGTTCCTTTTTCCTGGAATCGTAATCATAAAACTCCATCACCATAATCATCTTCATCTTCTCATAACCTTATTCTCAGTTATAATCCCATGGAAATTGAATTAACTCTCCCTCTTTTCATCTTAATTGTAACCCAATCATTCAAATTGTTTCTGCAATCGTAGGACAATTAACTTATTAACAATCATAAATCTCTTCGAGTAAAATGCTTCTTTTCTCACTCTATCTCAAATTGGAATGAAAATTTTTCAGATAATTGCAACTAAATCAATTCTCTAGACTAATTAATGATTAGTTATCTCTAATTGTTTGAAATTTTTGATGGAAATTAAAATTTGATAAGAAAAGAAATTACTTCGTTAAGAGCAATCGCACAGAGATGAAGATATAAAAATCGATATTTTTGTTTGTTGCTTTTCCAATGTAATCATTGATTGAGAATCAATTGTTATCTTGTTACAATTATTCCTGATTGTTGTTGTTTTCTTAATCTTCTCAATCAATTTTAATCCAATTGTAATTCTAACGATGACTCAATCACTTTGGTGGAGTAAATCAAATCCATTGAAAGGTAAACCAGTCAAATCTTCACGCTACCAACTAAGTACAGGTAAAAGTGTCCTGATTTTAGGCGTGATTGTCGCTTGTTTCGCGATTTTATGGCCTAAGATATTTTACCCGATGATCGAAGTGGCCCTTCGTTCACCAAAACCTCGATTCAATGACAATATCGGTGAGTAATTAATCGCTAATCAACTAATTTCTTCCAATATTTACATTTACTTTCCCTCTTTTTTTATCCACAATCTGTAGCTATGGTTCATCCTCGAGTTCGTCAACATATACTCAAAGATATTCGTTACTCTAAGTCAACTAATCAGGTAATTTAATTGTAATTAAATTGAATCTTCATTTTCATTGTTGACAGAAGGCTAATTAGTTTTACTCAACTAAATTAATTTTCTCTCATTCGTTAGGAGCCAAAAAAATGCTCCACAATCATTACCATGTTTACATTACTATTTTTAATTGTTTTTCGTGCTTTTGTTTAATTGATTGTGTTGTTTTCTCTCTCACTTAATTATAGCCCTTTATTGGACTGCCGACGAGATCGACATTAGGCCATATGAAGGCCAAAGAGTCTGGTGGATTATTTAATCTCTTGATGCCTTTTTACACCATTGGATTATTCGTTGTCTTCCTTTATACAATTCTTAAGGTAATCAATATTATCAAATCATTTAAATTCAATCACTTTAATTTGATTTGATTCTAATACGATTTCCTGAAGATTCACATCAACTGATTGTCAAGATTTTCACAGTTTTCGAAATCTTCTAAGATCATTTCATCACGATCGGTGAATGAATCTTGAACTTACAAGAAATTCAAATGAACTACAATTAGAAATGAAATCGATCTCTAATTGTTGATCAACATCTAATCCCGAAGATGTTAATTGTTAATTGTCTTCCAAGTTGAAACGGTTAATTCGACGAAGACCAAACTGCATTTGAGCATTTTAAGCTTCTAATTGTCACGAACTATCATTCGATAGATTTGTTGATTATCCATCGACTTATAGAATACTAACTTTAGAATTCGTGTTCTTTTGATTTAGTTTATGTCCAAAGACGATGATGAGAATGTCGATGATGATCGAGTTGAGATGGACATCGAAGATTCTTGTCAAATGATCAACCGTTAATCAAAGATTTCCAAATGGATCCTGAATACAGGAAGTTCGTTTTCAGTGAAGAGTATGATGAAAATGGAGAAAATATAAAACGAGCAAAATCAGTTAATCTAAGATTAAAACGACGATTTAGAAATGAGAAGAAATCAAATTCTAAATGTTCAACAACATCGATCAATCAAGGTAAATGGTTACATTTAATTGTTTACAAAAGTTTTTTTCATCTCCATTAATCTCCAGGACATTAGAATCACTAATTAATTTTGTTTTTCATCATTTTGTTTGTTTACATATCAAGAAGACAAAGAAAACGATATGAAAAGTAAGTGTTTAGATACATTGTTTTTGTTTTGATTATGAAAAATTGAAATCGTAACCATTTGATGTTGACTTTTGGTATTTTGTTTCTACTATGATTCCAAGAAGATGAACAAATTTGTCAGCTTAAAAAACGTTTACAAGTAACAGAAAATGCAATGGAAAATATTCTGAAACAAATTGGTTCGCTAAATCAAGTGCTCGAGGCTAAAGGACTTTTACTGGACGAGGTAAAAAAATATCTCTTTTCCATGTCACCACCATCACCATTTCCAACCTTAATTTTCCTCTTTTTCGTTTCGTCTCGTTCGAGTGATCCAATCAATAAACACTAAATCATTTGTTTTCCCTCCACAGGTTGAAAGTATCAACACCGAGAACATGGAACCAGATGAAATCTATCGCAGTGATGAGGAGATTATCAAACGAAAATTTGACAAAATTGTAAGTAAAAAGAAGGTTGAATTTGTTTAAGGCACGTAAAGTTATTGATAAATTTGTCATTGTTTTGCAGGGTGATGAGGAACATGGAACCTCTGATGATTCAGTTTACAGCAGTGAGAATCAGGATAGATCAACTTCAGAATATGATTCGGATTCATCGTTGGCCACAACTTCATCAAAATGTGAATTGGAAGAGTAATTGAAAGACAATTGTTAATTTTTTAAATTAATTGTCTGATTTAAGTTTTTTCCGATAAGTTTTGTGCAACTGAGCTCAGGAATATTTTTCTTTTGATATTACTGGTGGTAGGTAATATAAAAGAACGAATCTGATAAAAAAAATCTTTTCGTGAATGTAAATGTTAATCATGTAATCCATTGGTTTTTTGTTGACGACTGTTTCTCTTTTTGTAATAATTAGTGAAGAAAAGTAATAACGTTGATTAAACACTATGTATAAGCTCATTCCAATATCTCATGTATCCAGGGGCTCTTCTTTGATCTTATGTATCTTTTCAGTTTCAGGAGTTTTCATACGTTTAATCTCAACACGACATTCAGTGATTTCGAACTCTTCTTTAATTCTACTCTCATATAATGCTTTTCGTATCCTCTTGCAACTTTTCAAAGAGTTGAGAGCGAGCTCAGGTAGTGGTTCATGATAGAAAGGAGTAAAATCTGTAATGGAATTGGAAATGTAAGGAAGAGAGAAAAAAAGAAATTAATCAACAGAAAGAAACCAATCAGTGGGAAGAAAATTTTCCAATTTACCTTTGATATCGGAAGTAGGACCATCTAGATCTTCGGGATGATTTAAATCAAGATGGGCACGTTTCCTTGTTCGTGGGACTAGAGCACCGCATTTACGACATTTAATGAATGAAGCATTGGCGTGTTTCCAGAAATGGATTTTGAATGATTTCCATTTGGTGAAATGAAAATTTGTATCACCAGTTATTTTATTGGCACTTTCACAAATCGGGCAAATGATTCTAGCGTATCGAGCAGCTTGATCAGGGGACATTTGATCACCTTTACGACGACGGATGAATTGCTCATTGAGAAATTCAATTATATAATTAATATGAGTATTATTTGCACTTGCATTGGGAAGAGGAATATGTTCATTTGGGTGAACGTTTTCATGGTGTTCCTTCAACTCTTGGATATTTTCACATTGAAATATTGAACATTTTGAACAGGTAAATATGTTCAGTTCAAGGTGACATTTTATATGAGCTTGAGCTTCAGAAAAATCTTTCGTTGATAACGAAGGACAGAAAAGACAGAAGAAATATTCAGATTCACGTTCACGAGATGATTTAAGTTCTAAAAGTTCTTCGATTGAAACGGGTGCACTTGGTTCGTCTTCCAATTCACTGGCCTTTCTCTTCTTTAGCCGAATAATCCTATCAGATCGCTCGGTTCGATCTTGACTCTCACTTGACCCTTGATTAACAACACTCTCAATAGTATCATCTATTTCCATCTCTTCACGTTCACTATCGTCAGCGTCTTCACCGGCGTTTTCTTTTCGCAATTGCCTTTGCTTGTCTCTCCAACTCTTGGGGCCAATGAAAACAGATCTTTTAATCTTGCTTGACAAATTTTTAGGATCCTTTTCTAGATTCTTTCTTCTAATCCTTTCCATAGGTGTTAAATCACCCGATCTAACAGGTTGACCCAACATTGGTTGACTGGCTTCTTCCGTTTCATCCATGGCAACGATGAATTTGATATATCTAACTGATGAATCACTAAAACTGTGAATTGATTTGAAATGGATGATTATTTCTTTAACCGAACCAACAAATTTACACTCAGAACACTTTAACGAGCTGTCTGTGTTATGTTTAAGCATTAGATGGGAGCCAATTCCAACACGACTAATTTGAGCACCATCAGCACATATTAAACATTTAAACATATTTCGAGCGACAAAACTTTTAGCTGTCACTTGACTTCCGGCAAGAGCCACAGGTTTAAATAAAGCAGCACTTTGTTCAGGTCTGTATCCTCTCATGATTCTTTGGCGAGCAGTTAGATGTTCCTCTTCGTCTTCTTCTTCTCTATCAAATTCTGGTTCAGGCTCAACGATTTGTTTTCCTGTAGACTTTCGTGCTTTACCTGGTTTATCATCGGGTTGTTTTTTGGCAATTCGAACACCTTTCAAGGCAAATAGTCGCTCTCGCGTGGAAATAGAAGCATTTGGCTGATTTTTGGTGACAGTTTCATCATCTCCGGAAAATTCTTCAGGAGGAGCATCATCAACAGGAGTCATATCTTCGTCATCATCTTTGGTACCGATTGAATGGAGATCATGGACAATAGCATCTAATTCAGCATCCTCATCATCTACGACTGAATTTAGTAAACAGGATGAAAGCAAATGATTTAAATTAGTTTATAAGATACAAGAAAAACGAGTAAAATAGTAGTTGATTAGTTGTAAATACGAACCTTCATCAACCTTTTCTTCAGCTTCTTTAATCTCTGGTAATTGATCAACATATTTATCGTATAAAGTTAAACTATAATCAGGGTGAACTTTGCAAATATGAAAGAAAACAACATGAGGAATGAAAGAAACAAATTCACAATAAAGGCATTGATATTTTGGCGATTCTTTGGGAGGATCGACTTTTCGTTCAACTCGACAATTAGACCAATAAACAGTTTCACTGGGTAATGGACCTGAAACGATTTGCTTACAGACTAGAACTTTACAAATGCCTACAGACCCATCACCAGATAAGGTGGTTTGATAATTGTTACCATGAATATTTGCTTGATGAAGAAGAACATGAGGTATACTTGAACCTCGATAAACACATAAATTACATTGGAAATTTCTGAGGCCATGATTAGTAATGATATGATCAATAAGACGATCAGCTTTTTTGTAAGGTTCCGTTTCACCAGATTGATAATAACAGTAAATACAAGAGACATCTTTATTCCCATGACAAGTGTCCAAATGATTTAAAAAGCAAACAGCATCATCGGTGGTAAAAAAACAGCGATCTCGATAGAAGCAACATTTAAACAATTTGGTGAGTTTTCGTTCAATGTTACTCATATAAGTAATGGAATTAATAACCGGTACACTGGGTCGATTTATCTTTACCGGTTTGTCACAAATTTCATCGTTATCAGAAGCTGTCATGGTTAATTGATCAGTCTCAGATTGGAAAAAAGATTCTTAATAAACAGCAATAATATTCACAAATAGCCGAAAGCTTAAAGGCTTAAATGTAGAAAATTAAAGGAAAAGGAGAACAAGGTACAAAAGGATATAAACAAGAAGCCTGATTAAGCTTAAATCTTAAAAGATGTTTACAATAACAGGGTAGACGGTAGAAGATTCATCAAGAATAATAAGTAATTGTAAAGGTGAACAATTAAAAGAAATTAGATGAAACAAAATGAAAACAGAACTAAATTAATCTCCAAATTAAACATGATGAAACAATAATTGACGATGAGGATAAGACAATGATGATGAATTGGGTGAACATAAGTAAACAAATATCTGTAAAGGTAACATGTTTCCTCCAACAAATAGAGAACCAAATGATGAGAAAGTGACAGGATGAACAGTTAATTTAATTAAGAAAAACGAAAAGATTTACTAATAACGTTGATTAGATAATTAAGATAAAATTTTGGAAGAAAATTTTTCATGTCAACAATTCAAACAGAAAAAATACGAGCGCCAGGGGTCGTATTCTCATTACATTCGGTAAATTCTATTCTTTTTTCAGAACGAGATAAATAAGAATTTTTTCCTTCTTGTTATTCAATTACAATTAGAATTTGTATTCACATTTTAATCATGACATTTGGAATTTTTAAACAATCAAATGAAAGGAATTCGAAATTTTGATTTTGATTCGGTTGTTGTTTCTTCTTCTTCTTCTTCTTCTCTGTGTTGGTGATGTTTCATTACAAATGAATTGTGATTAATTGGATGGTGATGATGGTTTTGTTTGGTGAATTTGATTAACCAGAAAATGAGGTTAAGTAAATTTTTTATCTTCTAATTTTTCCTTCTCCAATAACTTTTTGTGCCAATCGTAAACACCTTTTAAATTAACAAAAGGAACAAAAGGAGATAAATTAGATACAATTAATTTCAACTAATCCACCAAGTCAATGTACTGTTGACCTGATGGTTGTTTTCTTGTTTATGGTCAAGGTAAGAGAGAGTCAATTTCTCATTATTGTCAATTATCATCTAATTATTGACGTAAATTGTTAATTAGTCGAGTTAATCTAATAACCATTATCATCTATATTCATGTATTTAACAGAAAAAAAGTCAATTACCAATCAAATAATTGGTTATTGACGTAATAAATTGGTTAACCATTGATCAATTTTTCTTTTCTTTTATCTTTTCATTTTCTATACTAATGAATATTAATTTTTGTTTTTTCTTCTTCTTCTAGATTCACTTACCATCTTCCGTGAAGGTGCGAGCGAATAAATCGGAGAAAAGCTTTTTAAGATAACCGTAATCTGGATCCTCTGCGAAATCAAGTCGTCTCACATATCTTAAGTAAGTGGCAAATTCTTCTGGAAAACCTTCACAAAGAACCTCAATTGGAACTAATTTTTTAATCTCACCAATTTTACGATATCTTTCTCGTACATCTTCAGCATTTAATCCTTGCCAGGGGAGTCGAGATTTAAGAAAAAGAATGAAAATGTAACCTAGTGCCTCTAAATCATCTCGGCGACTTTGCTCTTTTCCCTGATGTGTATTAATCGACATGTAACGTGCTGTTCCAGTTAATGATTTATTCGTTCTAAAAGGAATATGTTTACCAGTTTCTTGATCAATATATTCTTTACTTAAACCAAAATCAACTAAATGAATTACATCTGCTTTAGATGATTTTGGTCTACCAAGGAGAAAATTTTCCGGCTTAATATCTCGATAGATTAATTTACGAGAATGAACATGTTCTAATCGAGTGATCATTTGAAGGGCACATTGGGTGGTTGTTTTAACAGTTAATTTTCTCTCACACAAATTAAACATCTCCTCCAAATTAGGTCCAAGTAAATCCATCACCAGAGCAATATAATGACCGCAAGGACCAAAATAATGGATTCTTGGTATTCCTTCAGTATTTCCGAGCATCCGGTAGAAACGATATTCCAATGGTAATGTTGGCACTTTACATCTTTTCAATTCCAATTTAATTGCTACTGGATCACCGGTCATTAGATTTTTACCGACACGTAATTCACCAAAATTACCTGCTCCTAATTTCTTACCAACCTTTTTGGTTTTCAAACAGAAAAGAAAATTAATTAATCGCTTAATTGTTTGATTCTTTTTCTCACCTTATAATTGGTTCCAACCATAAGAACTTCTGAATCAGCCTCTTCAATCTCGGATTCCCTGCGAGCCATTTGAAAATTGATTGGGAACAATTAATTTGGTTTAGAGAAAAAAAAAGAAGATGATTATTAGAATAATTAATCTGTTTCCATTTGGTTTTACTTTTGTTAACAATTTGTTTTTTTATCATATTTTTAATTATCCCATTCATTAATTGTTGTAATTTGTTTTTACTTTAATATGGAAACTATTTAATTGATTGGCGATGATTTACATTAAATTGTCAGTTAATTGTAACTTTTTTCTTTTTGGGTTTTAAAGGTTCTATTCATACCCTGTGAATGGGAATTTGTACAAAATTTTAAACGGTGATTATTATTTAGTTTTACAATTTGATTTTTTTTCTCTGAAAAAAACATAAAAAATTGACATTTTTTTGAGCAATTATGATCTTTCTAATTAATGTTAGAAAAATGATGATTAAATTGATAATTGAAGTAAATTTACCTCTAATAAATAATTGATTGCAAATTAATTGCAAGTGTTGATAATCAAATCTATTTGATTGAAGATGATCATTTTTCATTTGATTGAAATAATTGATTAGGCGTCTTTAGAATCAGTGATTCCTCCTTCCGTTATGGCAAATGTGGCCTCACTTTCTGGCATATCGGGACTATCATAGATTTTAGCGATTCGGTTTTCAGCTCTACCTTTTCTTAGAGCGATTCGAGTTGTTGAGGCATGAGCTAAGATGTGACCTCCGATGGGCTTCTTGGGATCAGCTTGAAACGACATAGCAGCGCCTTGAAGAGTGAAAAAATAAACGTAACACGAAAAGGATTTTAAAACGGAATCAAGAGGAAGTTTGAGAGCATATTTTGGCGGAATTTCTTTATCTTTAACGTACCTGGATCAGCGGTCATTTGATTTGTTATAAAAACTGCTAAATTGTATTCTTCGCTTAATTTTTGTAAGCGAGTTAAAAATTGGGCTAATTTTTGTTGGCGATCAGCCAATTCACCACGACCACTGAAATCCACACGGAATAAAGCCATCACAGAATCAACCACAATTAATTTGATAGAATTTTTAGATTCAAATAAAAGTTCTGTTGTATGTTCCAATATCTCATATTGATGTTCAGATGTATATGCTCGCATATAAAGCACATTATCAAGTGCTGACTTCTCATCCAATTCAAATCTCTCAGCAATTTGTTTTAGACGCTCTGGTCTGAAAGTATTTTCAGTGTCAATAAAAATCGCTTTACCACCAGCAGATCCTTCACTAGCTAATTGACAGGTGACACAAAGTGTATGGGAAAGTTGAGTTTTACCACATCTAAACTCCCCGAAAGCTTCAGTTATGGACATACTTTCAATTCCTCCTCCTAATAGACGGTCCAAATCTGACGAACCAGTAGAAACCTTAAAAACACTTGCACGACGTAAGCTCTGCTCGTAAGCAGTTTTAAACTTAAGCGGAACCGCTTTAGCAACAGCTTCTCGAATTTTGTCAATTTTTGCCTCACTTAATCCTTTCAGGGCAATTAGCTTCTTTCTGGTACACATTTGAATACCAGTAATAGTATAAATACCAGCAGCTTTTAATTTCCTTAAATCAGCAACATTAACACCGAAATCAACAAGTGTATCGACATCACCAGCAATTTCCTCAGCAGCTACTACCGATTCAGTATCAGTATCTTCAACAATTTCAACCTGTTGAGATTTTTTAACTCGAGACATAATTAGAAAATGAAGATAATTAACAAACAAACAAGGAAAAAAAAACAAAAAGAGAGCGAAATTAATGAGAGAACGAAAAAGAACAATTGAAAATTCTAAATAGAATTTAAAAAAGTTCTTTTTGAGAGCGACACCTGCCGAGGAAAATACAACCTTTCTAATTTTAGTTCTAAATTCAAATTTTCTTCCACATAAATGGATTCACTTTACTTCTTGTTGACTAATTGATTCGCTGAGAATTTGATTTGTTTTTGTTTTCCAATTGAATTGAGTTAATTGTTGATTGATTTTTTTTTACTTCTCTTAGATTGTTACATTATGTTTATGATCAGAATTGAGATCATTAGGGAAAAAGTAAACGAATGGTAAAAGAGAAAAAGGTAAGAAAATCAAGAGAAAAAGGTAAACAAACAACTTGGATTAAGTGAAGAATAGAGATTGAGATTTGTGATGAGAAAATGAAAATGATCAATGTAACAATAGTTCACCTTTTGTTGTATCATTATCATCTTATTTTTCTTTCCTTTCACTTAAACCTTTTCATCTTCATCTTCCTCTTTCATCGTCTTCTTTATCTCCATCTAATATCTTTCTCTTTTTCTCTCCTTCAACTATTTTAGATTAACTTTCTTTCAAAGATGATACCTTTACACATACAGCGAAAGAGAGAGAGAGACATGGAAACATTTACACTATTATTACACTAAAGTAATTCTGATGAAAGATAATATCTGAGCAATCGTGGTTTCTAACATGATGGCGAACATGAAACTCATCCTTTTTTATATATAAATATCATGGAAATAATAAGCTCTCCCTAAGGGCATCTTTCCCAATCTAAATCATTGGTAATCATTGGGAGTAAAAGTGATACTTGAGAAGAGAACCAGATATATAAAGGGAGAGAACACGAGAGAGAATGGAAAAAGGAGATGAAGAGGAAAAGATGAAGGAGGAAGGAAAAGCAAAGAGGCAACAAGAAGAAAAAAAAGGAATATCAAGGAAACATCAACAAGGAATAAGAGGAGAAGTGATTTAGAAGGTAAACTTACACCCAATTTCATTCTTCTTCTTGTTCGACTTGATTTGATAGGTTTTAACTCTTATCCATTTCTTATTATTATTTTACCTTTTTCTCTATTTCTCAGATTTTCTTCATCATCTATTGGTGACCTTTTTCTCCATCATCATCATCTCCATTATCGACTTTCTTCTTGTTCACTATCCTCTTCACAGAGGAACTTTTGTCTTCACATTATTATCTTTTACTATTCTTTTTTGTTTCTTCTACTACTCTCTCTCTCTCTCTCTCTCTCTTTTCTGCAATTGAGTTGGATAACAAGAAGAAGAAGAAAGAAACAAGAAGAGAATAACAAATAAAAAGAATAGTAAAAGGATGAATAAGAAATAGAAAAGAGATTGTATATCTATCTCTCTGGATGTGGCAAAAACGTCTCCAGGGAGTTAAGCTAATTAGGAACAAGATTCCTCTGCTCTTTGGAAAAAGCTAAAACTCTCGGATAGGAGTTACACCGAGAACATCATCATAATCATCATGATTATCTTCATCAAAGTTACAGCATCACTTTTTGTTATACTGTTAACTTATCTTCCCTTTCTCAACCATTTTGATCAACTATTTACCATGATTCTTGAATAGCCTTTACCATACCTCGATATCGATCCAAATCTCTCTCTCTCTCTCTCTCTCTCTCTATATTCATTTCTTTCTGTTACTATTTCTCTTCCTCTTTTTCTTCTCCTTCTTTTGGTTCACTTCTCTCTCTCTCACTTTCTTTTCCATCATCATTTTTATAAATTGAATAGTAACCTACGATAAAACCATAGAGGTCACTTGGAAAAGGATATATATTATCACTATTATTGAACCAGATTGAGTTGTTCATGGAAAAACTCAATCGATCTCTCCTATTAATCTTACACTTGAAAGTCTTTCACACACTAACACATTTGATGATAAAAATGATGTAACTGTTGATGATGATGATGATGAGTGAAGCGACTAATCAAAAGTTTACTTCATCCTTTTTCACCTAAATCATTTACTATTTATACATAATTGAGTTATATTTGTATCAGTCTCTCTCTCTCTCCCTTTACCTCTCATTATTTACATTAACGAAACTATTACCTTCCTCTAACCCACACTAATAACATTACAATTACTTTCTCACTTCTTCTGTTTGATGATGATTACGATGATAATGATAATGATGATGTTACTGTTACATTTTAACCATAACATTTTCTCCCACTATCGATGATAAACAACAACATGAAGACAACAATTAGACAATTTAATTCTTAATCCCCTAATTGATTACCAATCAATAGACTGTTATAAATTCATATTGGTCACAATTTCATGGAGACATTGATGATCATCTTAAAAGTTATTGAAAATCTTTCTCGATGATAATAAAACCATATTATCATAATAATAACAATCAGGAAACAACAGTTATCATCATGAAAATCAGTAAATCTTATTCTCTCATGGAAAAAGAAAAGAAATAACCAATAATCAAAAGAGAGAAAACTATTTACTCGAGACAAAATAATTCCATCAATTGTTATCATCATCATCAACTTGATCCTCATCATCAGTCAATTGATCATCCAACCCATTGAACTTTTCCCCATGTAACCATGAACTTACATATTGAACTGAACCTTATCCAAGTGAAAATCTGTAGACTGACTTTAAACATCATCTTTTTTCATAACCATAATATTCATAACATCAGGTTTATTATTTATCATCTTTCACTCATCATCATCATCATCATCAAAATACCTCATCTTTCAATCAATATGATACATGTATCATTATTTAACATCATCATCATTATCCTTGACTCAACTCTATTTTTCCCTCCCTGATGATATTAATAGTTACAATAATAATAAGATTTTCTCTCTCTCTCTCTCTTACAGGGTAATCGTAACAATTTAAAGGCAACAATTGAAACTTAATATTATCCATGGAGAGAGATATTTATATCATCATTTCTTGTATTACTTACAATGAGAATCACTTGTTTTCACACTTTTTGACTTTCATACTAATCATGATAATCAATTTTATTCAACCAGAAAAACAGTCAAATTGAAACATTATCCTTATTGAATCAGTAAACAAGATGATGAAAAAGACAAGATAAATGAGAGAAACAAGTTACTCCTTTTTTCTCCCTCATCTTCCTTCAACCATCATCATCATTACCCTGAAAACCTCATCATCATCATGAGATTTTCTGATTATTTTCTCAAATAATTCTCTATTTATTCAATTCTTTCCCTTTTCTCGCCTAATATAACTTTCTCTGTAGTATTTTTTTCACAGATAAACATATTAACCCTCTCGAAGTATATATCGGGAAAAAGAAGATCAATGGAAATCATAAATCTCTCTCTCAATTCCAATGTGAATGAATTGGATGTTGAATTTAGATCAACATGAAGATAACATTTGATTTAAGAGACTAATCACCCTCAGGGTATTTCCATCATCTTTTACCTATTGTTTATTTCATTTTCTAACCTTGAGTCTATTATTTTTTTTTTCTTGTTTTTCCACAGGTAACTTTACCTTTTCAGATTCATATTGAATTGAAACTCAAAACACTAATGATTATAATACGATAATAAAGTTTTAAATCATGATGACAAGGTTGATATGGTTTAAGGATTTAAATTGGATTAAAAAAGCAAAACTCTAATATTTTACCTGGAAAATGAAACAGAATCAGTTAACTGTTACCTGGAAAATTTATCTTCATGGAAACTCAATGGATCGATTTTCTATTCTCAAGTAAACTATAAATGTAATTTGACAATCGTTTATTTGATTCACTTGCTGGAAGAGAGAGAGAGAGAGATGAAGAAAAAGAATCTATTTTATTTTTTTTTTTTTCTCCTCATGTTGATGATATTTACCATGTTCCAAAAAAGATTGACAATGTTGTAGGTAAATTAGACTATTTGTCTTCACTATCTTTTTCTCATCATTCTTATTCATCTTCCTCATTCCCTTGTTATTACTTGGATTTGATTCCTTCAAATATCAACTGGGATTTGGAGGAAAGTGAGGAGTTCAAAAAACAAAATCGAATAACATTTCCAAGAGAAAATATCAAGCAGAAAATTCAGTAGAATATGAAGATGAACTCAGAGAAAGAAGAAAAAAAAAGAGAAAAGAAAAAATCTCTTCACTGATACAACGTGATTCTTAGATTATTTGTTCTGAACAAATCTGTTCTTACCTTTTTTCTTCATCCTCTTCTTCCTCATCATCTTGTATCTTCTTCCTTTTTTATATCAATTTCTTTTATTTTCTTCTCATTCTTCTTCCTTTTTCCTCTCTCTCTCTCTCATTCTAGATTCAGCATCTTTTTTCATCTTCGCTCATCTTGATCTGCTTTTTTTCTTGCTTCTTCTTGGCTCATGGTCCTTTCTCAATTCCCTAAAGTAACCACGTCAATCGAGATTGAATGAATGAATGATCTTGATGGTATCTCAACTAGAATGAGTTCTGTCTGAAGTAGGTAATATTCTGAGAGAGATATATAATATTATATAAAGAGTATTGAAAGATGATAAAGATAGAGAAATGAAAAGAGAAGAAGAAGAAAAAAATGATGATGATGATGGTTTTCCCTCTGTTCCCATGTTGAATGTTATTTCTCTTTCCTCATGTTTTTCAATTCAGTCACAATCTTTGGTGAAGAGTCTGAATAAGGAAGAGGGAGTTAGTCAGAGAGAAAAGTGAATATTAGGTAAAAGTATATAAGAAAAACACTTAAAAGAATCAGAGAAATAGTAAAAAAAGGAATAACCTGAATAAACAATCGTTATTAATTTCGATTTTTGTTCCTGTTTTATTATATTAACAAGTTTTCATCGAACAAGAAAAATAACAATCGACGAAACTTTTACTCTCTAATTAACTGACTATTCACTAATTATTCTTAACCTTAATTTATCAATGACTCGTAATTCAATTTACGAGTCAATTTTTTCCTTCCTCCAATCTTAAAGTTACTTTATTCTAATCAATTCCATTAATATTTATAATATTATCTAATTGATTCTCTCTTGGTGATATTTCATATCTTCATGTATTCATCTCCTTAATTGTGATACATTTCATACTTTGTTTAGTGATTTGATTAAGTTATCGTTGAATTAATTGATTTGTTCATTTTTTGTTTCTTACCCTTTGATTTACAGATTGGAGATTGTTATTTGCTGAAAATTGTAACAAATTCAGGATAAAATTACATGTGATATATGAAGAAACTGAGATGTATTTTCACCATGATTTGATTGAATGGATATTCTGGAAAGAGATGAATATGTAAATTAGATGAATAATTTAAAATGGAAAAATGGAAAGAGGAAGAAAAAGATTCCAAATTGTGATGATGAGATTTACCATTTGATTGAGAAGAAGATATTATTTACCATGTTAAAGAAAAAGAAGAAAAAACTTCGAACAAAAAACAATGAAAAATTTTCGAAAAGGTAACGGTAAACATAACGGTCTCTCTCTCTCTCTCTCTCTCTCTCTCTCTATTATTTCAATTGCAATTTACGATTGTGATTGTTAATATTATTATCGAATGATAATAATATTATTATTCAAAGTACATGATGTATTTTATTTTCCATTCATAAATCAATATTTGACATTACAGAATTTATATTCCATGGAATGAGAAAGGAAAAAAGCAAGATGAAAAGTGGAAAAGAAATCAAATCAAAGATGAGAAAATGCTCAATTTTCATGGGATGAATCTTTTAAATTGCAAGTGAAAAACTCATAGGAATCTAAAATTGTGAGATGGAAAATATTGTTAAACAAAGTGATGTTAATGTCTACATCCTTTTATCATATTAAAACTCTAACAGTTACTATTAAGCAGAGGGTATTGTTAGGTGTATGTAGAGTATATGTTATGCTGATGCTGCTTATATTACAATCAAGTGTGATAAGATAAACAGATACACACACTCACTGACTACATAGAAAAGCAATGGAAGGATAATTTAATCATCATCAGTCAAAAAAAGGAGAAATAACATTCAACAGAAGCCACTGAGAATCAAGAGGAAAATATATATGAATATCAGACTAGGAGGAGGAAAGAGGATGAGGATGGAGATGGAGATGGAGATGGAGATGGAGATGGAGATGAGGTGAGAAGAGGGAAAAAGTAATAAATTGAAGAGGAGAAAATTATTATTACAACAAAGAGCCAATGGAGCTGCAAATATGATGTATGCTCACAATTAAAAGTGGATATTCAATATTAGTATTGTACATTTAAAGATTAACCAAATGTTAATCAGAAGGGAAATTATTAATATGATTGAAATGATGATCGTAATTTTTTATTTCTAATTGTTATAAAGTTGGTAAAATAATGGATTTTTATGATTATTTTGGAGGGAAAAAGTTTTGAAAACAGAATGGAAATGAGAATATCTTTTGAAAAACTCTCTCTCATGATGATTTATATATTAGTTTTGTCATATTTTCACTAATAATAAGGTGCAAGAGGTGTAATTGCAATTACTGGGAGGGTAAATTATACTACTTGGAGTAAAAATCTTAACACTCGAAAGGTAAATACATAATAAATGAGACAGAAGAGAGAGAGAGGGAGAGGATAAGAAGATTTTATTAGATATTCTATTCGGAAAATGATGATAAAAGATACATCAATGAAAAGAAAACCGAGAGAGAGAGATGATGATGATGAAAAAGTGATGAAGATGAAGATAATTTTCTACCTTCTCTCTTTCTTTCTCATGTATTATCTTGATTCTTGATGAAAGTTGAATCACTTTACTAATCACGCAACCGTGAACAATAATATTGTGCACAGAAACAGTTCGAACTCGAGAAAGAGAAAAATCGAAAGGACATACTCTTTTTAGATAAACTACTAACATAATCTAACCATTTTCTCTTTCGCAATTCTCTGTCTTTCTCTCTGTAAATACTACACTTATATTATACTATGAGAGAGAGAGAGAGAGAGAGAAAGGGAGTTAAAGTTACAAGTGAGTCGAGGAGTGAAAACGAGTAAAGTTTAATGTTGATATTGAGCATAGTGAGATGTCAAATATATTTATATATATAGAAATCTCTGTTCTAGTTGTTTGAAAGAATGTTACTTCTCATCTCATCTTCTTCATCCTTATCATCTTTCTCCTCCTTCTTCTCCATCTCATCTTCTTCTTCCCTTTAACACTCACTTTGTCTCTTTTTCTCTGCTTGTTCGAAAAAGAAGGAGAGTGGGAGAAAGAGAGAGAGAGAGAAAAAACTACCCAAAGAACAATTCGAACATTGAAAAAAAAAGTTTCTATTCTCTTTGAAACTCTTCTATTCTATTCTATTATTATTATTATTTGTTATAACCTTTTTTAAACATGATCAATTGAAGACAAACCGAAGAAGAGGGAGAAAAATGTTGAGTTTCTTTTTTTTTCTTCTCTCATCTTCTTTTCCTCATGGTGATGGTGAAAAGAGATGAACATTGAGAGAGAGAAAGAGAGAAAGATAGAGATATAAAGAATCAGAGTAATATAAAGGTAGAAAGAGAGGAAAGTGATTATTATATGAAGAGAAAAATCAGTTCGAAGAAGAGGAAAAGAGATAATATATAAATATATCAATCCTTTTCTCTTTCTTTTTTTATCACTTTCTTATATTTCTCTCTTGTAACATCAAAATAACTTTGCTCATCATCTTCTTATCTTCATCTTTCATCCTCTTTGATTCTCTTTCTCTTCAACCATTGTTATTACTTTTTTCTTTCTTTCTCCTCATCTTCCTCTTCCTTTATTTACTCATCATCACCATTCATTTCAATGGATTACCTTGGATTCATCATGAAACATTCACTTCATCCAGTTTAGCATCCTCATCATCATATCTTATTCTTTGCCTCATCATTTCATCAATTATCTTTCATCATCTTAATTATCAACTGTTTGTGTTTCCATATTCAAGTTATTCAATTTCAAATTCATTCATTTTTTTTGTTACAATTTCCTGGTGAATTTACCGTTACCTTCATCGATTTTATATAAATAAAATCAAAGTGATATCGAAGATGAAGTCAATTGCAATTCCAATTGATTGATTGTCTTGATTATCAATTGTTTGCTTCAATTTTTAATTAATTGTGTGTCTCTGTGTATTTGCTTGTGTGCTAATCATTTGGATAATCAACCATTTGGATTGTCAATTTAAATGCAGGATAAAATCAATTCACTTAATATACTTAAACAAACCTTAACTGGTGTTGGTTATAATAGTAATAACAACAACAACAACATCAGTAACAATTTAAATCATTCAATTAAATTGTTGAAAGGAACGGAGAGTAAAGTTAATAACAGTTTACAACAATTAACTTTACCAACAATTACTTCAGCATCAACATCAAAAGGTAACCTGGTTAATTGTGGTAATAATAATTCACTTACTCATAATCACCATGGAAATGATGATGAAGATGAAAATGAAATTGATAATATTTCAATGAGAAAATTAAATTCAAATGAAATTAATGATAATATTGATGATAATTGTTCACCTTTAATTGCTTCCTGGCATCAACATGTTTACTCACAACCACCAATTAAACCAACACCCTTTTTAATTGCTAATATTTTGGGTCTATCATTAACTAATTGTGATAAGGATAACAACAACATTTCAACATCCAAATCAACACTAAATTCATCATCATTATCAACAACAACACCAACACCAACACCAACATCATCAACAACCACAACAGTTAATAATGATAAGATTAACAAGAAGGATAAAAAAAGATACTCAAAGGATAAACTAAATTCAACAACAATTAAACAACAATCAACTAAAAGTAAACCCAAAAGTCAGAAAAATATTGAAAATAAATCATCAAAGGTAACATCTAAATCATCAACAAGTAGATTTAATTGTGATAATAATATAAAAACCATTGGTAAATCAATTGAACCAACAATCAAACTAACTTCATTAGTAAAAAATAATCATAATAATAGATTGGAAATTAATAATAATAATAATAATAATAATCTAAAATCTATTGATCCATATTGTTTAGTGTCTCACTTAAATTTCATTGATAATAAACCATCAAAGGTGCGTCTTGATGATCAGTGTTAATCATGATTAAAGTGTAGGTAAATTGTTTCAAATTGTGTCTCGGTTTAGATTATTTAATGATAATAATCAATTTTGATTGTTAGATATGTGAAGTCACGAAAGGCAACAATCAAAAGCTACAACAGTGTATCAGTAAGTGTAATAATAGATTACCTTTGGGTGAAGGAAAAACAAAATCCTTAACCTTTCAATAAGATTATTGATCTTAATCTTTGGCTTGTTTAAATTTGATTCATTTAATCATTATCATGATCATGTTGATTTATCTGATTATCATAATGATGGAAACTTTAATCAAACATTCATCAAGTGTAAATAGAGAGATTGAAATTGAAACAATTTATCAGAAAATTTTAATCATAATAATCAGTTTTTTTCCAAATGTTACTTGAGATTTAACAATCTAATGTTGTTTTTTATTTCTCATTTTTCCAATTTTAGAAAACAATTAAGAGTAAATCAGTTAAATCATCAGTTTCTCTAGAGGATAAGGTAACTAAATCAGGTAAAGGACGAGGTAAATCATCAGCAATTAAAAATGTCTCTTCAGATAATCAAATGAAAAGTCACAAGGAGAGAAGCAAGAAAACTTTTATCCCACCGATGTCAATTAAATCATTCACATCTCTACCCAATTTACTACCTCCACCACCTCCACCACCACCACTGCCACTACCTTTGTCCACTCCTGTCACATCATCGCCTACACCTTTAAGTTTACCTGGTATTCAATCAGCTGATCAACCATTAAATTTATCCTATGGTACAGTAAATGAAAATCGCCGTTCTGATAAAAAGTTTCCCAAAGAATTGGAATCAACATTAATATCAAGTTCGAGTTGTGAAACCTTAAGTGAAGGTTATCAATCATCAGCACTTGATTTATCTAAATGTCGTTCATCATCATCATCACCAAAAGTATCATCAACATCTCCAACAACAACAACCCTAACAACTACAACTACTACAACAACAATAGCCTCAACATCATTATCCTCATTGTCTTCATTATCATCTCATTCACCAACTTCTTCATCTTCTTTGTCACCTTCACCATCATCTTTACAAATGAAATCATTATCATCTTTATCTTCATCATCATCACTGCCATTGTCTAAATCCTCGTTGTCCTTATCATCTTCACTTTCTGTGCCCATCACTTTCAACAATCGTAATAATAATGAATCAATATTAAAGATTAATTCTAAATCATCTTCATCAGCATTATCTTCAAATAATAATAATAATAATACAAATCTCATCTCTTCCTTATCTCCATCCTCGTCAACATCATCCTCATCATCTACAAATAATCATCCAACTGTCAATTCATCATCCTCCATACCAGGAACAGTAACAACAACAATTCAAACATCAAAAGTCAAAAATACCTCATCATCATTTACCTTTTCATCCTCATCATCTTCATCATCATCTCCATCCAATTCCCTAAAGTTAACTGTTAACTCTGATCAAATAACATCGAAACGATCAACAACCAATAATAATAACAATCATCCTGATGATATATTAGATTTTTCATCTCTCCAACGATTAACTAAATCAAATTTAACTTCCGACTATCTTAAAGGTAAGAAAAGTCAAATAAATCATTTCAACAGTAACAATATCACAATAATCATAATCATTACAACGATGATTAAATAGTGTAATTGATAAAAAGTCATTTTCCTATCAACTTGATACACAACAGAATCAAAAGTTATCACCATCATTTCCGTTTCCGTATTTAACCAAAGATAACAGTTTAACAAGTTACATTTATATACTCATTAATTATTACTGAAAATGTTGACTAATAATCAGTTTGACACATTAATTATGTAATTAATAAGTCATGACATTGTCTATGATAATATTTACACTTAAATTGAACCAGAATAATATAATTCTGGTTGATAAAATTAAGTGATACCAGGAAAATACCAGTTTTCTGGTGCAAAATATATAACTTAATATACAATTGTGAAGTAAAATGTATATAAAATGATTGGCATGAAAAGGGAAAAGGTAAAAAAAAAATATCATATTAAATTCAAGACAAGTTATTACATTTTTCTGGATAATGGTGAAAATACTCACAATTGAATTCATGGTAAAAGTTTCCAGCTCTTGAATTATACTGAACTTTTCAGTTATGTCAAGAATATTATTTTCTGATTGAAATTGTACAACAACAACAAAAATGAAATAAAAACGATATAAAAAAGTTTGAATTTAACTGAAAGCCTATTAACCAATAACAAGAAAATGAAAACTTGATATCAGGTAAATAAGATGATATTTATAACTGATTGATTTAATAACCATGATGATGATGATGATAAACATTTTCCTATGATCAATGCTGAAACTCAACCAACCAATCCCTTAACAATAAGATGACTAACAATCAACCTTGATTGATATTTATTATTATCGTTACATTATTATTATCATCAGACTGAAAGAATGAAAAAAGTTGAGTCTCAATGAAGATATTATCATGTTGGTGATTCCAACTATCATTTATTGTTGAAACATTTGAAATCTATAGACCATGATGATGATCATGAAATGGTGATAATTGTAACAAGCAGTTGATTTTATCATGAATATGGTGAAGATGGAGATTGAGTTTTCATTAAGTTAACTTAATGATAACTTGAAGCAGTTTTTTTCCCAACTATATTTTCAGTATCAATGGGAAGTATAAATATACTAGAGAAATAAAAAGTGATACAAATGATGAGAAAGGATGATGATGATGATGATGATGAAACAGTTAACGGTAAAAATAGTATATAAGGTTAAATATAATTTGTTCCTGAAAAGATTGGCAAAGTTTTTATTCAATCTCGTTTTTTCATTTTACTTTTTCTTTGTCAATCCAATACAACTTTCATGTTATAATATAATTTTCACTCCCACCGTTTGCTACCTTGGGTTTTCCCTCCCTGCATTTAACTTTACACACTCTGGTGTAAAGAGGCTTCACCAACATGGTAAGGGAAAATTTCATCATCCATATTTATCATCTTCTCTCTGTTTCTCTTTCATTTTCCTTTTTCTTCTTCTTCTTCTTCTTCTTCTTCTTCTTCTTCTTCCGTCTCCACCCAGTTTCCATCCTTCATCTTTTTCTCCAATTTTTCATTCTTTTTTCATGCTCAACCCATTTCACTGTCTCTCTTTCGCTCTCGTTTTGACTCCTTGTTTTCTCAAATATGTTCTGCCTTTTGATAATTTTCTCCATCTTCATCCTCTTCCTCTTCTTCTTTAATAATCCTCAGACTTTACTCTAAGATGATGTACTTTTTATTCTCATTTTCTCTCTCTCTCTCTCTCTTTGTTTCTTCATCTTCTTTTCATCCTCATCACTTTTTTCTCTCGTTTTTTTCTATCACATTTTTCATTCTATTATCACTATCATCTTCTTGTTGCTTGTTATATGATTTCTTTATTTACCACCTCTCATCTTTCTCCATCATCATCATCATCTTCTTTCTCTCCCTCCTTTGTCTCAGAGATCTATTCTCCCTTTCTTCTCTTCCCCTCTCCCTTATTGTTTAGTATCTTCATCTTTCATCGTTTTCTATCTTATTCTGAATAATGAAAAGTATCATGAAGATTATTAGCTTTTCCACCATGAAGATAATAATGTTGATAAAAGACTCGGAATTTTTAATTTGTTTCATATGTTTACTCTTCATTATCATCACCATGTTATTCAAGTCAATCCATTATCACACTATTATCATGATAACCTTAACCTTCCTCAACCTAAATTCACTAACCTTAAACTAATATCAACATGAGAATCAACTTTATCTCTCTCTCTCTCATCTGATATTATGAATAATTCACAGATACATGTAAATAATCACGAGCATCAGACTAATCATTGACACTCTCCTAATCATTATCAAATTATACAGTAAACTCAATTTGATTAGATTGTTAATCAACTTTAAAAAAAAATCTTTTTCATGTAAACCAAAAAGTAACATTTCATCAATTGAAAATGTTCAACATGAATCTAAATGATTTATTGATTGTTTACAACAATTTATTTCTCTTCACTTTTTTATCAATCATAACTTAAACTTTTCCTCATTGTTATCATTTCAATTTGCCCACCGTTGCTTTTCCCACCTCCTAATCTTTGGTATACATTATCCCTCCTCAGATAATAATAACAATACATTTTCCACCCTCAATTCAAATCACATTAATCTTGTTAATCTCACAATCAGCTTGATAAATTGTCAAGACTTTCAATTGAAGATCAACATGAAAACAATTCAATTCCCTTTTTAATATAATTAACTTATCATCTTAATTAAATTCACTAGTGAACAACAACAATTAGAATAACAATTTATATTCCCAATGATTAAGCAAATTTGAAGTAATCAAAGACAGAGGCCAAAATATTAACTCATTTCATGATTTATTTCATGATCATGAAACTGAAAAGGAAATCAAGGAAATCTTTTCAATAGATAAAAGTTGATGATTATCATCATGATGATAATATTATCCTGGTTGTTCACATTTTATTGCTTACTCTTGATATTTATGTGTTTCCAGCTTTTAACCATTCTGAATTGAATTCTATGAAAGTTCATGATAGCTCAGAATCCAAGTCAGTTTCTTCATCTCATAATATAATACATATTTTTTTTGCTTCCTTCATCCCAAGTGAACAATATAATAAGAGAGGAAGAAAAGAAAGACTTGCATTTCCGTTTCCAGTTTCATTCAGTTAATTTATAATTAGAGTTTGAGTTCACTCATCACTTAATAATGTAAACTCGTTGATTCATTTATCCAAATCTCCTCAGTTTCCTAACTTTTTCCCGCCTTTTATTTTATTTTTTTTTTCCTTCACAATCTTCATCAAGTCAATCTACTTCCTATTTCCTCATCCTCAAACTTATCTCCATCTTCATCTTCATCTTCATCTTTTCATGTATCAAAAGCAAAGTGAAAATAAAATCACTTATCTGTCAACCAAGAAAAATAAACTCATACTCCCATTGGAATTGAAGTAAAACCTATGGTACATTATAAATGATTATCAACTAACATTTTCATCAATAGAATTACCCAAAAATATAATCAATTAGATACAATTCAATAGTATTATAAATGCTAATAGAAAACCTAAAGTCTAATCAATAGTTTACTTGTAATTAGCATAGAATTAATTGTCGAAACAGTTTAAATGATTAAGAATTGACCATAAGTAATTATCACCCAAAGAGTAATAATAATGAGCAAAAAGTAATTACCTAAGCAAAGACAATAGTTAATTGATTTTGTAGAGAAGGAAAAATGAATCAAGTTACATTAGTTAATATTAACAATATATAATATAAGAAGGGGAATAAAATAGGATTGAGTTAATTGTTGTTGTTTAAATTGGTAAATTGAGATTGATACTGATGATGATAATGATGATTTAATGAACTCCCTCACCATCATTACTAATATTATCTGACCAGCACCGTGTCTTTATAATGACCAATGTCCATTAATATCATATGTATGTATATGTTTTATATCTAATCTAATATTTGGAATCAGAATCAACCTCAAATTATTATTTAACCATTTTCATTGATATTATATGAGAGTAAAAGCCTGTGGGAGTGATAGAGTGTGTTATAATATACACATAGACACTCAGTGAGATGACAAAAATGATGATGAGGAGGAGGAAAAGGAGGATGAAGATGATGAAAAACTAGTGATTATCATCATAATAATACAATAGTTTGGGTTAGATTGATGCAGGAAATTGGACAACTTGAATAGACATTAAAAGCTAAAAGCTAATACATATGAAGATAGCATGAGGTTTGTTTGATGATTCAAATAGGAATAATAATAATGATGATGATGGTGATTATAATCATGTTGATGATAATAATGGAAAAGGGGGAGTGGGTCAGATGAGAGAGAGAGAGAGAGAGGTAAATGTTATATATATTATAACGGTAAATGAGCTTATCAGTTAAGTAAAAAAGTAGGAGTGAAAATGAGAGGACTCAACTTGAACTGTCAACTGATTTGTTGTTAGAGTAAAACTTATATTTCCTATGTAATTTTATTCATGTTTGATTATTACATTAGTCTGACATTTAGTTTCCACTAATAGTATCAAGTTAATTAACTTTCATTTCATGAGAATTCATAATTTAACTTTGCTAGATTATCATTTTCTACCTGATATGATCATGTAAATACCTTAGGACTTTTTTTTTAATTCATTACTTTTAAAATTAATGAATCTCTTTTTAATTGAATAAGTTTACTGATTGTCATCTCTGATTGTTGCTCATAAAGATGACGATTCATTTAATTCATGGCAAGGATTAAACTGTGGGTGTGGATGAACAGGATTATGATTAAGCTTTTTGATTTCATGATGATGAAAATTTTGTGACTTTTTTAACTTTTCCCTTTCAATGGACAAACTACAAAATTAACCAATTAATATAATGTTTCCCTTTCTCATTTAAATTCAATGGATACTCCAATTACTTCAATGTTCACTTCTCTCATCATCATCCTCATCATTTTCTA